CATTTGACTGATTATGCATATTTAGAGGTATTTTATGATGCTCTTTCAGGCTGTTGGATCTAAATTCAAAAATTATAAAAATAGATCTTTGTGACGTCATCACTTTAGAACTCTATACATCCGGGATATTAAATATGACGACGCTAATACAAAAAAACAATTATGCAACTTTGAATAGTATAACAAAATAGAATAAAAGAATTTGATTAATGAAAAATGTGAATGGTTTATGAAAAGTAAAAGATAGAAGTAAAAAAATACAATCACTAATAAAAGAAGCTATTTAAAACTTTTTCCTGTTAAAGTGTATGCTGCGATATTATTTCTGGCATAAAAATAAAAAAGTTGATTTAATATTATTCTTTCAGACGAACAAAGGCAGAGCTTAGATTTAAAAAATTATCGTTCCCAACTTTAAAGATTTCACCATATTTAAAAACAAATAAGTGAGACAGTTTAAAATATGATGCTAGAAGCTAGAAGCAACAAAATTGCTTGAGAAAGCGCTGTTTAGTTTAGCGACATAATTGATGTTATTGAATGGTGTGTGAAAACAGTCCTGATAAGGCAAAAACCAGATCATTTTCAAGCATATCTTAGCCAGCTTTACTAAGGAGGTGCAATAAGGGGTAATTGCCCCTCATCGATGACCTGAAATCGAATATATTTCTTTTCTTCTAACATATCATCCCAACTGCAGGGCAGAAATTTTATTTAGGATATAGGAAGCCCATATCAAATGATTACGCCCTTTTTAGATTAGTTTCGTACCCAATATCCCTTATAAAGGATACACACATGAAGATGTGTAGGAGCATGGAGGTACTAAAAGCACATGCCTTCCTCCTTTCTGTAAAACATGCAAGAAAGGCCCTTCGAGTAAAATTTCTTTTAATCTCTGAAGATTATGGAGGTCTCTTATGTTTGCGAGGATTCTCTATGTACAGTGTACAGTGAACATTATAGGGTTGTATTTTATGGTAACTGAAGATTCTATCTAAAAACTATCGATCATCGATCGAAGGTGCAACATATTTTTGTGATCACATCACATTTGCGAAAGGGTACGATAATGGTCCCCATACAAGTGCTCCTTCAAATTTCGAGTATTTTCTGCATCCTCGCATACGTGGCTGAGTGACTCTTTCTCAGCACCTACGTCTTAGCGCATAATACTCATGAGACGTCTTCATAATGACATACGATCACTGAACTTAAAAAAGGTATTAATTGGAAGGCAGCATTCACAGAGCTATGTATCTATTACAAGCGATGCAGAATTCCCCCTTCGTTTTAGTACAGAGAGGTGAAGAGTGGGGAGGTCTATGTAACTTTACCTGCCTAGCTGTGCTAATCGAGCAGTGCCTTCCTCTCAATGTCACCGCACCTCTTGACCCTACTAACTCAGGAACCCTCAAATCTCACACCCTTGTATCCGTAGTCCGTGATCTAGCCACTGAGCCATCCCGCACTCATAACATAGCACCTTAATCGGCGCTACAATGCAGCGCAACCTAATCAGAAATATGTTTTAATGTTACACTCTATCAGAATTGAAAATTACGTAGCGTGGACCCAGACCTGTTATGGTGGACTCACCTATGATTTCCTATCGGAGATCTACTCATCACTGGAACATAAAGCAACCTCAAAAGCCATCAGAGGTCAAAATGAAATAAACCAAGTACCTCAAAAACGCATATCTAGATACCAGCGATGTTAGGACGATAACGCACGAAGACCTCTGAGTGTAAGCTGAAATGGTTAGTTCTTTTAATGCTCTACATTTGAATCGCTGATCATTGACGGCGGCAACATTACGAAACCTCAGACTAATTGTGGAAGTAAACGAGATCATCAGTGACAGATAACTCTATCAGCCTGGAAACTCATGATGTGCAACACAAAACTAAGTTTAAATAATAGACACCAGGAATACGCTTCGATCTATAAATATCCCTTTTTCTAATTAAAATTCATTCAAAAATTTTTTTTTCACAATAAACTGTTACAGCATTTTCAGACCCTCTTTGAACCATGGAAAGGGTTTTGGTAGCTACAGAGAAGATATTTGTAAGTAACACGCATAGCCTGGATCAGAGTCAGAAAAAAAACTACGAACCCACGGCAACTGACCGGAGGAAGAACCACGAAAAAGAATAGAAGTTCCTATGACGCACCCAAGCCACGCCTACATTCTATTGTTTTGTGAGGAAGGTTTGCCTTTTGGGATGTTTTTGTCTCGAGGAAGGTTGACAACCTTTCTTGACTCTGGCTTGGATAATGATTGTAAATCCTTTCGAGGACAAATTCAAAATACCTACTGCTGGATTTGCAGCGTTGAGGTACCATTACAAATCCAATCTATGACGTCATATGTCAAATAATGCAGAACCCTAGTTACTATAATGCGTATTTAGATCCGATTCATTACCTAATGATACTGTTTTCGATCATTCAATGATTTCGGTCTTAAATAAATACAGTTTATTTGAAGACAAGGTCATGGAAATTTGCAGTCGAGCTATAGACTTTTCTGGGCTAACAGTCTAACAAAACTCATAGCAAATATGGGCCTAACCATCCCGTTAGGAACGTTGAGTAGTTATTAACTGGAAGCTTAAAGACATCCACTGGATCTCAAGATGGAAGTTTATTTTCGAACTTAAGTGCACATATTAATCTGGCATCAAAACAATGTTCAATGGGACTGCTAGCATTTGTCGTTGAAAAAATCGATTCAAATAGTCAGCATTGGGGACAAACATTGAAAATGTAAAAAATAAAAGCGAAATGAGCCAAGGCTAGAAGTGGAGGTCTGGGTATGGCGCCGCAGTACTTCGATTTCCTTTTGCTGGGTAATATCATAAAATAATTTGACTACTGTAAGGGCTCTCGACAATCCAACAGCCATTCAATAATCGAGTGTATGGTCCCAAAACTGGGATCAAGGCAGGACTAAGGTTAACCGTGATTAAAACTGGCAATTACAGTACATTCCCATTAAGAAGAACCTATGAGTTTAATATGGTGTTTCAAACCAATTTTAGCCTGAAAAATCATTAATGCTTTTATCTTAAAGGCAAAGTCCTCTGAACCGTCTGCTGTCTCAAAAAGGCAGCCTTATTACTAGGCGTCACCAATCAAGGCATCATCGATATACGCTTTTAGCCAAATGCAATAACATTTTACTCTAAAACGTCCGTATACACTTTTGAAATAAGACCCAAAACGGTGTCACTCTTAGAAAAGCAGGTTGTTCTTTGCCGGTACAAATTATAATCGGACTGAAAGAATCACCAAAGCAAGTTTCTAGAACCTGTTTCTGCTTCAATTCATTTTTAAGAAGAAACAGGCATTTTACATGCTTACTACAGCAGAAGGAACGAATAATCAAAAACTGACTTCACATCCTCGGTGAAAATCACTGATTTGATTAAACTGTAACTGTCTGAGATGTTTTTGCTAAACATTCACCAAGTCTTACCGACCAGGTTACCGACCAAAGGTTTTAGACCACGTTTTAACAATCTTATTTCTCGTCAACCTTTCGTGTTCACTAGTTATTACGTAATAAAGATTGTATAACTCACACAATGTTAACTTGGTATAACATAATCAAGAAAATTGTGACAATCATCCTATATTAGTCATTTGTAGCTATAGAATTATACACGTAGAGCATTGGACAGAACATAAATCTATTTTTTGTGGATGTATCTTCTTACAATTTCGATTCAATCTATGTTATTATTCCCTCGTATTTCTAGAATTTTATATTTTGCTGGAAAGACGGCATGCAAGCTTGTTCCTTGGTACCTGAATATTTACATCTAGAAAATTTTGTATCTGTGTCATCGAAATTTATAGACGCTGTTGAAGCAGGGGGTTTGTTGCGTCATCTTAATATATACATTTCTTTGTGATATTTTTTCAACATTGACTCCTTTCTAACAGCTCTGTTACCTCCTTTTTAATATTTATGCGTGGATATTTTCCATTTCACATTGCAGAGCTTGGCAACACACAAATTCCAGTGGACAGTTAATACAAGGATCCATAGTTTAAGAGATCTTCGCATAAGCAAAGTAAGACGATTTTGTTAGCTTTGAAGATTACACAAATCTAAAAACCCGATTTCAAAATAAGAAAGGTTTCAAGCAAGGCAATGTTTCTGCAGTGTATATTTTTGTTTACTAATTTCATTCAGTTTCGATGACAAATTGTAAAGAGAAATGTTAAATTGTTTAGAGGTTACAAAATTAATTCAGAATAGAGACTGAAAACACTTTAAAAATTGCCAAGGTTTCTGAGAGTTTATGGGTGGCCAAATATTGAGTTTCTTCACATGAAAGTTACTTAGTCCTTGTACAATGAAGCAATGTACAATTTTAAGCAGACTTTATTAAGATGAAGTGAGAATATAACCTGTTCAATAACAGAAGTTAAACCCTTCTAATTTGTTTAACGATTATATAAGCTCAAAAGATCCCTGCCATTAAAGTTATAAACAAAATTCATATTACTGATGAAAACCACGTTGTTTTGGGCAATATGTACATACGCATTTGAAATTTCAGAGTGTATTAGAAAGTTAATCCTCAAGTTTGTTGATTGTTGAGTATATTATGATCAAATGTAAATCTATTCTACATGACTTTACCCTTTCATGTTTAGCATTTCAAATTCTCTAAATTTTACTTACTCAAACTTAGACTAGCATTTTATTGTTGAAAAAGGATTCATGGAAATGGGAAAAATCGAATTTCAATATCCGGAAATGTTCACAGCCAAGATACCTCATGGTAGTAAAATCAACATTTAATAGCCTTTTAAGACATAGTGAATGCTACGAATTGTTAAGTCTAACTGTGGGGTTTCATAAGTAAATAATCGAAGAATGTTGATAGGGTTGTCAGTGTGTGTTAGCGGCTAGCGATTTGAATAGAATGAAATAACCATTACGAGAAAATAAGAGAAGAATTAAACAAAGTATTTACCTCTAGTCTGGATCCTGCTTGAAAAACATGGCAGAGATGGACTCGCCTTCTTGTTATGTTGATTGCAAAAGTCGAATCAAATCCTCTAAGTTGCTCTTGAGCACATAACGCGACAGCATAAAGGGGGGCTGTAATCAACAATGCCCCTTGAGTTACATCTGAAACTTTAAGAATTCCATCGTGAATAACAAAATCGACGCGTAAACTTTTCGTGTGATGCTTTTTAATTTTTTTCAATGTTTCTTTCATTAACGGAACCGACTGAGCTTCGGAAATATGGTCAAATCCCAAATAGTCAACGATAAATGGCAAAATTTCTTCTTCGCTGCCCACGTGTTGGTCTGACGATGAAAACAACTTGGAAGTTTCTTCCATAGCACTGGTCGCCGAATTATGTGAGCTTGACACTGTAATACATGCATCATCTTCGTTCCTCGCTTCAATTTCCGACGAGGCTTGCGTGTTTCGTTTTATCGCGAATTTCCGGAGCATGCTTGAGGTAAACTTCTCGTTGCATCCAAATTTTGCTTCACGATGTTGTTGAGTTTGAACTCCGCTCGACAAGTCGCCATATGCATCGCAGAGATGTCGATTTCCAACAAAAGCGGCGAAATTCCAACGTACTCTGAAAGTCGAGTGTTTAATTGATAACGAAGTAATCCTACATAGGCCAGTATGGCTTTTTAACCTATTTTCACGCAAAACGTCAGTGTCACCGAGAAGAGCTCAAGTGAAACCCTTATTATGCTAAGTGAAACCCTTGATGTGTTCAAGTGAAACCTTTGATATGTTTTGATCAATGGGAGTAAGTCATGCATGCTGCCTTAACTATTTTATCTAAACTGCTTTGTGAGGCTCATCAGAGGTCTTTGTTCAGTGCATTGCAGTAATAACCACATTGGGAATATTTGAAAAACGCGCTTTACAAAATCGAAAACCCTGGAAACTCACAGATATTGGATTCGAGATTTTACAATCTTAGCCGTATCGTTATTTTCAAACCGCCAACCAACCAATATCCCTTTTGATCATTTGTAATTGTTATGATTAACAAAAAGATGTATTCCGTACAGAAGGGCCTCCTTCAATCGCGGTTGACAGTTGAAACCTCGTCGGGCTGCATTTTCCGTTGTATTCTTTCAAAAAGATTTACCAAAATTTTCACATTATTTATTCCTGTAAAAATAGCTTAAATCGAAATGGGCATTTAAGACTTTGTTTTGAAATAACAACGAGTAATTGAGAGCCTTTCCCACCTAAAAAGTCACTTTTGTAGCTTCAAATTTGTCGCTAAAATGTGGAAACTTTCAAAAGTAGAGTGCTTTAGAAATTTGTATGCAAACAATCTATTAGAATCGGCCATGAATAAGGAAATAAAAAAAGCTGCCTACAAGGTTCTATAAAATCACAAAAAAAATTTAAGTGAAGTCGTGGCGAAGGGTCAAGATGAAACTGTTTCTTCTAATCATGAAATCTATTCAGAGAGAAAGGAGGTTATGTTTATGCTAATTTTTGTAACAAGGGGTGGTTTGTGAAGAAAGATTCTAATGGAGACAATTTAGAACTGTAGTAGAAGCCATTATGATTGTAATTACAACAACTGCAAATGAACAATGTGATAGACTGACGCATGAGGATATGAGTGGATGCCAATCAACAATGTTTCCTACAGATCTTATTAACGTTTACATTTCTAGCAGTAACAATATAAATTGCGCTAATTATATAATGAAATTACATTGCATAGGCAAGTTTGGAACAATGGGTATACTCTGAGTCGCACATGGCCTAGCACACAAAGAGCGTCTTCAATTTAAAGGAATAGTTTATTCGTAACAGAAATGCTTGCTGAAAGGTGTTCAGTTAAAGAGATTACATACCATACTCACCAATGTATCGAAGGAAGACGTTCTTTTCTCAACCTGGTATTTGCAGAGACCAAATCAACGCAAGGAAAATATTATAATGAACCATAAGAGTACGAGAAGATTACTTCTTGCAGCACGTGGAGGATAGTTGCCTCTTGGGGTATCAAAGGCATGCAGGCCTCGGTGATTGGTGGATTCCATTATGCTGCACTCTAGAATGCTGTTTCAATACAAAGACCATGAATTTTGGCAATTTCAGTTAAAAAAGAATACATTCTTCCAGCCAAAACTAAAGAAACAATAATCATTACAACGTGCAAGAATTTAGCTTTTCAAAACCCTCTGCAATCAAAGAATAGACAAACTTTCTTAACATAGTGTGATTTCCTTTTCTTATGGATTAGATGACCCCCATTTTCCCCTTAACCCCCCCCCCCCCTGACAAAATGACAAGTTACTTAAAATTCTGATCAACAAATCTATACTACTTTAAAATAAAACAGTGAAAACTTCTTGTTAAAAAAAAGTATCAGTGATCTTGGGTAATTGAAAGTATTGACCTTCACTTGGGATTATATAGGATTATATAGCCTAAAATTATCTCACTTTAAGATAAGATCTGATGACTATAATGTTTTTGTTTATTTTCAATTTCGGTAAAAGTTAAACCTATCTAGTAGTTCTATTCCAAATGACATTAGTTTTACTGCAAAGTGGTATGGGGTCAGACCATTGACTCATACATACCCAAGCTACAAATCCCAGGAATCGAATTCCAATCATTCAGTGCATCAAGCAACATTTTGCCGGTATTTATCGCAGAGCCACAACCAACTGACAGGTTTTTGCCAAGATTCTAATCCCAAAAGAGACCCATTCGCGTGGTACTCTCTGGTATGTCTCCGCCCCCTTTGGTCTGACCAATGCAGGTATCGAAAAATAACTTGACTTAAAGCAGTTGAGGTGAATAGTTTAAATTACAAGAACACAGATTGCTAATTGTAAATAAGCCATTGTTGCATGTCAGAGATTCGGGGAGGATCAATAGGATTGGCTTTTTAGGTTTGGAATTAAAGATCAAAACAGGCGTAGGAGTATTAAAATACAGGATGTAATGCCATGCCATATCTCTTGTTCTTTGTTCTTTAATTCCCGTTTTGGTGATTATAGCTTTATAAAATTTCTTTATGATATTTCAAAACAGGAAAAAATTTCATGTGCCAAAATTTAGCTAAAATGGAAAGCTATGAAATTTTAAAAACGGAGTAAAGTTTTAATAACACAATCCCGGATAAGAATAGTTGAGACTTTTGAAGAAAACTTTATGTTCTCTCTTTCCTTTGAGAAATGGCTTCCTCTTCCCCCGAATCAAGGTTGAATGCATGATTTTGAAGCAAAAATGATAGAACTACAAATCCAACATTGCTTTGGGGGAAAGGGGGGGGGGATTGAGTTTACAGGGGCAAGGTAAAGTAGAAAGTTACGAAACTTGCATTTTGGCTCAACATTTTTGTCAGGGATTGGTTTTCACAGAGTAAAATCAGATTATACCACATCTGACTAACAAGTAATTGTCAACTCTTCATGTCCATTTTTCAAATATTTTCCTTAAAAGATCTATAATATATTAACGGTTCTCTTATTTCGCCTAAGTTTGCCATAATCATACAAATATCCTCACGTGTCTTCTCTTCGTGACAACTTCATTGAAATAACCCTTCATCGTTGAAAATAATAATTGGTTATGTTTTGAACCAAGAGATGACTCTGTTTTTACAAGAGTAATTTTCACCCAGAGCTGGAGATCTATTAATTGCACTTCCTAAGTGCTTCGAAAAACCCTTTAAAGGCAATAATAAGGTACATTAAGAAGAAAGCGTAGAAATATTACTCCTGCTTTATATTGTTCTATTTCATTCGTCTAACTGTATTTGAAGTTATTAAAGGCAACGGTAGTTGGCAACTTAACAATATGTACGTCGATAAAATTCATTGTATATGAAATGAACTCTGAAATACTTTTAGCTGGCTTTTGTGATATCTTTCTGCTACAGTCAGTGCCTTTTGTCTTGTGAAAAATTGACCGATAAAATTCCCTGTTTGCTTATTTCAAATTGTATTCAAGGGTGATTGCATTTATTTTCTTTCTTCCTACTCCTGAGTTGACCACATCTCCTTAATCTTATGTCTAAAATTGTAATTTATCTCTGCCTATCATTGAAATAAATTGTCTTAGGAATAGAGAGACCTAACTTATAGATGCATCTTATAGGGACCGCTTCAAAAACCTGGGTGGAAAGTTTACAAAACCATGGGTATGCGCCAGAACTTGATAGTTCATCGTGGGCATCAGCTATAGTTTGTGGTAAAACTAGTTTCTTTGCCCCCTTCCCTAGAGTTTGATAGCCCTGTCGACCCTAAGAAAGAATTTGCTTACAGAAAGCACTTCCTTCATCCTCAAAGTGTCCACACCTACTGATTCCTGGAAATCTAATAAAAAGGAGCTGGTGATTCTTGATGCTTTTGTTCTGCTGTTGTATTTTTGAATCTTACATCGGTTAAACCTAGAGTCTAAAAATAATAACAACACTCCCAACAAAGCCAATCCCATTTCAGTCAATTTGACCAAATCACGATGATCTAAAAACTAAAATAATGTTAAACATTGAGTCATTTTATCCACAGATGGGAAAAAACGTAGCTATCTACAATAAATTCACACAACTGTGAGGAAATTAGGCAGTAGAAGAATATTGGAAGAAAGAAAAAGTACTAATAATGTGGAAATTAGTGGATATACGGGATAGAATAAATCATGATTATTAGAGGATAAAGTTTTAATTACAGGGATCTATGACACAGAACAACAGACCTTTTACAATATGCAAAAAGATCATTGTATTTCATGAAAGACAATGCACGAGAGTAAGAAAACTAATAACATATGGTAGCTTATCGATAACTCAGTCACAACTGATATCATCTTAATTTTTCAAGTGCAGTAATTGAATGTTATGGGAAAATTACCCTTGGAGGATAGGGCAGGGGTTTCTCATGTTTGAATGGTGCAAAATGCCACCAGATTCTAACTAAGCCACATATTGAAAGTGAAAAGCAGTGATCATGGTAAATATCGGAGCTTTTCATGCGGTCCCGAAGGATTTGATTCCGCAATAACAATCCCATAGGCAAATATCCAAATGTCTTATTGTCTCTTATCTCAAACCTACCCCGGGCAGTAGCGTAGTGAGGGGGAAGCAGGAGAAAATATCGTTAAAAAGGGCGTTTTCTGGCGTTCCAAAGAATGTGCGCTCACTTTGCCTTTGCCCCCATTCTCGCAATCCTGGCTATCTATTGACCCTTGGTACCAGACTCTCTATGAAAATGAAATCACTTTACTTACAGAAAGAGTCTGGTACCAAGTGGTGCAAAGACGGTAAAAGTATGGGAAAGTGATGACGTAATGAAACCTATTTTTGGAATAAATGAAAATTGAAAACAAAGCCTTAAAAAACACCAAAAGTACCTCTCTCTAACTATGCTTAAACAAATACTCGGGTCTTTAATGAGGAAATCTCAGTAAATCTGCCACATATTACCTGATTTTGTAAAAACAAAAAGTGGGGTATTTCACTGTGTTAGATGAATTTATGTGTCATTATGAATTAATCTCAGTTTGATGTAGAGCCGCATTTTGACTATGTTACTTAGAAAGTAACAGCTCAGTTTTTACATTGAGAGGGATTCAATGTTAATGTGAATATGTTTTCCATTCTACCTCCAATTTCCTCACTCACAATATTTGAAACTCTGAACCGCCCTACCTTTGTAAAGAGCTTAGATAAAGCAATGCACTATTCCATCCAACGTCACACAATAACATATTTTTACATATTTCACATGCTTTCAGGCATTTTTGATGTAGCTGTAATTTAGGCACACTAGATGCTGAAATTGTTTTGCTTCAAATCATAACAAATATGACATGAAATTTAGCACGTTGAATTGTTACTTAACAGCGACAAACTACATAGAAATACCGCTCTTATGTTACCGTCACACTGCACCATGAGCCCATTGAATTTTCTAATCCCAGAAGAAAGCGTGAACGCTAAATAAAATCATTTCAAGAATAAACCAAGTAATCTGCAGTTATATTTGATTGAATGAAATAAGCCAATCATGATCAAGACACTTAAAATCAACTAACCAATCAGCGTAAAGCAATATTGAAATTAGCCAATAAGATTGGGCTCTATATGAACAACGAGTTGTCTGATACAGTTACTTTTCACTTGAGTATTCCGACTTAATTCATTTATTAATATTCAATCACAGAGCTGTTGCGGCTCGAATTGCCTGAGGGCCCCTGAGAGAGTAAAAATAGATTTAAGATTTGGTTCAATGAGACTAGGGACTGGCCATTTTCCTATGGGAAAATGCCAGAAAGAAAAGCGAACAAGAATAGCGACTATAAAGAATAAAAAGAACGAGATTGCTATTATAGGTGAAATTTAAGTTTAATGCAATGGCTGCAGGGACAAAGCCTCAGGCCTCACCAAATTGTTCGCACCGTCTCCAGATCACTAGAATCTTTACTTTTAAAATCGTGTTACTTCGATTAAAATGCACCCTTCATTTAAATGCCCTCTTCCTCTGAATACCCCTGTATGACATGAAAAAACCCCACTCTTCTAACCCCCATTCTCTATTATCATTGAGAGATATGATGATGATGTTAACCGTCAATGACATTTAACACGTTTATGATGTTGCTAGAGGTTTTCAATCGTTCCCTTGTAAAGATGATAAAACCAAACTCAATTGCTGAATTTTTCATGTCTTTCTTACTTTTTCAACATTAAGTATAACATAACGCCCCTTTCCTAAACCCCAACACAAAAAACAACACCCCCTCTCGAAGATAAGGATTAAAAGAACAGCCCGTGCGTTTATTTGAAAAAATACGGTATCTGATTTTGGGAAGAGCATTTTGAAAATGGGGTTTTCTTGGATTAAAATTGGTTGATATTATGCCATTGAAATAAAATATTGATCGCAAGGGTAGAAAAAGTAGGATTTGTATGAAAATATGAAATACATAATCTTGTTGCAGAGAAAATTAAGTAATTTAAGAATTGCTGCAGAGAAATATTGCATATGGATAAACACGATTTAACTCATTAATATTTCTGAAAGAGCTTAAAACATATATCTATGATTCTAGGTCCCTACCTCTTTGGTAAAACTGCAACCAATTATTCCATATTTTCAAACAGTGGGACCCTTTACAATGTCGTAAACCTACTTTCTTTTACATTTTAACCTACCACCCTCGATTGTATTCCGTTAAGAGGTATTCATCTTGCAAAGGAAATAAGGTGGCATACACAAAACAATCACGCTGCAGATGTTTAAAATATATCTATAAAAGTTCTACAAAATATATATACAATAAATATGGAAATATATTTGAAATTTAATGGCGTTTCCGCATAAGTGCATCCATGTAATAGATTAGAGGCATAGATTCGATGATTGATACAACAGTTCACTCTAAACGATTTCGAAACCATTTATGCTTATGTATTTGCTGGATTGAATACCTTTGATGCGGATTCGTTTGCAGAATATGACGAATCAAATTTGCAACGTCTATGGAAATATCCTGCTTTGAGCCAATGAAGGACACACCCTCTCTCATCTTCAGCAGTTGCCTTACTTCGGAAAATGGGAAAAACCCAGTAATCATTGTAAACAGAATGACACCGAGGCTCCAGATATCTGCCTTGAAAATGTTATATGGGATACCTGAAAGCACGGAATATAGAGAAACATTAGGAATTTAGAAGCAAACTTGAATGGTTACATTATAAACTGCAATAGCAAGAGATGTTTGGTATCAATTTGAGTCAGCCAGCTAAGTATAACTGGTGTATTCTTAGTTTTTCTAGCTGGGGCCAAAAATCTCAAGGGTTCGCTGAAAGAATCTTTCACGCTTTTTAAAGCTATCTAAATTCCCTACAGAAGTTAGCAGAAAATTGCACAAGGTGGTACTTTAAGAAAGTAAGTTTAACTGAGGATAATTTGTGGAACTTTGTGGAATTTGTATAAATTTTTGCCATTTTCCTTAATATATTTTGCTAGGGTTCTGGATTTGTAGCGTCAGTGCAAAAAGTTATACGGGCTCACACTATCCCCTTACGCGGGGGGATACATTTAAGGGGCTTTCTGGGGTTTTTTGTTGGATAATGTGGCTGAGGCTATCTAAACAGATACCTATATTTAAATGAATGGACCGAACCAGGAAAATAGCATATTGTATGGGAGTACATCAAGCAGCAAGAATATGCGGGGAAAGTAGTTTGAGTCTAGAGTCGCCTATTTGCATAGTGTAATACTGTGGCATTCTAAATGTTCTTTATGTTAATTGTAAGGTTGAGATTACAGAGTTCAAATGGCCGCGTATTTTAAGTGGAGCGGATATCTGCTTTCACAAGAAACTGCGCAAAGAAGGTAAAATAAAGACAGAGGAAATGATGTAGGATTATATGATAATCAGTAATGCAATTGTGACGATCCGATATAACTGGGCGAATGTCCAAACTGAATGCTTGTGTAAAAGGGAAGCTGGAAAAATAACATACATTTTTAACGTTCTCTCTGCAAGTCGGGTTTCACAATATCAGATTGATACACTGAACATTTGGTGCAGCCTCCTTGGAATCTTTATATACGTCAGTCCTTGTACATTTTAAATCTTCTTACGGAATGAATTACAAAAATTCATAGTGACACGGGTAAGAAATGAATAAAGCTTCAAAGTAAAGTATGATTGGCGCAAATTTAAAATGAGAAGCAAAATAACCAGTTTAACTCTGTCTCCTGCACACTCGAGCTGGTACGTGCCATGTAAAGACATCAATGGGCGCAATTTTGACTATAAGGTAATCCTCAAATCCTTGTATTTGAGAGATATGATTTGCGCATTCACCGATGTTTGTACGTCATAGTTGATAGCCAAAACATGGCAGAAATGACACTAGCCGGCCCTTTGAGGTTCTCTAATAACATTCCTAATCTGAATGCCGAAGTTAAATGCATTGACGGAGCAAATGTAAGGCTGTGCTCGAGGTCAGAATATGAATGAAAACCACGTTGACATCACTTTGAAAATCACCTAAATTCCCCCAACCCTTTTACACTAATCAAGCTTTCCAAAGACAACATACGATGGAGCCATTTCAAATGTCTTTACGGAAATGTCAATATTATTCTTGAAGCAAATTCCCAGAACCCCTTACATGGACCGTCGCTGTCTGTGATGTTCAAAAGGGGTGTCATGGCCCCATTTGCTGATAGAGGATGAGCAACTCTTCATTTGCATAGAAGTTTAATAAAAATTTGCCGATGAAGTATCTTTAGAAGACAAATAAATCTTTGTTTCTGTTACATAAACTTTTGTGAAGGGGTGTCACTCCCCATACTCCCCTAAGCTACGGTCGTAGCCCTACCTGCCACCTGAGACCCTGAAGGAGGCAGGTGGCTTTTGCGCTTTTAAAAATTTTGTATTTTTGTACATTCAGTTGAATCGAGCATATTTTCATGCTGCATTCATAAGCCGTTAATCATCAGTCAATTACAATTTTTTACCCCTTGTTTGAAACCGGCTATGGGGAAGCGCGTGAGCGATGGGACACTTCCCTTAGGCTAAAGATTCTTGGGAGAGGTTTTTGCCATTTAGGATTCCTTCGTAGGCAAAATTTCAAACCTGTTTAAAGAAAAGCTCACTCATTTGTTGGAAAATGGGACACAACGGTTAGCAACAGCCATATTGCCAAATGAAAGAATTAAATATACCTGCAAGAATTTCGAAACAGCTGTACATTTTGCTACCACAGAACGTCTCACTTCTGTCTCTTCTATTACGAACTCTTTTGGCAAACCCAAAGTCGCTCAGTTTTGGTACCATATCTTTCGTAAGCAAGACATTTTCTAGCTTTATATCCCTGTGAGCAACATTCTTTGAATGAAGGTACGAAATAGCAGACAGCATTCCTTTGAACAACTTCTGGGCTTCAGGTTCAGCAATGAATTTCTTCTTTCGTAAGTACCTAAAATTAACAAGTCCCTGAAGTATTTTTCTAGAATGAGTTTCCCTGACACATCAATATTTCCTCATCGACTTTCTTTGATTTATTATATTGACCAATCTAGCCTGACTTTATAACCTCGATTATTTTTAGCTGCTGATTAATCAACGTTGATTAATGTAAACGCACAAGTATCATGTATTTGACATGATTTCTAATGGTATCATTGGCGATCTATTTTCAAAGAACAAAACAATAATATAAAACTATGTTTTTGTCATCGCAACTTTCCTATATTTTACCTAAAACTTTCCTCTAAACAAGGTTTGTAGGTTTTCTGAAGTTGAATCTGTAGGTATTTTGAGCCTGTAGCTTATATCTCAAGGCTATCGGAAGAGGGGGGCTGCCCCCCCCCCCAATAATTGTCAAAATGTACTATACTTTTTTAGAAATGATGTAATGAATGAGAAGTAATATAGTGGGCAGCCCCTCCCCCCTCCACCTAACATGAATTCCGTTCCGACGGCAGTGTATCTTCAGTGTTGATAGTAAGATAAAGGAAATTGAAAACACGCTTGTGAAACCAATGAACCTTCCCAATGTAGACCCAAATCGTTTGACTTATCCTGTTAGAAAAGGAGGAAGGAAAGTTTCTTATGAAACCAACTGATAGTGAAAGTAATAAAACAAGTTGGCTAAATCGGAAAGATTTTCAGATTTTTGGTTCGTTTTGACAACTAATACACCGTTTTGACACGTGTAAGGATAAAAAGATCGTTAGGATTGACAAATATGACATTATGAAAACCAAAAGACAGATCTGCGATTGTGGTCCCTGATAACATGTTATTTCGCTTAGGTTCGCTCACTACAACTAACCAAAATGTCCGGTATTTTCTTTAAGACGATCATTTCTTAAGGAAAATAGTTTATCCCGAACGTTTTGTAAGCAGAAAATCACTAACTTTCTGTCATATTCTACATCACAAATATTGAGGAAAACGAAAGGCCACATGAAAACTGATTTGAAGGGAGGAACTGAATAGTTACATAATAAAAGGAAAGAACGAAAATTGACCGGTTTCTAAAAATGAAGATTGAAAGAAATATCTATTAAAAATGCGATTTAAATTTAGCGTTTCTGTAATGTTCCTGGTGCAAACTAATGGAAAACCGGAACTTGTCTGGGCCTTTTAATCTAGTTTAGTCCAATTCAAAAGAAACCAACTGGAGACTCCTAAGGGCTCCGCTCCAAAGTGGATCAATCGAGATTCCGGGTTCAATTGCAATTCCCGGTTCTGGTATCATGGAAACCGGTCCTGAAATTTTAGTACTAATAGCTTTCAAAAGACACATTTACTGGAACATCGTTTATAAACTGGGCGGACATAGCGATTTCGGATAGGAAATCTGCTCAGTTAGTCGTAATACATACAAGGGGGCTGGTTGAGTGAAATCAACGGATAGGTCGCCTAGGGTAAGGACCCAAAATGAGATCCAGAAATTCTTTTTTTTTCAAATCCTGATTCGCTATGTCCGGATGCAAATCATTTCAACCTACCTGCAAAGGTCTCCGTTGTCAATATGTTCCAAGACCATATAGATTTTTGGACCGCATTCGAGGATTTCAAAACACTTGACGATGTTAATGTGGTTGGCAACATAAGTAACTTGCTTCTCACGACGAATAAAACGACAGTCTTCTTTCATATTGTTTAAATCCACAATCTTGACGGCAACAAATCGTTGATGTTTCTTTGAATAAGCACGCTTGACTTTGCCGTAGCTCCCTTTTCCGATTGTGGCCTGAAGCTGATATCCCAGTGGCTTTAAGCTTTCCTTGTCATTTATATCAGATGACGTATTCTGCCGCAATTCACGCCCATTTCTCCCGAATTTACTCTTGCGCAATACGCTTGCGTTTGCGCCCATCGTATCAAAAATATATTAAATCCAACTGCACGCAAAACTCCAAAACTGAACGTATAAATTTTCATTCGGCTTAAAGCTTCAACAGAAATTCCCTCCTTTGCTAGACTAAATTTGCCCCTAATACCCTGAAAATACCACTTGACTGTTTCAAGTATTGGCCTTCGACAAATTCTACATCAAATTTTAACACTGATGGTGTTAACTCCAATGTTACTTTCACCTTACCCCAGATCTAACTGAATAGCGCACGGACATCACGTACAGCCTCGTTGTCATGAGCTATCAAATCATTGTGACGTAATCGATTGGTATAACGTCAAAAATGAAGGAAACCACTGAATCAAACTGTCGTTGTCGTTGTCAAACTGGTAAACATATGAAACAGCTCAAAGTGATATTCTTTTAAAAATAAAATAGCCCATAACAAAAGGGTCACTACATGAACATTGAGTCATAATGCTGGCCAAGATAATCTGTTTACCATCTAAGTGACTTCAAAATTTGCACAATAACTGTAGCATTCTAAAATCTTTTCTTTCTAGCGCCGATTATACCTTCATTATCGTATTTTCTATCCCAGCAATAAAACTTTCGTATATTATCTAGACGGTTGTCTTAGTCGATGAGTTATTTGCACACAATTTTCATTAGCCCCAACTATATTTTCTATATTCTGGGAGAGGTAGATTAAACGAAATTCAATATTTTAAAATAGTGCTGCCTCAAGGAGATGTGATGGACATAACGCTTTATATATAATGAAAACTGCCTTTTCGAACATCTCTTATTTACTTAATGAATCAACTTTTAATAAAAAATTCAGTTTCCACACCCGATTTGTTAACATAGTTTCTCGGAGGAGGGTTTTCAATCTTTGTTTCGTTGACCGGAAGATAGGTAAACACTTTTATAAAATCTGTCTTAATAATTTGCAGTAGGTTGAGAACCTCTTAGTTAATTCATGTCAACTTTAGCTTTGAAAGAAAAATGTTGAATAACATAAAACGCTAATAAAAAGATTGAAAATGATGCAAATTTATAGATTTTGTACATGAATAATATTTTCACAAACATTATGAACAAAAGCCTTCGAACAGTTTACAAACAGCTTTCATATTTTCTATACAAACCATGAAGGATAACTACTGATTCTTGCATTAAACTTTAGAAGTGTTGAAGTTCTTTCTTTTTATTATTTGTTGACATCACCATGGGGTCATACCTAGAAAAGTCGTTAAAACACCATTAATAGAGAAAATGGGTCTAAAATAAAATATTGAGTTCTAAAGGAAGACATCTAGTTGAAAAGCTTTTATGCGAAGTAGACACCAAGTATTGAAATCCCTAGCTCTAAGATGGTCTTGGCTGAATATTGGATTATGGGTTTATTTGGGGCTTGTCTAGTGTGCGATTTGTGTGGTCTGCAGGAGGCCGATTACTCTTTTTGGTGTTTTCGGTTCTAATTTCAACAGCATATAGCCATTTATGTACCGTTAATTCTCTATACCTTTGTTGTGTCCCAAATTCTAATACTTTGACACATCAGTAATTTGATATGATATGATATGATATGATATGATATGATATGATATGATATGATATGATATGATATGATATGATATGATATGATATGATATGATATGATATGATATATGATATGATATGATATGATATTATATATATGATATGATATGATATGATATGATATATGATATGATATGATATGATATGATATGATATGATATGATATGATATGATATATGATATGATATGATATGATATGATATGATATGATATGATATGATATGATATGATATGATATGATATGATATGATATGATATGATATGATATGATATGATATGATATGATATAATATGATATGATATGATATGATATGATATGATATGATATGATATGATATGATATGATATGATATGATATGATATGATATGATATGATATGATTTGATTTGATTTGATTTGGATTGATTTGATCAATAGTCCTTTAAGGTAGCATTACGCACATGGTGGCATGAAAATCCAAAAATAAATCATGGGCAGAAGAACCTAGCTTGCTTATACATTTGTGTTGCAGAAATATCCTTACAAGATGACAAGAAAAAGCATATCCTCTTCTGCCATAAATCCCTGACACCATGAGGCAACATCTCATTTGAGAAATAACTACCAGGAGATCGTTTGCATTTAAAGTCACTTGAATTGATCCTATTGGCTTATGATTAAATACCCAGGGATTAAAACATGATATTTGATTGGCTCCTTGTACAGCCTAGTTGCTTGAGAGAAAAGTAATTGTTTGGTGTCGATTCTCTGGCTTCATATTCAAAATATGTATGCTAAAGCCATAGAAGTCATTACTTGCCTTTATTCGTTGAGTCTGAATACGTATAGCTTTTTTATAATCGGATAAGGCCTCTTTCTTCTTTGAAAGCTTTCCTCGGACATCTGCTCGACGTTTGTAAACAAGAGCATCGCCAGGTTGCAATGACAAAGCTACCAGAAATAATAATAATAAAACGGTGAGTCATGTGTCTTTATACCAGGGTGCCGTGGCTTTACTTCGACAAGGGGCTGACTTAGGTGCAATTCTTATAAACGGCCTGTATTTTTAGAGCACCTTGATTTTCCTTTTTAGGGGAGGGGGGGGTCAGATTCACCGGAATCCCTTTTAATAAGCAAGTATGATTATATGTGTTGCTATTCGTTATTCAGAGCGATATTGTTTCACTGCAGTCCCTATGATGAGATGTCTCTCATTTGACCACGGTCTGGTAATTGTCGCTTTAGAAGCTTGACTCAAAATAGTACATTGATATTAGCAGAACTAAATATAACAGGCAATTGAGCTAAAATCCCGAACAATTTACCTGTGGTATAATCTTCTTCAGCCTCGTTGTATCGCTTGAGAGTGGCATTGAGGTTGCCTCGATTGAAATAGATGTGTGCCGACAAGGGACTGAGTTCAGCTGGAAAAACAAGCCAATCAAGTTTCGTTTGTGAAAAAGTATAAAGTAAATAGAAAAACTATGAAGTGAAAGAAGGTTTAAGACAGTGATCGGATAGTGAATTAAATAGAGCAATTACCTGCTCGGTTGAAATCTTCTAGTGCGCCATTAAAATTTTTCAGTATCACCTTTGAAAAAAAAATACTTGAAATAAAGGTTTTAGATACAGAATTATTAAAAATGTTTGAACAATTTTCGATCCTTACAAATTTTTCTTGCACACTTCGGAAAATCTTTGCAAATTCCCAATAGAATCTCCCCTTCTCACTCAAAGCCAAGTTGTTTTAAAAAATTAATCTATTGATTTCGGTCTGGTCACTATTTTTGTAAACTATAGCATCAAGAATGTTTCATGGAAAAACCTTTAAATCTTTCAAAAAAAGCTTAAAACAATGCGTTCCAAGGACTTATGTCAAGAACTGGACTGTAGCTAATGTTTTGAGAAGATAAAATTAGAGGGCAAGATGAACAACTAGACGACTTAAGCGAACAAGATTAAAAAATATGTTAGCCCTACATTTGTTCAAAAAAAACAAAAAGTGTTAGAACCCTCCTAAAAGTCATGAAAGCAAGAAATGGTCTGAGTGCGATACTTAGAACTATTTTATTATCAAGCTTTCTCTTAATTACCTTATTGATCGCATGATAAAAAGATATTTGGCTATTTGGGCCTACTCCTGATTTCATCGGCAAGCAAATTGTTTGCTGTTGGGTCTTAAAGAGGGCGAGGTGAGGACATTATAAGGTGGGGCAAAAGTTCATCCATTTTAATTTTTTTTATTTCACTAATGGTAACCGGTCAGTCATGGGCTTATTTTACAGGAGGTCATGCCATAAACAAGCAATCATCGGTTGAATTTTGTAGCGATAAGCCTAATAACAACAAAAAGTAGGAGTATATTCCCTAATCATTTCATTCCTTTTAAACTTAATAACCTTCCAAATTTATGGTTAAAGAAGCAAGAACATTTCTCTTTGGAGAGAAAGTCTTGGAGAAAGAGCATATGACATATGACATGGTTACAAGGAAAGCCTCTGTAGGATTGTTAACTCTCAGAGGTTCGATGATAAATAGAGAGTTTAAAGAAAATACATCATTGCTACAGTGTATTTGCATACCCGTGTAATTGCTCTGTTGAGAATTGCTGATTCATCTGTACTGTTCCAGCCGATAGCTCGATCGTAGAACTCGAGAGCCTAGGTGAGCCACATACAATATTACAGTGCAATATAGTACAATATTAATATTACAATATACAATATTACAGTGTATTATCATATTGACAATTAGTTGAAAGTAAGGTTTATCATTTCTCAGAAAAGAATGGTTAGATTTGATAAAGGTATCTTCCATAAAAAACTCGATGTCCAAGGTCTTTCATTATAATTGTTTAGGTAAGCCTTTTTTTGAAGCGATATCATAAAGATTTATAAAGGAATGATTCAAACATAAAAATATAAATATACGAGTAATTGTTTCTAAAGAAATGTAAAACTTTAAAAAGGCCATGTATGAAAATATAATGAAAGCCCAATCAAAAAGTTTATAGCCTTGCAATGCGTGACAGGAGTTTTCAAAGTCGGTATCAACAGGATATGAAAGCCAAATGGAAAAGTTGGCATGGGAAATCGTGGCATGGTTTTTAAAAGGCAATACCGCAAGAAATACATACCTGTTGGAATTGCCGATGATTGAAATACAAATTGGCCGCATTGTAATATGCAAGAGAATATGATGGGTCCTTTTTCAGAGCTGATTGGTAGTCTCTCATTGCATTCACAGAATCACCCATGAACTACGCAAGAAGAAAGAAATTGCTATTACAGATTAATATAACAAAGAATGCAGAAAGTTAAGCAGCAGGGATCGTATTACCGAAATCATTTATTGGCGAGCGACTATCGACGTTGCAAAAAAACTTGTAAAATAAACGCTGATCGATTTTGTTACTCCATTTACAAAGTCTTCCTAATAGATCATGTTACTCACAAAAAGTAAAGAAAACTGCGTGATAGGTATGCCAGGGGAAAATGTTAGTAAAACTTTTAAAAATCGATTACTTTTGTATTAAACTATTCCTTGTTGTTCCTAACAGTCCTTTGTTAAACTCAGAAACACTAGTTAGCATTGCAAACAGTAAAGTATCTAACATCAGTTTTCCTCGTATTTACTTTGCAAAATCTCGAAATTAATAATGTAATGGTAAAGTTGTAGGAGCAGTGGCATTACCTGATTAATAACTCCTCGATTGGTTAGAAATTCAGCAGTTGTCTCTATCTGAAAGTCAGAGCAGGAATAATCTTTTTGCGTTTTGTTTTCTCGTGGAAAAATATCACAATAACATTGCTTATGAGATACGAGATCCATAATAAATCTCCCTATGTCTCACACAGTGATAACACTAAGATGCATTAACCAATCAATAAAGCTTATTTGAAAGATATCAGGTACCACATAGCATGATCTATATACAGGGCAACTTGCTACCTGTCTTTGCGCCTGTCAATACCTTTTTATAGAAATTCTGCCTACCTCAAGGGCGCGATTTATATCCAAAAAGGCACCAAATGTATTCCCCATTTGCAAACTAACAATTGATCGTCCTTCGTAAGCTGATTTGAAGTCTAAAAAATGAAATTGAAATTATAGAAAGTGTACAAAAAAGGTTTGGGAATAAGAATAAAAACGTGAGAGGGTGGGTTATGTGGAATGCTCAATACAACTTACTGAGTGTAAAGTTATTTTATAAAGACAGGAATGTAAACTGAAGAAAGAAACGAAAAAGGGAAAAATCGAAAAAAATATAAATGGAAGAAGGGAAGAATGGAAGAAAGAAAAATGGAAGAAAGAAAGAAGGATAGAAGGAAAAATGGAAGAAGTTTGCCACAATGAATAGAAAAGGGAATGGAGACATGAATGGACATAAGAATGGAAAGAATGAATAAAAATAGAAAGAAAGAAATAGGAAAAAGAGAACTAGGGAAAAATGAAAAAAAGAAAAGGAGTAGAAAAGAAGCGCACATAAGCAAAGAAATATTCTACCAGCGAAAAAGGCGGGAAGAACATGTAACTTGGATAAGAGGCAGTGAAGCATAACAGGGGATGTTGTCTAATGAATGTCAATGTAGAAAAGAAAACGAAGAAGAGATGTGAGATAAGAAAAACGAGTTAGAAGAATGGTAAATGGAAGAAAAAGACGGATAAAAAACCAAATTCGAGATGTACATGTTCACGAACGAATGTGTTCATAGGAGACGAAAGTAAGAGATGAGGTGAAATATAAAAAAATTAAAACTGTAGGAACTTTAGTAGAAAAAAATACAAAACATGTAAACTGAAGATATAAAAACAACACGACGGGGATATAGAGAAAAGAATGCAAAAACAAGAACTTTATTGATGTCACAGTCGATTAAAAACTACAGAAAAAAGGGCCTTTATACGAAAAAAAGAAAGAGCAGGAACAAATTTTTTGAGGGAGAGCTACATGTAAGGGGGCAACATTCAGAGAAGCAGTTTAACATATCACCTACTTAACGGTTTGTAATTTCAAAATGTTTTTTATGGAGACGGAAATGCATACGCTAGGGGCCAGATCCCTTGCAAAGAGTCTTACTTATGTCATTTTTACTTATAAAAATCGCATGAATACTTTGTCAATAAAAGAAATTGACCTACTTTCATCAAGTTCGATGCATTTCGTAAATTGGATCCAGGCAGCTTTAAATCTTCCTTGAACCTAAAAAACCGATTGTTTTTTATAATAATAGGGTTATTTTGTCAGCTTGATCTGAAAAGGTAATTGATCAAGGTGATTTTGTCGCATTTCGTTTAGGGAAAATGGGGAGACTTCAACAGCTGGTTGGTTTATGGAAGTTGCTTAATAAAAATTTGTCTCCCTCTAATGATAGTGCGCAATCAAACACGATAATCGGGCACTTTGCTAATTTAAAGATATTTTTCTAAGAGGTTTATAATCAGCTTTCCCTTCACAAAAAACCAATTCAGGCCTCCCTCACCCCTCTGTACGCAAATGAGGCCGAGTAGAGATGAAAATGTTTTTTAAGGTGGCACTTAGTAATACCATTAGTTGTAGTGATAGCGAGTAATTCGTTTAACAACAGACAACATGGTCATTTAACAACATATAATAGAGTAATCTATTGCTACTAAAAATTTCCGTTTTGTATTAATTTATGGGTGCATTCTAAAGAGTTAAATAGTATTCCCGTTTACATCTGACAGAAATTTGCACGGATGACATGCAGAACGAATGAGATTTAGAAAAATTGCTTTAGAATAAACCAACTTAATATTTACAATACGAATTATTAAATTGTTAATGAGTTTGTGGGCATGCAAGACCATTAGAAGCAATAAGAAAGTATTAATTCAGCTTAAAGCCACAGAAGTATAAAGGATGTTCGAGGGGGATTCAATATTGCGTACGGTAATTGCAGACACAGAATTCTGTGCGGTACTGAGCAGGAGATTGAGAAGAGAAACTTGTAATGGTTGCGTGCATAAGTAAAGTTATTGAAAATATCTAATGGGGTCCTTTCTGCGATAGGGAGGCAAGGGCAAATGAAATAATGATAAAAAAGATTTTGCAAAAAAAGCTCTTTTGTTTTGTATTGGAATGGGAAGGGGCCATGGCGCTCTGGTCCTCTGTCATCGGGGGCCCTGTAACAATACTACTTTTTGCAATGCTGCCCAATAAAATTATCTTATCAGAAAGCAATATTACGTAACTCTAGAACCAAGATGGTTTAAGCAGAAAAATGATAGGGGCTTTTTGACCCAACCAGAAACTGTTTATCTCTAAAAGCATCGCTTTAGTTGCCAGGTTTATAAGCGAAAAAACACTTTCAGAGGTCACTAAATACCATCACCTTGCCACTGCATGTTGAGACGGTAAGACATTTATAATATTTTTTGGAATATGAAAAAAACTTTAAAGATCTAGCTTGTTCGCATGGCTCAAATCCAGTCTGGATTAAACAATCAGCCATGATGTGGATACTTCAAATTTGTTATAGGTTACTAGGGCAAAATCTCAAGAAAAACAATCAAAACAAATTCCCTCAAGAATTTAAGTAGAATACCATAATTCTATCTGATTCTACCATTTGACTTAGAAATGTAGGCTCTAATTGAAGTACGGACTCTGATGACGGTCCTCATCGTACAGGCATCAATGAACACATAAAATCATTTGAATACAATATTTTGACTTACCTGTAAAGTATAGGCTAGGCTAACACGTGCTTGCAGACACTTTGGGTTCAAATGTAAAGCACGAAGGAAGTCCCGTCTAGAGTAAAACGCAGAGAACGCTATTGACATGGACACTTTACGTCAGGAAAACATAATTGAAAAACGTCACAAAAGCATTTTTAATAGCTTAATATTTCATGATTCAAAGAAAATACGTTCAAGAACGCTTAAAATATTATCGATACATTTTAGAAGGCACGACGAATTGAGACTTTATTTCAAATTAGGCGTTGTAACAACAACATTCTGATCATCGTCAATGCAATACCAATGGCGGGAAAGCTAGTGCTTGCCTAAAATGTATTAGTTAGATTACAGATACAGAGACAAATATTGTCATATCAAAACTTTTCCTAGATTCAAAATGCAATTAAATTTCAAACAGCAAAAAATTAAAAATCAGGTATTTTCTTTTTGAAATAATGAAGGTTGTATCTTTTGCAGTATATGCTATCTTTCTTCTGAAATTTCATAAAATCTAAAACAGAAGATGTTAAGATATTGCACTCTTTCCTTCCAGTTAAAAAATTGATGAGGGACAGATAATAGTACATTGTTCTTTATACATATACAAATGTATCTTATAAATATATGTATCCTATCCTGCCCGGGTCTAGGTTTGCATCTCACTAGGTTTGCAATGTTTTTGTAGGTTGTAATACTTTATCCACTCAAATGATGATTTATAGAGAGTTTTCAAGAGGTTTTGGGAGATTTTAAAAGAAGGCAATAGGAAGTTGTCAAAGGCGTACGATATTTTGATCGAATGATATGTCTTGATTGTTTCCAGAATCTTTTATATAACAGGAATCAATTTTTGAGCCAATGCATGGATAAACGTAAACTGCATTTCTTTGTTGGTAAAAACTCCTTACAATTGAGTTTGAAAATATAGAAAATCAAAAATACGCACCTTGCTTCCGTGGTGCTTTCTGCTGTGGCGTAGTCAATAATCGCATTTCCTCTGCCTAGCAAAGCGTCGACGAAAAACCGGTCTGTTTTCAAAGCATCAGTGAAACAAGATACAGCATCCCGGATTAGTCCAAGCCTGATTGTAAAAAGAAGATCTGTATATTCACTGGCCACTATATATGTTACCCCAAACGTGATACCCATTCCATTTTGATTATGCAACAGTTAGTGATACTAGGAACGCTAACTTACCTGGTGCATCATTTTAAAAAAGGACACAAAATATTATTTTAGGATCTGGAAACTATAAGGTTAAAAAGAGAGTGTGTGTAAATAAATTTTATGAAACCTTGAGTAAGATAGACAAGAGCGCTGAACAGTGAAATTCAGTGGCCATTGAGTTATTTAACATTCACTAGGATCATAAAGGATTACATAGGATTATGTAGGATAATTATTCAGGATTTAGGGTAATATTAAAAAATATGTAAAAAAATGGTATATAGACATGTCATTTGCTCTAATTCAGAAAGCCATAGCCACAATTACAGCTTAGAGCTACAATTATCAAATATTCCTCTCCAGTTTATCAAATTATCAAGAATCCTTTTGATCTTTAGTTTCCTATCATCACTGTGTACAAAGTTGAAATTAAGCGATTATCATAACCACAAGGGCTGTGTTGTTATTAAAGTTTAATATATCAACAGGATTTTGCTATTTGAAGTTAATTTAATTTAAAAAAATACACATGCAAATTGTCCGAGGAGACTGGAAGTTAGGCTAATTCGATTAATGGCGCGTACAGAGAGCTTCATTGTTGCATACAGAAAGTGAGTTTCATTGTTGCATACAGGGAGTGAGTTTCATTGTTGCATAAAGAGAGTGAGTTTCATTGCTGCATACAGAGAGTGAGTTTCATTGTTGCATACAGAGAGTAAGTTTCATTGTTGCATACAGGGAGTGAGTCTCATTGTTGCATACAGGGAGTGAGTTACATTGTTGCATACAGAGAGTGAGTTTCATTGTTGCATACAGAGAGTGAGTTACATTAATGCATACAGAGAGTTTCATTGTTGCACAAACAGGCACGTTTCTAATTTAATGAAATGCGATCTGTTTCATGAAATGATAGCCTAGCTCAAAGGGGAATCTAAATCAACGTTCAACGCATATTTTTAAGTTATGAGGTATTTCTTTTTCTTTTCTCTTATATAGGATCTTTTAGATTAGTCAATCCATGTAATTAGGGTTAGTCGTTTTTAAGCAGGCACATTGAAAATCCATATGTTTGAAGCTATTGAATATACGTAATCTTCCTTACATAAATGAAAACAAATAAAAGCACTTCACATTATAGGAACCGCGGAAAAAACACAAATATTTGACAAAGATTTAGTAGGCAAGGATTGAGGGGGCCGAGAGAAATGCTCTCAAAAGAAGTTACAAGTAAAGACTGAATATTTGGTATTTTCAATGGAAAATTACTAACGTCTGGAAAACCAAGAATGATTTTCCCTTTAGATAAAACAAAACACATACCTTTCCTTGCAAAAATGTCTTATTAGAAGTACCCGGGGTGCAAGAATATTCAAAAAGAATTTCCATGTTAAAACTATTGCTTGGGATTTTTGGGTAACACTGTCTTTGACAGATAGCACTGCTTCGGGGCGGCACCAGAGAAGTGGCTAAAATGCTTTAGGCTGCCCCAATGAAGGAAATGCCAAAAGCAAATCTGTTTTCTATAGTTGGGAAGGGAGAGAGAGGACTAAAGCTTTAGCCTTAAGGGTTTGTAACCCACTTCTCTTAGGAGACTTTCTCGTTTCAAATCCGTGGGCTCTGGAGGCTGCAACTAAAAACAAGATGACCTATCTAAAAAATCGATTGATAATTCTAAATAGGACGAGAACGAATAAAATCGTAATGAGATTAACTGTTTACAAGAGAAATTTCTGAATACGCACCTGTGGTAACAGATACCAAGCGTATGGTGAATTTTCGGGTTTCTCGGCTCGAGCTGTAATTGTTAAATTGAGGAATGTAATCAAGGTGCGGCTTATTACAACGGCAAATGGTCGATATAGCAATATTAGCTTAATTTCAAAGTGAAATTCAATGAAAATGCAAATTAAACCTGTTAGAAACTATTGACAATGTTTGGGCTAGAATTCAGCTGCATCAAAGCTACAATACTTGCTCTCTAGCTCTTGCTGCTTTCTTTCTATTTTCAAATCTTTGAATCTAATTTTCGCGAGGCATGTTTACATGGAGAGTCGAACGCTTTTTTCAACTGGAAAATCACTTATATGAACTGAAAAAATTACGGACATCTCAATACGAAACTCGTAATAAAAATAGGAGGGTCTATAATTTTTTTCCTTCCAAACCAAACAAATTTATAAACGATATTTAGCTGGTTTCCAGCCATACGAAGTACGATGGTTCCCTTTTACTTTATCCAAAATATCAGACTGAAAATGCACATACTCTTGAGGCCGTAGAAAAATCTTGTAGCGCATTATGGAGATCACCAATTTCCAAGTACAAAAGACCACGATTTTGAAGAACCTGAAATAGAAGAGTCATAGAATGTGGATGGAGAAGAACCTGGCTGCGAAATTGAGAAAATTTAGACTTAAGCAATCAACAAAGTTTCATGATATAGGAGTAATATTCTCACCCAAAAATAAAAACTGTTAGCAGGCCCCCACCCTTATCTAAAAACTAAAATTGTTAGAATAAATCATTTTATTTCATGATAAAACACACATTTTAAGAAAAATGCAGAACTAAATCAAACGAAGCATTTTTACAATGTTTATCTTTTCAACAACAATATGCAGAATGATTTCTTTCTCACGGTGAACTTTAAAACAAGCGAAAAAAATTCGAAAATGAACCATTGGCATGGCAACTTAAGCATCAATTTTAAAGGCAACCACTTGTTTCAGCCCCCCTACGGTTGAAATAGTCCCGGGGGGGGGGGCTTACTTGCGGATTAACGGTACTGTCAACAGTACAAGCAAGTCATATTTTGTATTAATGACGTTGTTTGATCTCAACTTCTGCCAAAGAAAATGTATCTACCTTCATGTTCTCTTTCTTCTCTAAAAGCAATACCACGCCATAATCTTTCAATGCCTATTGAAGAAGAGAGAAAAAATATATGATTGATACAAAAGCACAAACGTCCTAAAGCATAAACCCAAGACTAGCTTGCGTGCAGGCAACCCAAAAAGGATCTAAGAATACAAGGTGCGAGGATGTCTCAGTTGTTAGGATCGCTGACTACAGACTTAAGAGTCCGTGGTTCGAGTCCCTGAGATGATTAAACTTACACCCAGAGTGGGGAGAGTCGCCAGCTCTATAATTTCAGACATAGGACTCACGAGGTGATGTCATATCGAAAGGAAGGACAAGACACTGCTTGATGATCATAGCTTCTCAGTGTCCCAAAACTACCTTCGGAAGCTTGGTAGCAAACAATACAAAGAGCAGGGGCAGACACTTGGTCAAATATTGGGGAGCAAGCCTATTGTTTTAATAAGATGACGTCATATTTTCCATTGTTTTAGAACAAAAGACCATTGTCCTCTAAAGTACTGGAGTCCGCCCTTGACAAGAAGATCTCACCCAGATTTGGAAATTAGCAGATTGTGAGCACTGATGGTTTAAGATGCAAAAGAAATAAATCCACGAAACCATAATGCAGATGTGGTTGAGCTTTCGGTGCAAATAGCAATGGCAAAATTGGATACCATCATGTTGCGTCTATACGACAGCTTACTTTGTCTAAAACATGCAAACATATTTACAAGTTTCGTAATCATATTACAGAAATAAACACCACAATATAAAATTAAGTTCCTATCTGAGGTGTCATATGGAATGAAATAGCAAACAAGCATTAGGGAAAAAGATTAAAAGAGAAGTATACAAACCTTTTGATAGTGTTTCATTTCTTGATAACAAACTGCACGATTGAAGTAGGCCAAGTTGCAGCTTGGATCTATGGCTATGGCGACCGATAGATCTTTGACAGCCAGTTTGTAGGCCTTGATAAAGTATTTTAACGCACCTCTAAATAAAAACACGTTTTATTTCACTTTGTATTTCTGCCGGTAGATGTTGATGAATTTTGAAAATTTCACACTTGAAAATTTACATTTTGAAAATTTTTATACCTGTTTCTTCACAAAATATAAGCTAGTAATAAATATAGAATGAAATCTTTATCTATCAATTGAGATCAGGTGGGTAATAAACAAACTATAGCCTTCAATGAGTTTTTCGAACTGAGACCCTCTAGCAGGGATGCTGGGGCATTTGTAGCATCGGTAGCCCTTAGATTTGACCCTTGCCAACAAAGTTAACCACAAACGAGGCTCTATTAGCAAAAAAGCCTTACTTCAGTCGGAAGAAAGGACCCTTGATTATTAACAGTGCATTGAATAAGAATACCTTGCAATACCTTGCTTTCAATAAATTTATCAAAGCCCACCTTTACTCCTGATCTATAAAAAAGACTGGATCGAGCCTCCTATTGTTTCGAAAGACAAAAGTTTGAAGCCCGCTCAATTTCAAAAGGAAGAGGGCCCCAAACAATAGCGGGAAGCCATTCCTCAAAAACCAATACTTGAATGATAAGTGTATGCGAGAGCTGCAATGCTCTGCGTATGAATGCTGAAAAAGGTCAGAGCAGCCGAAAACATTGCTAGGAGAGACAGTGGGACCCTTCCCTCGAGTGGGTTGGTCTGGGGCACTTCTCTCGGATGGCAACACTCTGGTGACCAGAGTCTGGTCACAATAGAAGCTCGATCCAGTCTTTTTTGTAAATCAATATCGCTTACCCCAAGGGTTTCATCATAAAATAATCGCACTTTATTTCACAGTTTTCTGTCGATTTTTGCATTTTAGCACAGCGTACATTTTGGTTTAGAGAAGGTGCATAGTTGCTACTCTTACCTGTAAAGATATCCCCTAATGCTTTTCGGTTTCAGGCGGATAGCCTCGTTACAATTCAGTATAGCTTTAGCAAACCTCCCTTTCATGCCGTAGTATTCTGCTCTACTTAGATAGGCCTAGGAGAAGAAGCATCTCATTTTAAAACGTCTTCGTTACATTTAAACGTTACATGGATTATCTATATCCGGTAATCTATCATGGATACTTCAAATGGCAAACCATGTGCTGGCTTTGGCGAATATTTAAGAGGAAAGTCAAGAGCAAAAAACACAATATAAAGTATTGAGAGCATGTTGAGTTTTGATATTAATCTTTTCGTTAATATAGAACTTTGGACTGCAAAATCATATTATTACAATACATACATAGTTCCATTGAAAAAGAAGGTAAAGAAATTAATGCGTTGTCGACAGCAAACTAGAGACTTTATCGTGACAGATGTGAGCGTAAAAATATAGCTTTGTGAGACACTTCCTAGAGGACAGTTCCATCAAAAGTGGTTAATTTCGGCTTTGAGTCAATGTCTACGCGCTTTTTCATAACTTCAGCGATTCCTTAAAGACAGTGCATCCTTATAAAATGCAGTAGCATGAACAATAGTTAAAACTGCTTATGAAATGCTGACAAAAATCCAGCAGTTCTGTGATTTGATTGGTTTAGATCAAGCTACTGGAACGTTGATTGGCTACACCACCATCGCCTTTAAAAATAATCACTACTCAGATTCTGAGAAAAATGTAAACATTTATAAACACACCTGAAAAAACTTGGGGTTATAGGCCAGGGCTCTGTTGAAGTCTTGAACTGCCTTTGCATGACGTAATTTCATTTTGGACAGGCCTCGCTGGTAACAGCACTACACGATAATTAAGAAATGCAATGGAAAAGTTTCAGTAGTAAGTAGAAGGATCTTGCAATTGTTAATTATTCTGCATAAATTAGCAAAATGATAAATGAATGTAGAACAATATTCACATATTCAACCAACTGATACTTCTATCATGTGAACATGGAAACTCCCGAAATCCTTTCCGAGATATTTTTCTTCTGTTACGGATTAAAGTTTCCTTTACTCTTGGCCTCTCTCACAGAAGTATAAAAAAATAAACAATTCAGGCCCTGTTCACACAATGCCGGATTCATTTCGTATCGGATCGCTTTTCATACCTATCGGATAGGCTTTCTGTTCACACGATGACCCTTGAGTCTGATACGCTCCGTATCGTTTTTGCAGAGTCAAACCATTCCTCTGTTTCGAAAAGGCAGCTTCGTTTTCGGGGTTTTTAAAAACAGTTTGGCACTCTTTTCAAGACACAAAATCACAGTGGATCGCAGTTAAACAATAAATATGCTTCTTGCGATGATGATGAGCTTCACAAGATTGATGCAAAGGAAAATTAGATTCTTTAAGAATTGATTTCGAAATGCTTCTTCTTCAAAACAAAACAGCGTATCAGTTATTTCATGTCAAAAAATTCATTTAATCAGAAAAAGAGCAAAACAACGAACAACTCTCCACGTTGCAATGCAACAGCTTAAAGACAATGGATTTTTCGGAGCAGTGTTGAATCGCAGCGTCACTGGTTTTCCCAGAGATGAATCTAGTTGATTGGAAATTTAGTTGATTGAAAAATTCAGTGAAACCCTAAATTTTCTATTCAGCTAAATTCATCTCTGGAAAAACCAGTCGAGTCTGCGCGCAGGCTAAGCGTAACCGTGTGGACAGGAGTGAATCTGATACGAAATGAATCCAATATCGTGTGAACAGGGCCTTAGCTGGGGTACTAAGCCTTTTGGATGGTATTGCAGTGAAGACACAAACAAAAATAAGTACCTCCGAATATTCGGGATTGATTTTCAATGCATTATTGAAAGCATCCAGCGCGCTGTTGTGGTCTACCAAATCAGTGTACGCCATCCCAATCAGAAAATAAACTTCCGCGGCAGGGAACGGCCATTCGGCTTTGGGGTCCCAAGGTTTCTGGAATGATAAGTTAACCAACAACGAAATTACAATAAATATTAAGAATAAGATGCATCTAAGAGAGGGAATAACGTTCACAACCTGTACAATAATTTCATTCTCTTGACTTTGAACATCATTCGACCAAAAGGCAAAACAAAGCCATTCAAGCATACAGTTTATTTGTTAATCTCCATCTATATAGGGAGTTGATTATTTGCAGCTTCCAAAGTATGTTTTTTGTCCAGTAAAGGCTAAAAGAATAACAGAAAGGCAGAAATGCAACATGCAGGTTATAATGTTTACACTTAAAGTTTATCCGCATTTCCCTTCTATCTCACGATCAAGAGCACTCAAACCTCTTAAGTATGAGGAAGTGCGAAGACGAACTAACGGGGAGACTTTTTATTTCTGACCCCCCTCCCCCTAATGGATTATCCGGATCTCTTAAAATCAACATACATATACCCTAAAAAATTTTAATGGTTTGGTCGCAGACAAACGGAAGGGCCTTGATAATGATCTACTTATCTAAAAATTGTGTTCACCCATAGGGTATGAAAAGCATTCAATCTGGGATGCGTCCCCCACTTTGAGCTCCATCTTACCATTTAAAATCTAACAGATAAAGTGAAAACAGTAGAATCTACCATGAGCCTTAATGCTTCTCCGAAACAATCGATTGCTTCTTTCAATAGTTTAGCCTTCATCTTTGTTTTTCCAAGCAAGATATAAAGTTGTGGTACATGTTTACTTTTCACAGTCTTTTCAAGAATTTCTATTGCCTGCAAAAAATTTATCAACTGTTTACAGCAATGCTACCTCAAAATTCTAAAATATTGAATACACTTCAATGTCAAAGTAGTTTAAGATAAGGGGCTCTTTGCTTCTATTTATTTGCTTCGTTTTTGGTTTCAGCAGCAAAAAATCAGGCTCAGGCACAGGTATAAAAGAAAACCTTAAAGTATCAAACTGCCAATACCTCGACGGGCACAAGAAAAACTACAAGCAGATAATTTGATTTCTTTGATCTAATCATAAAATCAATCGTAGCATGGTTCATTCATTCGGTTTTTTCACCAAACTCTGACAGATGAGGCGATATAAATTTGGCCAGCTATTGTCAAGAGTCCCATTTGTTCCTTAAAAAAGATTTGATAGGCTCAAAGGTCCAAGCCACCCCATTTTTAGGAGATGATGTGAATAAATCTAAGCTAACTAGACGTTCAATAAAACAATCGCATAGAATGATCTTTAAACAAGGACACAATGAAGCAGACAGTTGCTTGCTCTTCAAAGAGAACTCAACGGTTATTCCTAGAAGGTCGGTTCGATACGTCTTCACTGCAGCAATGCTCCTTCATCGAAGCTCCGAATGTGTTATTTTCTTAAGTACTTGTATTTGCCTTTACTCATAAGGTGATTCAGAAATGCGAGCAGACACGTCTATAAACAAACCTGATTGTAGTTCTGGAGAAAAGCATACACAGCAGCTTGTTGAGTAGGGGATGTGCCACTCCCCTTGGACATGGCTGCGCATTGCCTGATAGAAAGATTAAAGAAAAAATTAAACATCCATTATATAAGTGCAAACATGACGTACTTAAATTGTTTTACGTTTAGCTTGCACTTATGTGAAAAAGACTTACGGTAGGTATAATGGCGGTGAAGAGAAAATGTCCTATAACTAAACAATGGAAAAATGGAAAAGAGATGCGTGTCTGAAGATCGCTGCATTTCAGCAATAAAGTTCATGGCACAAACATAAACTAACCCTACTGGCATAAAATTTACTGCCATATTAAGCTAACCATTTTTCAAAATGTTATTTAATTAAGCAAAGGCATTTACACAACACAAGTCAGCCCGATTATTTACCGCCTACCACTCCAAACATATATTGAAACTGGCTTTGGGTAAATGCTTGGGTACAATTGTGTAAAACTGTTAAACTTGGAGAAGATAGTACAAAAACTTCTGGCAAAGTTTGTCTCTTTACCAAAGAACAGTTCTGCATACCAAGGAGAAATCTAAAAGATCTGACTATGAAGCTACAGCATATCATGCTGCAGGCTAAAAGAAAAAAGTCACACACTCTAAGCACAATCTTTGAAGAAGGGAGTCACACTTTAAAAGATTCAAAACAGTAAAGAACAAGAATCCCGGAGATGGATTGAAAGCGGAAAGAAACTTTATCAGTGCATACTTGAAGTTGCAAAGTAAGGCCTGCGAGTGCATAAGAAGCTATCAATGCAAGCTATTGCTAAAAATACCACACCTAAATAATGCATCTTAAATAAAGAGTTCCTAGAAGATGATCATACTAGTATCCTGGTGTAACTTATGAGAAAAGTTAGCAATTCACGCAAACTTACTTGATATGGTAGCTTGCTAGTTCAAATTGCCCCTCTTCCATAAGCAATTTTCCCTGCAATAAAACGGACGCTCTGATAAAAGTTTTACAACCAGTGACAAGTGGCCACTTTGCTGGATTGTCTCAGAAATCTTCGATTGAAAAGATAATGAAACACCAGGTAGAAAGTATTAGATCATAGATGGCATGGTGAAATATGATTGCTTCGTTTTACCTAGCTACAATACTCTACATTAGATGAATATCTTAGGAATCGAGCAATCCTTTCCAAAAGTCTTGGTACACTAACGCCAGTTTTCAAGGGAAAATTCAGCAGCCATTCCCCTCCCGCCTTTGAACAAGTTGGTTTACTACAAAACGACGTAGGGGGTTAGAAAGTACACTTTTTCCGCGACTTCTATGATATTTTTCTTAATTATCAACATTGTTTAGGAGAGAAGAGGGTGCTGAAATAGGAGTATCCGGGAAAAGAGTTGCTTGATGTTCCAAGTACTTTTGGCAATGATTGTAGACCAACTTGCAGGCTTTCTTTTCTAGCAATTTACCTAGAACTTAACATTTTCAGTAGCCTAAGACTGATAAAGTTTGTTTCTCTTAAGGTACAGTAGAGGTACCAAAGATGCAAAAGATTTCTGCGATTATTATGAATCAAACATGAAAAAACCATTCATTCAAGAAAACAATTTCTTATCCACAAAGTTTGCAAAGCAAGCAAAGAGTACCCAAATCAAAACAAGGTGAGATCAAGTGCATCTATCAACTTAAAGGGATTAAAATCATTTTGAACAATATTAGATGATGGACATCTTCCTTACCCTTGTCATTCTGTAGTCTATAACATCTGGTCGCAAATGAATCGCTCTCGTGTAATCGAATATAGCATCTCGCCTCTGCAGTAAGGTAAAAGATTATTTGATAGACGCTCGTCTAGGCCTCACAATAAAAAGTCTTACGCAGAACGTAGATGTAGAGGAAAATACCAAATCCATTTCCCAGAGACGGTAGTTGAATTCACGAAACCTTGGGTAAACCTCAACTAAAATTTGCTGGAACAATGCTAAACAATATTTTAACCATCAAGGTAGGGGATACGACTGGCCTTACTTCTACCTTATAAGCTATACCTTGGACATTGGGGATTGACAAAGGAACGCTGGTTAAAGTAATAAATTCTATCCAACACCCTTGCTCTACGTCGTAAGATAAGATGTTTGAATCGAAATCAAACATACACTCGGATAAGTATAAAAATCGGATAGGACATACACTGTTCAGCATTTGGAATGCTTCTGCGCGGCAGATATAGGCACGAACATATGTCGGATCGACTCTGACTGCAATATTGAAGCGTCTTATAGCCCTAGAATAAGATAAAGTGAACACGATAAAGGGGTATGGAAAACACAAAGATATCATTAGGTTTAGGAACACTACAGAGAAAACACAGACAAAGACAATACACGCTAATTTCTCATAGTGTTTTGTCTTAGCTTGAAATGACCACTTCAATTGCAAAAATGCCTGGGATGACCTTTTCTCTCTATCTAAATTACAAAAGAGTGATGATTGATACTTTCTAGAATTTCATTCTCAAGCAATGTACCAAGATACCAATAGAGGACTTCAAAGGAAATGTTTGAGATACTGTAGGTTATGTGTCTCTGAAATTGCATATTGACCTATCATAATAGTACGTTTTGCCTTCAGCGTTGCGAAAATATCTAAAAGACTCAATAAAAGATTAATATTTAGGACAAAAAGTTGATGATACAAAAAGAATTGATGTTCTGACATACAGGGCTTTATCAAACTGGCAATCTCAGTAACTACTGTTGATATTGACAATAACGAAAACTAAAAATCACTTGAAAATTTACTCACATATGTGGGTTGTTCATCTTTGTCATTTGAATCAGGCCTAGATTGACATGGGCGGCAGGGACGCGTGGATCCAAACGAATGGCTACTTCAAAATCAGAGATTGCCTCTTCCCATCTGTACAAAGATAAATCAAATATCAAGATGAAGAATGCAAAGATGACATTTCAAGAGACACAGATTGCAAAAACATTTGTTTATTTTTAAAGCAAAAATATATACAAAAACTTTGATTGTACATACGTACGAAGAGATACGAAAACGTGCTTGTAAAGCACTGGGCATTTTTCGGAAGGTGTCTGCTATTAGGAGGTGCATGTTGTCTGGAAGTTAGTGGCACAGGGATCTGTCCGCTCATGTGTGCTATTTGGAGGTGCCAATTTTTAAAAGTGTTCATTAATGTAAGCTTTTACTGCACATAAGATATATTGAAAGAAAACTATTTCTTCATTAATTTCACCACCATAAATGAAAACAATCTAAAGATATACGCTCCTTTTGAATAGTTCAGTGTTGACCAACCAGGAAGATTTAGCTTCTAACCTAAATGTAGAGAGAAAAAAGGTGCTGCACTGTTAGAAAAAACTTTCTACAAGCATGTAAAATGATCGTAATACTTGCCTTTTCATTTCTGTATATAAAATCCCACGGTGAAGATAAGCATTAACATTTTCCACAGTATCATCCAGTAAGATTGAGGTGCTTAGATCTTGAAGGGCTTTCTTCTGTGAACATCTTTGTGCAAGAAATGATAATGTAAGTAAAATAATACAGAATCTAATTATCTTTGTATTAATTCTCCGGTGGAAATAATTGTCTGAGATGTTAAAATTGGGAAAAAAACAAGCTAAGTATATTCTACAACGATCTGAAAATGGTTACATACGCTTATAATAAATTTGACATGCATTATATATGCAACGGATAAAATGAAAAATATATGTTTAATTCGGAGAAGCAGGTAAAAACAAACACCAAAGCAGTTAATGCTCTGTCCAAAAGTCATCGAACTCTTCATTACCCTTTTATTTCATCCGTAGTAATCTCCTATTTATAACTTTTGATCTAGCTGATACGTTCAGACAGACAAAAATTAATCACAGGTTAATAGGTATGCCCTGGTGAAGTGAAATTTCATAGAGAAGCATAAAATATACGAGAGAGAAAAATATCCACTGTCTTAAAGAATGTAACTTAAAGTAGTTTTACATACCTGCGAAGGAGACAGCCTCGAAAGTAGAAAGCAGTTATGTTGTTAGGATTAAGGTGAATTGCAATGGAGAGGTCCTTCAAGGCATTTTCAAACATGGACTAGAAAAAAATGGTTCTTAATATTACTAGAAATCTTCTGATAGACATAAACAGAGCAAAGCAGCGCTTGCTATATCATGAAATAATTGGATAAAATATAAAATTTTGGTTTATTTCCTAATGGACAACTCGGTCTATTTGTTGAAAAATTCCACGCTTGATGAATAATACTTTTAAAGAGCACGGGAAATGCAAATGAAATTGAATTGAATGGGTTAGGGTTAGAAATAGGCGTACATTCTGAAGTTCAGGCCACTCCAACTACACTTATAAAGTACTGCTGACAATAACGAACTAATAAACAAAATTGAAAATCATAGGTTGCTAGCATTACCAATTTTGAGTATGCTCTGCCACGATAAGTGTACGCTTCTTCATTGTATGGTTGCTGAGTCAGCAATGCTGTGAAGTCGTTTATTGCTGCTGTCCAAGAACTAAACACATAAATTGGTTTATTTGAAAAATTGCAATTCAAAGTTTTTAAAATTTTTACGAGACTAACTTAATACGCAGTTTGAAGCCTCGACTACAGTCTTTGCCAATAGTCATTGGAGACCCCAGCAGTCAATGATAGATTTTGATGAAATAAAAGTTTCCAGCCGTAAGATACAGAAATATTCCCTCTAAACCCCTCTAAACATGTTGGTTGAAAAGCCTATTACTTACCCTAACTGATAGAGTTACATTGGTTGAACTTCAAGCTCTGAAACTGTTGTTACTCAACATTGCTTCAAGGGGGGAAGGTAATGCTACTGAACTTATGAGAAATTCAAGCGCAGTAGAATTGGCAAGCATTGTAGTCATCGGAGCATATTGCACTTCATGGTAAAACCATGCATTAAGTGCTTAATTTTACGAATCAGTTCATGCTAAATTTTGACAAATTGATATTGACAAAAAAAATCTACGACACCCTTAAATATACCTTAAGAAATAGTTTACTTTGACAACATGAACTGGAGGAAGATCATTGAATATCTCGAGATTGAGATATGTTTGCATATTTCAAGGGAAGGTACACTCCATTTCCCTTGAAAGTGTAATTTGAGCATTACTTTTTACGAAGACAGGCTACAATAAAATCCTAACAGATCATACAGTGTTTTCGATCATACATGTTTCTCCAAAATATTACAAGCAATACAAAAGGATTGCTTTCATAAGCACCCCTAGGCCTCTCTGATTCGACACCCCTGGACAGGTTACGCGGTATGTGTTTGGCTATTTATCTGAATAGTCCTGTCCATGGTTATAGAAGCAATATTTACCTGTTTTCAAAATGATAGATCCCGATATTACGTATGCCCTCTGTTCTGGTTGGGAGTATGGAATTCGCCTGTTTGAAATCTTCCAGCGCAAGAAGAATATCACCACGCTGAAATTCAGAAACAAACGTCCAAAGTGCGTTACAATTATATCACAAAAAATTGTGGACCCTTGTGCACAATTAATCGAATTTCAACATTTCGTATTGAAACAAGTCTGGTCGTATGAATTCTAGTAGATGACGGATTCATAGTCCTTCTCAGAAGGGGCAGGCCGAGGATTTCAATGTCAATAAAGAATACATTTTGAACCCTTCTCATATGAGAACGGAGAACTGTGGGCAGGGCCTTTATAAGACAAAAGCATAAGTGAAATCATAATTATAGGCTTAATATCCTTTAAACTCATTTACGAATATGTACAGCATTACTGGATTTTCCTAGGTTAAAGAAGACAAAGTACCTGCTGGAACATGTACGCTCTCTCGTAATAAATGTCAGCGTTTCCTGGCCGTAGCTTTATGGCCTAAAAAGCAAAATACTAATTTCTACTATCTACAATTATAAAAAGCAAATATTTTCAGAAAATGTCAAAGTTAACAGCATAACTTCAAAGCTTTTGCTTAATTTTGTCAAATATGCATCAAAAACATACTTAATTTAAAGAAATGTTAAAATACCCATAAAAAGTTTAGGAAGAGCTATTCATTATTTGCAAAATTCTCCTATCAGCTTCCATTGGGTAGCAGAGCCTCAGTTAAAGGATGGGATCGAATTGGCTATGAGAGAAGAGAGGCTCAAGGCTAAACAATACACAACCTCGACTTGGAGTAAACAAGCATATCGGTCGAATCAACTCTTTTATTGCTCGACTCGACTTTCCGTTTAGGCTCTGGTGCCCATGATAGCTATGCATATGGCAAAGATCCTTTTTATATGATTACGCATCAGAATTTATATGGTAGAAAGCCAAACTGTTCTCCCGTCTCTTCAGGCACGTTGATTAGTATAATGTAAATCGAATACATTAACGATACAGTGCAAAATTAAGATACTATCGTGTAAAAGGTTGAATCCTTTAATTTTTTGATATGGATTCATTTTTGATAAGGACAAGAGGGCCTTATTACAGAACAAAAATTGGGTAAGCGATTTTCCTAGCCAAATTTGTTTTCAAAATTTACAAAAGTTCTCTAAAGATTTAATAAAAAGTAGCAGAATTTCTAGGGCTAATAATGATATAGATTTGATTAATGACGTTAAAAAGAAATCTAAGTTAAAAAGCGAATCATTATTGATATCGGAGCATATTTCTTGATTTGATGAAAACTTCTGGTACCTGGGAATAGTTGAAAATTGCCATCGTGAAATCTCCTTTCTTTTTGTAGAGCTCAGCTCTGCGAAAATGAAAAATTTTACTAGTGCAGAAGGTAAAATAATAACATGCAAGCCAAGAGGTAGCTGTGAAGTTATAATGCATGGGAACTAATAGGGCAAAAGTGCTAAAAAACTGGCTTTTTTGGAGAAAACTACTCGTCTGAGTTCTGTATAAAAAAGACAAAATTTAATACAAGCTTGTGAACAATGGTATCTCGTCAAAAAATAGAATTTTACCACTAGATGAGGGGTAGAGAGGGAAAGAACGAGAAGCATTGAGGCTGAAAGAACAAGGATAAATAAAAGAAGTAGGGGTCGATTGGTAATGAGGAGGGAGGGTTTACAAAAGAAGCTTACTCTCCATTAAGATAGATAAGGTAGGTATTTTTATGAACCTTGCCTTTATCAGATCACGCACATTTTTATTTTCTGGGTCAATGCGCATCTCAATTCTTAGTTTTGATTGTTACCTTATACGAATGCAATAATATTTAAGATAATAGCTAAATAGAAGGTTTGACCCTTGTTAAGATGCACCTGTTCTAACATCGAAAATTCTATATCTTAGGTCAAGTAGAGACAGGTAATTATTGAAAACATTTGTAAAGAAAATCAACCTTGATAGATATGCTCCAACGTGAGTTGTGTTATGATTTAGAATGTAGTCTAAATCCTCTAATGCTTTCTAAAAGATGATTGAAAAATCGTTAAAATCAAGGAAGGGCTTTATACAGCTTTATATCAGACAGAAATAGCTGGGCATTGGCAAAACCTGGGTAAGGTCTGTCTCAACTTAAGATGCAAAAAATTAAGAGACCTTTGACAAAACAATATACATGACACTGGTCTGTCAAATATTCTAAAAATATTGTTATTCACAGTTGCAAACTATAAAAAGCTACAAATTTTTTGACACTACTAGGAAGTTCAGTGTATTTTTTCGGCTCTTTCTTTCATTAGCAATTCATTCAGAATCAATTCAGGATAACTTTAAAAAATTAATTTGTGTCATACTTCAAGTAAAAAAATGAATCTGCTTAATAAAAAATGAAAAAGAATGACGCGACGGTATGGCATACTTTTGTGTTCCCTTGTAACAAAAACAAGAAATGTCGGTGCCAATAGGCATCGAGGAGCTTTGGTTCAAGTTCAATTGCTCTGTCAAGAGAAAAAAGAATACAATGGAGTACAAGAGAGAACTCGAAAAAGAATCGAATACAACAATTCAAATTTACTGCTGAGAGCCTGTGTTCAAAGCATTGAAAGATTACTGTTGTGTGTGGTTTATACTTTTTAATGGTGCGAGCTTAGCCCTAAACAAAGTCTACTACACACCCATACGAACATCACACTGTTTGCTTTGCAGTTGATGAAGATCTGACTGAGCAAGAGTAGCGAGCTTCGATTTAATATTTTAATCACTTCTTATTCGTTGCGATTTGAATAAACTATGTGATGAAGTACCGATAAACACTTCTAGAAGCATTTTGGACCAAATACTGACAAAAGACATCTGGTGATACGTCATAAAGTGAAACAATGATTAGAATCACAACAATAACCTAATCATAACGTGAAAACTGGTGTATCACTGGTATATTGTTAACAGTTAGTATCAATTGTAGCAAGCAAGAGACAAAGTATAATGCAAAAGATCTCGTCCAATATGTTATAAAATGTTTGCTTTTTTCAAAGCCATCTTCAATCTCTGTGAAATAAAACAAAATAGGCACAAATAGTTATCGATTCTGCCACTGATGTTTTTCAAGAAAAGCTTACCTTCCTAAGTCTTCTTTTGCTTTTTTCAGATCCCCAGTCTAAAAGATGAAAAACATATGTCAATACGACCTTGAAAACAATATTTTACAACTTGCTAAAAGCTTTTTCATCTGACAATATTCCGAGCATATAATGTCAGAAAAACTTCGATCTTATTACAAATGAAAAAGCCGCTATTGTGTAGACAGAAGGAGCTCGCATTCGGGTCTGGGGAGCAGGAAGGGGGTAGAACATTTCAAAGTTTACAAGATCTAGGGAGGAAGGAAGAGTTGTGGGATTGAGTTCGTGCGTTAGGCAAAGAGACTTTGAAAGGGTGCCATTGCGCAATAGGTTTGGTCTAAAGTTATTGACAGACACACATCAGCGATCACTTACTTTTCTGTAGCAAGCACCTCTTCTACAAAGATGACATGCTAACATTTCTGGAGCGTCAGTTGAATCTATCAGTGATGTCATAGATTCGATTTCGTTTATCAGCAACTAGGACGAGAATTTTTCAAAATATGAAAAATGAAACAAAAATCGGACTTTTACAAAGTTAAGAGGCAATTTTCCGTGGAAAAAAAGGCACGGAGGAACGAAAAAGAGAATATTTTCTAATGAAACCTTGTAAATCTCTATTTCTGGATCTGACTCTGCCGGTGGTTTGATGATCTCAATCTGTTGCAAAATTTCTTCATCGATGTTTGTTTGAGGTTCACTGGCAAGGGAGAGATGACAATAAAATGATAAAGTGACATGACCAGTATCATACGATTGAATAATATTCATATGAGGGGAGCAAGCAAGCAGAGGATGCCGTGATAGAGCACAAGGGAAGTTGCTCTGTGAAGTTGGAACAGGGTACAACGGGGAAAAGCGGTACAAAGGTGACAATGGAGACAAAAAGTACAAAGAAGGATAAAGGAGACTAGAAAGGACAAAAGGGACAAAGGGTACAACGGGGAGAGGGTTCAAATGGGACAAAGAAGATAAAAAAAGAACAAAGGGTATACAGGAGGCAAAGGGAATGAGAAAGCACAAAGAGGACAAAAGGTACAACGGGTACAAAGGGGGAAAAAGAGACAAAAAAGGAAAAAGAAGGCAAGGACATCAAATGAAATATTTCCCTTTAAGGAACTCAAAGTTCCTGTGGTGAAAATTATTTTGTTATTTAGACATCAATAGTTTGATTGGAGCAAATAACAAGCAATCAAGGAATTAGACAAAAAGCTTACATCTCTTGCTCAGGAATATCTTCTTCGTCAACTGCAAAGCAAAAAGGACTATGTATATATGCTTGTGTTCTATGTGTTCTTTGCTTGTGGGCAATGTATAGTCGACTTTGTTCCGATCAAAGCTCACGGGATAAAAAAAGGAATAAATTGCATACAAATAAAGACAAGCCCGCTTGATGAATACCGCAGTGATTATATCAGATTGTCTTCATGTCTATCCAAAAATGATTTTTTTGAGTTTGTGGATTGATAAAACAATCACATGGCAGAAATACATACCAGAAGGAAGACTTGGAGGGTAAAGTTCATCAAACCATGGGTACCAGTAATTCTCTTTTGTCCAATAAAACGCATCAGATGCATCTCTGGATAACAAATTAAAATTCTTGACAAATGATAGATAGTATTACAAGAAAAGTCTATGTGTAAAATTATAGGTACCAAATTCAAGCGCTAGTAGAGAAATAATTTTAGCAGTGATAGCAATTACTCAAGGACACCGGAACATATTGTGGAGTAGAGGGGGGCGGAGTGGAGTTCTAGACAAATTGGCAAATTTTTAAAGTAGTTTCCCCCCATAATCTTTGAGCCCCCCCCCCCTAGCCCCCTGGCTCTGGCTTGCCTGCTATCTAAGGCAAAATAAATAATATCAATAAGTTATATTGTAGTACTCATGATATTAATTAGAAGCACAGCAGACTCGGCATACCTATGTGCAAAAAGGATACAAAAATTTGCCTAAATCCAATCAAAAATATAACAAACATTAAAGAGAACAAAAACCAGAGCTTTTTAGCAAAGCATCATAGAAAATGCAAAAATAACACTATCTTAGTTAAGGCTAAATAATGATCATAAATTTCAATACACAGAGACAAGAAAGTAGTATTTATAAATTGAGAAATATTGATGCTTTATTGAGAAATATAGGGTCTCAGTGAGAGAACGTTATTCAGAAGATGCGAAATAAACATGAGTAGTACAACATCCTTTATATCGTTCATTACAATACTATGATGCATGTAAATATGAAGACAATAAAAAAAAATAGAACACTTATTTGCAAACTAACCCTTTGAAACTTGAGCCTATAGTTTTATCAAAGTCAAGACGACAGTGTAAACTTCGCCTTCTTTGTCTTTGGCTGCAATTATAAAGAAATAAATTAGTTATTCATAGTGTGGAGTAAAAAGTGGGCAATTATAAACTGACATTATGGATAATGATGAAAATTCAGCAACGTGAAGGGATTGCAGTAATATACCTTTCTCTTCCCACAGTTTGAATGTTTCCTAATGATGTAGATCTAAAAAATTCAGTAAATCACCATAAGACATTCCTCTACTGAATTGAAAAGGTTTGATACACAAAATATACAAAATGCATAAGAATTTGAAAATAAAAAATCATATTTTCCCAGAACAGCCAGAATATATGTACGCCCTTGTGCACCCTAGTGCGCCCCTGTGTCTGGGGTCACTGTATATTGCGGTTGAATAAAGCATTTCTGCATTCTAAAATTATCCTCCTTATTCAGGCAGCTTAAAAAAGAATTTAATTTTTTAATTTCAATCCTACTGTTCCTCAGAATGCAAAGGAAAATAAGATCAGCAGATTTTTTGAAAATAAGACCTTTCAATTTTTCGAGGCGCTTGAAGCAAGAACTCTTGTATCTGCCTCTCTCGTTCCTGAAAAAGAAATAGCAAAAATTGAAACTTAATCATTAACTCAACATTCAAGTTGAGAACACAGAGTCCAGAAAATACTTCATTATACCATTATAATGTTTCTAAAAATTCAATGAAAATAAAGTGTAGTTTTCTTGAAGTTGCTGATGTTTTTCAATTTTCAAAAAACCTTTCTTCATTTCTTAGCAATGGCATAAAATATACTTCCATACATGTTGAGCCTTTCTAAAACATGTTTGGCTCTTCCCCCATTGGTTATTACTCTGCAGTCTGTGGTTGGTACTTGTAAACCGGCACATAACAAACAGTTAAAAGAAAACCTTGGATTGTGAAAAAATAAAATATCAAACCGGGTCTGGCCTCTTAATCTTCGGAGACTTCTTTTTGATCAAGTTCCTACGAAACACGGAAAATGCACACTGTTACATTTCCACAGTGCTACCAAGAACGGCTACAACGGAAACCCGGTATTTGACTTGTCAATAAACAGGTCTAAGTTCTGGAAATTCTATTTTCAAAAACACAAAATGTTTCTTGTTATAGGCCGCAGAATGTTTGAAGCAAAGAATATATTCAGCTTCAAAATCCGGTGTTAAAAAACTGAGAAACTGAGAAGATAAAAATTTTCTAGTGGTGGAATTAGGTGCAGTTATTTTGCTTATCATACCTGAGGTCATAAAAATTGTGAATCGAACAAAAAAACGAACTGTTAAATGCATTGAATTAAAGGCAGGTACAAAAAAACGGCGCAGGCCCCTATATAAGCAAATGCATCAACAGAAAACAACCCGTTAACTTTTGCTCTGATGAAGCCCCGTATGCCGGGGCGAAATATTAGCCTTTACTGATTTACGTGTTTTATTGTTGTTCATTCTCGGCGTATTGCGGTGTTTCATATTTGCTACAACAGAAAACAAACCTGGTTCCTTTGACTGATAGCTTCTTCGATGCTTCGCTAAATCTAGTGTCTCTCCTTGAAGAGTTAAAGTTTTCGTTTGAAGGAACCAAGCTGCTTTCTAATAAAAAATAAATATGATCGAAAAGCTAAGATGTGAACCTTCTTTAGAACACTTAAAACTTCAAATAGAAAGTGCAGTTTTTTAAATAGACCTTATACAAAGTGTTCTGTCAAAATCCAAAATATTTTGTCACAGTCTTCTTTTTTCGATCAGTAAAAAGTAGGAAAGGATCAAGCCAAGGTGCAAAGATCTAATAACGAAACAAAATAAGCCAGTAGTTTTCCTTGAGCAATTTAGCAAATTAAAAATTTGAAGCGATTCTGATTCAATACTAATTTTTCAGTAGAACAAGTTGAATTCAGAAACAGATTTCAGTTAGCTTCTCTGTTAAAGGGCAAACACGATTATTAAAGAAGTCACACACAAAGACTGCAGACTTTGTTGAATTAGTCTAAAGTATCATTGCTGTAGGAAGCTTTATTAAACAGGTGTGCAGGACCAAGGTTTAACAATGATGAGTGATCCAATAGAGCAAATTGGCCCTTGAAACACCCATTAGATAGCATCTTGAAAGTTAGCGTTGCTGAAGGGCTACCATCCTTCAACATTTGAAATGAAATAAACAAACATAAAATAGATCAACAAAAGGCTTCATCAGAAAAAGTGTACCAAATGTTTGAAAGACATGTTTCTTGAAACTTTAGATAGAAAGTTCTTGCTAATTTGTGAAGTTATTTTAAAAAAGGTATCAACATTACCAATTTTAGTACCAATCGTTAGATTTGAATCGGTAGCAGAATCGTCAACTTTATCCACTGTGTTGACGTCATTATCAAACTCTTTAAGCTATACGAAAAAAGTAAAAACAATCAAAAATATTTTACCACAAAAATTAAGTAAGGTTATTTCAAGATGCAAAAATGAAAAAAATTTTCTTACGAAACCCCAGTTTAAGTTGCCTGTAAGGCACTCCTTTATAAAGAGAGACATAGCCTGGATTTGTAAAATTATTAAATTGGGTTGTAAAGAAATATCAAAAGCTAAAAATAAGTTTGTGTACATAGACAAAAACATATCTTACTTCGTTAATCGTTATACAAGGAAACGCTTCTTCAGGATTCCCCTGCTCTTCATCTTGCCTCTGTTTCAATATTTCATCCTTCATTTCAACCATTCTTTGTGACTGGTTCTTAAGCTGAAAAATGGCATCATCTTTTATTAGTTTTGACACCACCCCTATTTCTTTAGAAAGCCTATATCTCAAGAACTATCCCCACTCTCAACTAAATTTTACTTTTGAAAAATGCAAAAGTCTGATCGCTGGTGAAAATCCGCTTGTGAAAGTTCTCATTTCAACCCAACTGTTCTCATTTCATTCCGAAAGTATGCTTATTCCAGCTTTTAGCCGATGCAGTTTGTTTTATTACCTTTATTCAATGGGCGAAGCTAGAAGGACCATTGCATCATGACATTCATTATCATTTATAGAGTAATAAAATGTCAGGAACGGCGTATTCACTGATTACCCAAAAGGCTGTGTTGATTTATTACAGAAAGCTTTGCAATTAGAACTGGGATAAATAGTAGAATGGGACCTTGAACCAAGCGGGTTAAAGGATTTTAAAGGGGGTTCCGTGTGGTTTAAGCCATGCTGTTCTTAAGAGTCTGTTACAAAAACAGTTGCATTTTCGTGGAATAAACAAAAGTTTGTTTCTTGAGCCAAGGAAAATACCATTAAACATAACTACCTCTTGAACAGATGAATCAAAATCCGATTCAAACGTCTGGAATTTTGCATCATCAATTTGAATGGCCGGTTGCGATGCAGTTCTCCTAAATAAGAACAAGACTTGGTCAAAATCTGCAATGAAAATTCTAAAAACATCCAAAAACAGTTTACCCTGCCATTTAAAGCCCCAAACCAAAAGATTTTCAAAGGGTAAGAAATCTATCTTGTCGGAAGTTTGAGGTATTTTTCCACAGTAGGAAGTTTGTCGGAAGTTTGAGGTATTTTTCCACAGTAGGAAGTTTGTCGGAAGTTTGAGGTATTTTTCCACAGTACTCCGTGATGCTGTTTCTATACCTTAATCCTGACCCTAATTAATGAACTTCCAATATTTTACAATAGTCTGTATATTAATAGCATAATAAATTATTATCATCATCAACCTTTTTGGAACTTCCACATAAAAATCCACTGAAACTTTATCGTCATCAACTTGTTCCTCTTCTTTGGGTTTATCCTCTCGCAATTTCGCCATCATTCTTCGCACTTCAGAGACTGAGTTGAGCAAGGGTGTGGCTGCAAAAGACAATGACTAAGTTTGTAACTTTTAGAATCCACAGTTTTAAATGGGAGATCAAAAATTGCTTTAATTGTTGCAGAAGTAAATTGTATGCATCCAAAACATGAGAAACAAAGATAGAACCGAGTTGATTCAATCCTAAACCCTAACGCCATTGCTAATTTCACCAAGTTTCATTTAACTTCATACGATACTTCATACATTCCATATGTTGAATCTTTGAAGGTCATAAGAAAAGTTTTCAAAAATATTGATAGTATGAAAACGAAAATTTCAACATCAATAGGAAAAAAACCGTAAAGAATAAAATCTGATCATAAATTAACATGTAAATACTTAATTTCTAACAAAAGTCTCACTAAATAGTAAGAAACTGAAATCATGAGTCCGTGAAAATATTATGGTATCAGAACGTCAAACCAGAATCAAAGTGACCGCTTCACTATCTTGCAGATAATTTCTTCACGAAATTCCAGTTGGTGGTATATTCATCTTGATGGAAATTTAAAAACTCAGCTAACTAAATAGGTGCAAATAGGCAATTTTTTGTCCTACACAAAACCAATTCAATTTTGTTAAAAATCATACCCCTGTCTTCATCTTGACTATCATCGGGCTTCTCTACTTCGCCGCTTCCTCTCGCAGTATCGCCATTCAAACTGCTCAAAAGGTTTTGTCTCTCCTTGGTTCTTTTAACAGATGCAGAGCCATGTGCTCTCGCAATAATCCTACAATAGCGCCAGATAAGGAAAAACTGGATAATAAGAAAAGGCGCTAAACAAGATAATAATAAAATTTACATGAGTTTTTCTGATTTAAAACCGTTGCCGTGAAGCTTGCCCCCTTTCCTTTTGGTATAACGTTGCCCTATGATCACATTAAAGGCGCTTGCGCAACCGGCATGCTAAGCGGCAGTTGTTTTGAGAAATTGACTGTATTTTGTATTTTTATGCAGTACGATATTAGGCAGGTCTTTTTAATTATAGTCGCAAAGCATGCGGATTGCGCAAGAGTCTTAAAGAGTAAAACTCGGAGTTGCAACAAAGAAACATTATGTTCTACACAAGAAAGCATGTGCAGCTTTGCCTTTACATCGAGTATTTTAAGACAGACCAGTAAACAGTAATATAAACATGAAAATTAGGCAAATAAAGGAAACAGTTAACATTAGCTGTAGTAAATAAATATTTTATCTCATACCGTTGCCTCTGTTTAGCTGTAACCTCAATTTCGGTATCGTCTTCAGAGCTAGATTCATCTTGGATGACGTCATTCAATTCATCCAATCGCTCCATCTCCTCCTCAATAACGTCAATGGGTGCTTGATATCTCGGTATCAATTGCTGCTTCACAGCTTCCGGGGGAATATCAAACTTCGGCGGCGCAGGGGTCCAGTACAACCTTTGAAAATTGGATACCTGACTATCAGTATAAGAAAGCATTTCCAAATTTCAGCAAATATTAAAAGAATCAATACATACTACGTCATGACTATGAGTTTAGTCTAGTTTTTTATTTGGGTATAATATTGTATTGAAAACTGTTCTACATAGAGTTTCACAACAAGCTGCTACTTTTCGCAGTTGCTAGAATCAAGTACTTGCAGGTAAACTTGTGGCTCCCAAATTCGTAATAAGAGAAGAGACTTATTGTATGGGTCGATTCAAGAAGCATTTCAGGCCTGCATGTGCATCTTAAAAATCATTAACGAAAGTTGAAACAGGCATCAACCAGGCACAGCAAACGAGCAATTTCAGGTTTCTTCTAAGGAAAAAATTATAAGGTATTCAATAAGATATTAGAGAAATATGATTTATAACAACATGACAGGTATGTCTTCTTACCGCGTTGCGTCATATTTCAATTCAATTTTTTGACCATCAACTTGAAGTATCTTTTCGTCATTCTCGTCAAACTAAAAGATGTAGAAGTATTTTTCTAAGCAAAACAAATTAATACAATTTTTTTATATATTGAAATTTGTTAAAGAACATAAACAATAATGTCGAACTGAGTGAAAAGAAGAGATATAGATATAAAAACCCAATGGAGAAGTGCTATCAAAATAACAAGGGGGACTCGTGCACATAATGTTGCAAAAAACAAATAGCAAAAGTAGAAATTTGCTAATTTTTAGCATCAACAAGGGAGCTCAGCCAACCACCCCCCCCCCTCCATCGAGTCTCCCTAGTCCCCCTCAAACATTTGCTTACACAGAAAACTTTCCTTGACACTACTTTGTGAAAATAGGAGAGGGAAAAGAGCATAATATTTGAGAAACAGAAATCGTTTCTGTACTGACATATATAAACAAAATGCTAATCAGTTTAAAAACTTACAAGCTGGTCTACGATATTTTGCAGCTTCATAAATGACTTTTCTGCATTTTTGTCTTCAACATGTCGCATTGCTTCGTCAAGAATTTTTGAGGCAAGATCGGTGAGCCTGGCCTCTTCTTCTGATGGTTTCTCCTTCTCTTGGATCATGGTAAGAATTCTTGGCTCTATATCTTCAGCTATCTCACCTTCTTCCTTGGAAGTTTCTTCCTTGCCACTGGCACTTGTAATCTAGAGTTGATAAAGTTTATGTACAACCCGAAAGACCATTATGATTATACTTAGTCTTAAATTTTCTCAAATAGTCCTACATGATTTCAAATAGTCTCACATAATTTAAAATGGACATGCTCACAAATCTTGGGTGCTCACAAATATCTGAAAAGATCTCAAATGATTTTAATGATTACAAATAGTTATACATATCTTCAAATAGACGCACTTAGTTTTTAATTGTTTCAAGCAGTCTTAAGTAGAAGTTTCAAATACTTTTGGGTACCATAATTCCAAACAGTCCTACACAACAAAATATTCCTAAACATGATCAGAAAAACTCTGATCATCTATAGCATATTGAGTCTTTAAAGACAATTATTTCGGACTTTTTGAAGTGCTTAAAAAGGCCATTATTTGAGTACAAGAGACTACATTTCACGTTTCTCTCACGTGCTGTATCTAAAACTGCTAAAATTGATCAGATAATGCCATACCTTCCTGCCGAAAGGCTTAAAGATGCTGAACTTGTCAGGAACATGCTGCTGCTTGGAGACAAGCTTCAGATGGCTGGGTAGTTGAATTTCTGGTATTTGTGTACAAAAATGGTGGATGTTTGATTGCGGAAAATTTGATTTTCCTTTTGGCTGTAAAAAGCGAGATTGATCACGGTAATAAAATCATCTGAGGCAGAGAAGCGAAGGAATCTTACTAATATTTGAGATCTTATTCCTGAGGTGTACTTACAGGTAATGTGTTTATCCTAAATGCACACGAGGCATCCCTCTGATTGGGGGTAAATGAATCATAGAAAAAAATTTCTAACTTAAAAAAATAAAACACTTTATTCAACTAATAAAACATAATAAAACACCACACTTGCCTTGGAGACGAACATGCAAAAGACTTCTGCTGAATGAATTAGCCCCCGTCTTTGCCGCGGAAAGCAACGCAACCGTTCATTATTGGACATGCTCCTTTATTATATGAATGGGGGGATTGCTAACCTATTAGAACAATCTGGCTTGGTCATCTTCTCAAAAAAGACTTCCCAACAAATATAAGGATAGTTATGCATTTGCAGTTTGGACATAGGCAAAACAACAAGGAAATTTTTTATCTTTAAAAACATATTCCTTAACATTTTTAAAAAGGAAAATACCTTGGCTTTAGATTCCTTCCAAGAGATGAGAAAGCTGTTCTTTCTTTTTTGCTTTGATATATAATGCAACGCGTCCTTCGATACAAAAGCAGTGCTATTTGCAGGCAATATTTGGGGTTTTTCGCAAGCTGTCGCCTTCTCGCCCATGACATTTATTACATCCTCGTCTGTAATTTTCGTTGACAAAGACAGTGCCTGCAAGAAAAAATCCTGTATCGAGTGGCTGCAGAAGCGTTAAAAGATGAATGTCATGCTATTGAAGGATTTCTCTGTGAAGATATTTATGTTTCATCACCAGGTCTGCAAATCGGATAAGGAGTGCCTGGTGTACACTTCACAAAGATGAAAGCTGTTACTCAAATTGAGGAGTTTCAGAATTCTTTGAATATTCATAATCTTTTGATAGACAAATGAAAAGCTTCATAGGTAAAAATCTAAAAAGGTTCTAAAGGCTTCATTAAAAAGTGCTAATATCAGCAAAAAATAGACATAAATGGCGGGAGGCAAACCTAGGCCTTGATTCTAGCTTTTAGAAACCTGTTTGTTACAGGTGAAGGAGTATTGGAATATGGAACTGAGAAGGCTTTTCATATTTATAATAAGAGACTTTGAAAGCCTAAAGCAGCTCAGTGAGCTACGAATATAGATACCAGGCCTGATAGTCAAGCTTTGGTGGGGGTGGTCAAGCTTTCTTCAGTTTTAAACTTTCTCGAAAATAAAGCACGTAATATTGCACGAGCTTTTAACAAACAATATCAAACGCCCATGTTTGAGTGATGTTATAGCAGCTGTGAAGATTGTTGAAGGATTTCAGCTTTGGAACCGTGGCTAAATCGATTTTTCCACAAAAATAGCCCTCAATCTAAGTTTACCATATCTCGCATAACAGTTTCAATGGTAAGTTTTGGGGGAGAGGTTGATGATAAGAAACGTACCTTCAGGATTTCATCCATGCTAACTGTCTCCTGGATATCTTGGTCGAGAGATTCTTGCAAGCTCATGTTGGATTCATGATAATCTTCATAAGATTTCGCAAGATCATTAGTCAATTCATTATCTTGTCCCTCTAATCCTTTATCTTCATCATCAGGATTAATCTGGTCTTTGGGCATCTCATTTTCCATATCATCGTTGTCTATTGGCTGTTGTACTACGGTGAAAGGCAGTTTTCAAATTAAATAAAGCTCAAATGAGAAGTTGCAAGTCAATGTGTTCAAGGAGCGCTAAGGCGAAGGGGGTGCCACGGAGGGTTTTAGCCAGACGGATACTTTCCAAAATCTGTAATATACTCCACTGTCCTTGAATGTATCAATTGTTGCCAACGGCTTTATAGTGAAACAAAAAACAAGCAAGTTAAAGAAATAAATCTTCAATGCACGCAAATTGAACCAGTGAGTTACTTATTCACTTATTTAATCTATTGCTTGAGCCTTTGATCTGTCAATCAGCTTTTGACCAATCAATTAGCGTGTGAGCTGCATCCGACTGGGCGTTTGGTAAAGCCCAATCTCCAGTGAGAAATAGTCTTGCGAAATTTCGCTGCGAAATACTTCACGCGACAAATTCCTTTGAATGCTTTTGTTGACCTCACGACATTGGAATGTAAAGTTTGGAAGCGTGACAAAAGAATACGGAATATGATTGGCTGTTGAAGGATTTCGCAAGCGAAAAGCGAAAAAGTTAAACTCATTTTAACTTTTTTTCGCAGAGAAATTCTTCGCGAGAAATCCCAGCAAAGATCACTGCGCATGCCTAAGACGTATTTCGCGCGAACTTTTTCGCATTTCGCAGTTTTTTTTCTCACTGGAGATTGGGCTTAACGTTCACTTCGAAGGTAGCACAAAAGAGTTTAAACGTAGCGTACTAAAATACCTGTCATCTGACACTCCTTAGAGTATAAACGTCGGATAATCAATTAAGGTAAAGAAAAATTAATATGAGAAAACGAATTAAAAGTAACGTGGGGCGAAGAATTGCGCTTTGGTTTGGTATGGTTGGTACAGAAGTCGGGATATTTTGCTTTGATATAGGCAGATACCAAAACCTCTACATGAAAAGACGACCTTGCTTTCCAAATCATTACACAATAGAATATTGCCCCATTTTGAAAAAAAACAAATACTCAACCCCTCCAGGTTGATGTCCTTTAGAAAAGACTACGCTATTATAAAGTAATTTGAAGTTATTATGAAAAATTATATATTAAAATCACAATGGTTATCTTTGCATAAACTCGTGCTAAGCTACGAAGCAAAGACTTTCACAATAGATAACTGTATATTGTGCAATTTGATCACTTCTACAATCAAGTATTATTTCGTAAATCTAACCTTTTTTATTTTCGAGAATTTCTTCCTTAGCCTGTTCCGGGTAGTTGTCAGCCTCTAAATCACTTTGCCTCTCTTCTATAACAACTGACGATTTCTTCGCTTCATCATAACTTTGATCTTCAATTTCGTTTTGAATAACTTCCTTAGAGCTATTGAAATGATCATCCCTTTCATCTTCTGTAGCTTCTGTTTCAGCAGCTAAACTTTCTTTGATATCAGTACTTTCATCACCCTTAGGTGAGACTGGTTTCTTTCCACCAACATCTAACTTTAACTTTTGCCTTACAATGTCATAAAACTCTTCATCAAGATCATCAAACATCAGGTTCTTTTCTATGCCAAGATCAATAACGGGGGATGGAGCTCCAAAATGTCCAGCTGGTGACTGAAGATGGGTTGCATCTTTACCAGCTTGCTGCTTTCTACACAAGGAAAAACATGAAAGGGATATAGCAAATGACTGCATAATCAACGTTTATATTACAAGCTTCTTCCCCTGGCAAAAAGTGTGGGTGTACTGTACAGTAATTTCTGTATGTTGTCAATACCATGTCCCACTCCATTCTCCTCAGTTGTTTCGTAGAAGGTTCGTATAATCAAACAGCAATGTTTTGGGGGTGGGGCAGGGCCATAGCTATGTGGGAATGCTGGTGTGACACCCCCCCCCCGCATTGAAAGAAACCTGTTTTAAAAAACGAGTGGTATTCTATCATCCATGGTTTAACTTAGAACACTGATAAAAAATAATTATGATGACATGAAAAAAATCCGCATAAGATTATGTTTAGCAAGGACTGCAATGGTTTCATAAACGAATATATGGAAAGATCAAATTATAACTATTTCTACAAAGAAAATGCTGCTACGGTCTTTAGTTTTAGCCAAGCTAGTTACTGTTTAGAATGTTGGGTATTGAAAAATATAGACAAGAAAAAGATTGAAGCGTTTGAATTATGATGCTACCGTTCTTTACTGAGCATCAGTTGGAATGAAGAGAAAATCAAGCAATGGGTTCTGGAAAAGATGACTGTAGATGCTACTAAAAACTTTAGACAGAAAAAAGTGGCTTTTATTGGAAACATACTAAGAGGGAAGGACATAAGCAATGATTTATTTCTAGGAACATTTTATAGGAAGAGAACAAGAGGAAAACCAAAAGTTAAGTATAGTGACAACATCAAAGAAATTGCTGGTGGAAGATATATGATACAGCTATAAAGATATGTGGCACATGATAGAAGAAAATGGAGAGCCACCGCAATCCTTAATGCCCCCTTAAACACAATAGTTGGCTACAACCATGGCTGAGAGAGTGCAGTGTTGATGTTTTCCATTAAAAACAACACTAGAAACAGGGCACACGAAGGACTCAGGGATTGTACAACATCACAAAGGAATCTCTATAAACAAACATTTCCAATAACAAACATCTCAAAACAAAGGCAAATGACAGATGTTTTTTTATTTGCGACCAAATCCATAGCTAAACAACATTTTAGGCAATCATACTCTCTAAACCAAACAGTAGAATTTTTCCCGTGAAGTCAGCTATATGGAGTATCAACTGCATGCATTAAGACCTTCAAAGGATTATTTCTGCTACCGTTTACATTTTACTTTTTTGAAATAAAGACATCCAGGAGTGGCGCCAGCCATTAAGCTCTGGAGGGGGGACAAAATACCTTTTTTACTGGCAGAAAAAGCCCAAGATAGAAGGACATATCCCCCAGTCCCAACCCCCTATGGTGCTGTACTGAAGACATCAACATTCTATAGCCTTAGTTTATTCAAAAATTGATATAAGCTTAATGTAAGATTTTATACCGTATAAAAGAGCAGCAGAAACTCTGCAGTATGTGCTTGGGATCTCTCAAAATCTTAAATAAATCTTTGGTCTCAAATAACATTATTTTGATTCTCTATTAATATCATAATAAAATGGAAGTTAAACTTTAAATTAAAAAAAAACACACTTTTTACTGGCACTTTCCTTCCTTTTTTTAGGTAGGGCAGTTTTTGGTGGCTCATATTTCTTTCCTCTTGGCTTTCTTGTCTCATACAGAATTGATCTTGTTGTATTTGTTTGTGACAAAATAGCTGGTTTCGGAGAGTTAGCTTCTTCTTCTTCTGTTGATAAAAAGTCCTCAAGCAGGCTGTCTATATCTAAGAGATTCTGAAATTGAAACAGCCTCAAATATTATACCAAACATTATATAAAAATGGCTTTGAAAAAAGCAAACATTTCACGACATACTAAAAGCTTTTTCGTCTGACACTCCTCAGAGCATAAAACGTCAGAATAAGGTTCCGAAAGAACACAAAGGAAAATATATACCCAGTTGTGGATCGAAATAGGCCAATCAGAAAGACGCAAGCACAAGACCGGTATAGTTGACCAATCAGTGCCGCGAGCCTAAAGAAAAATTACCAATGGAGTCCAAGAGAAGCAAACATTATATCTGCTAAAGAAACAAATTAATTTGAGATTCAACATCCACAGTTGATTAAATGTTGGGCAAAAGATGATTTTTCATAAAAAAATGTTCAAATGGGAGTAATATATTCATTGTGATGTTCAGTTTGCAGTAAAATGTATGCTCAAAGTAATCAAAAAGGCTAACTGAAAATATGTTCTCAGGCACATCATGAAAGTGGGGAGGGGTCAAGAGGCCGAAGCTACCTCTAGCATGATCCCATTGTTTCTTTGACATATGAATTGCAAACTACATTGGTGTTATGTTTTGAGAATTTTTATCTACAAGTGGTCAGCAAATGGATTCCAATTCTATTTGTTCAACCACACATAGTTATTGTCAGATAACCAAACATTGACTCTTGAAAAGCCTTGAAAAGCCATTTTCCAACTAGACACAGAGTATTATCAGAATTTTATTTATGTTTACACATGCTACAAAACTCAGGCCCATCAGAACCAGGGGGCTTGGGGGGGCTGGAGCCATGTAGCAAACTGTAGTATGTTTCATTTATAACAGTGTACTGAATGAAAAAAATACAATGGGCAGCCCCCCTCCCCCAAAATGAATTTCGTTCTGACGGCACTGAAACTAAACCCATGATGCACATCATGCTAAAATATTTAAAACAAAACTCTAACCTTCATTTGCTTTGGCTTAGGTTTACCCCCTTCCTCTTTCTTCAAGACACCTCTGCCTTTCATAACAACAGATGGTCTGATTTCACCCTCTTCAAGAAATGTGTCATTTTCCACCAAATTTTGCACATAACTTGATTGCTCGGTGCCTCTTAAATTGTCTTCCTTCAACTTTACATCTTTGCTAACAGTCTTGTTCCCAGATCCTCTTCTGTATTTTCCAGATACTTCCAGAACTTCCTTTCCTTTAGAAAACAACTGGTCTGGGACGACTTTCTTTTGCAAACCCAAGCCTTGCTGGAAAGCTTCTTTTTCTGTTGTACTTGCATTTCTGTACTCTTTTTTTGAATCTTTTGCCAAATTTTCAAGCTCTTTTCTCACCTTAATCATCTCTTGGTTGTTTGCAAACTTTGCCTTTTTCATTATGCTATAACTTTTAATTTTCCTTTCCCCTTATCATATCAAATTATTATCTTCAGAATATCTGCAATTGTAAGAACGTAAGCTCAGGAATATTTGTCTAGCATGTTAAGTCTACATAATTCAGAGTCTTGCTCAAGACCAAAACTGAAATGTTAAGCTTTTGTGTTTGGCATAGTGGCTTCGGTACACAAATATATTCAGTCGATTGCCATTTTCTTTCTGTTTACATCCGCCATCTTTGCTGTTGCTACCCACTGTAATTATTGAGGCCTCCTTTTGATAATATTCTGAAACTGAACTCGAGACAGCATGGTTTGATCAACACAAATGATTCGACGAATCTTGTCTTGTGCTGAAAAATGAGTTACCAACTTTATCGAAACACGACTTTGGGTAACAGCCTCCAAGAAAGCCTAGATGAGCTGATACAGGTATTGATTAATCCAAAATATTATATCGAAGTTGGACGTTGTGTCAATGTTATCCATTACCCGTAATACATGTCGTGTCAACTCTGTTATTCATTTTAACTGTACTGTAGATATATTGAAATCAAATTGATCTCTTGAGGTAGATTTTAAGAAACGGGGGAAATCCAGAAGTACACAAGATATTTCTGAAAGAGAGAAAGATAAAACTATAACGTAAATAATTAGCAGGGACAAGATTTTCCAACTTAACCCTGCTCACAAATTGGTTGCATTCTAAATGAATATTTTGTTTAGTCCCAGCAGATAACACCACAGCTGGCTTTGAAGGCTTTGCTGGAGTTTGACAAAGCAATCAACCATGCACTGGCAACAAAAGTAAAAAATAGAATTACATTCAAGGTCAGTCACATCATTTTGTATGCGATATTTGAACCAGTCTGCAAAATGGGCAGACAGTTTACACTCGAGATAATTCTTGCTGTTTGACAAGGACTCCATTGGTAACATTCTAATAGGCAAGCGGCACTGATTGGTCAACCTTTACAGTCATGTGCTCGTGTTTCTGATTGGCCTATTTCGATCCACAACTGGGTATATATATTTCTTAGCATAGAGTTTTCGATCTATGTTCTGACGTTTTAAACTCTGAAGAGTGTCAGACGAAAAGCTTTAGTTTACTAAATGTTTGCTTTTTTTCAAAGCTATTTACAAGTTTTGTACCACCAAAAGATTGTTTAATTCATAAGTTATGAAAAATGTAGCCTGAAAACTCCTGATCCTCTAATATAAACATTTCATAAAAAAACATTCACATAACTTAATATCTCCACAAGGAAACCTTTTCTTTTGATGTCATTAAATCAATGTGAGGCAGTACGTCTATTTATCGTAAGGGGGAGAGCAAAGAGATAAATCCCTCTCAATGAATTCTTGATTTGTCCAAAGTTTCCTAAAATTTTGCGCTGATACTACTACAAATTAATTTACTTTTATGCTAAAATCACTATATTTTAATTCAGAAGAATTTGTAAGAGCAGGAGCCTCAAAATTGGTCATGAACATTAAGAACAAGCTGAGGTTGAGGTTCTGCAAAGTGTAGTTTTAAACAAAATTTTGAAACCTGCTCAATCAATTCCATCTAAGAAATGGGTTGCTTTGTGAGTTTCTGCCATCTGGGCTTGCTTTGTCAGTGAATTTTCAAACGTTTTGGTAATGACTCATTCACTTTGTTTGCAAATAAAGCCTGAAACATCCCCTTGAACTCGATATTTAGGGAGTAAACTGCTTACACCCTTAAAATGTAAGAACAAATTAAAAACAATCCAGTCTAAAAGTTTTGGAAAAATTTAGAGCAACCAGCCTGAATTTCAACTTTCTAGCTCTTATAAAAATGAGATGTCTTTTAAACCATTTTATTTGTGCCATGACTACACATTTCTCATAACCAGCAACATGACGAGAAATTCTTAAAACTGTACAAGAATCCCCAGACTTAACTATGACACCAGCTTTATGCCAGCAAAATGGATTAGGTGTTTTTGATTTCAAGGTGCTTGATAAGTCAAATTTATTGCGAAAATTCACATATAATATTGTCAGTAATGTTCATGATAATCAACTTTATATTTTAAGACTCAGCCAACTCAGATCTTTATCTTATCAAGATATATTTATGTGAGGCTAGGTTTTATCTGAATTATAATACTTTTCCAAAATCCACTTAATGACATGCAATAAGTTTTGAAGAATGTTTTAAGGTTGTTTTAACACTGTTTTTTCTTAAACAGGGACACTTGAACACGTATAGATTTTGTGATAATGTATGGACATTTGTGTTAGAAGATGTACAGTTCAGAGAACTTGGAGAAATGGTTAAAGTTGAAAAAGTAAAAGTGGTTGCATGTGATGGAAAAGGTAGAAAAAAATCAATTCTGTTATTCTTGATTGTTTGTGTATTTTTGTAGTACATACTTTGTTTTGCAATGTTAAACTACATTTCACACCAAAGATTGCACTCGCAAAATATTGATTTGCTCTGGCAATATTTATCAATACAATATCTTTAAAAACCATTGATTATCAACATGCAATACATTTCACTTCTACCTAGAGGGTAGAACCAACAACAAGATTATAAGTTATTTACAGTGCACATATCAAACTTTCTTTAAAACTGGTCTTCCATGAGAGATGTCTTAGGCTGGGAGAGGCTGTCTAAAAATCTTAATATCAAGGTGGTATAAAAATCTTAATACCAAGAAGGTTTAAATCAGCAACAGAAAATGTGTTTGAAGCCTGTTGCGTTCTCTAACTTGAGAATTCCAGTTGATAAATCATTTCTGATGTGGGAGTTGAAAAATGCAAAAATAATCATCTTTAATGGTACTGGCTCTGTGCACGTAAAAACTGCTAAAAAGCTCTAAACAGTTAAAGATGCAAATGTAAGATGTTAATTGGTAGGGCAAATTTAAGTGAAGAATACACACTAGGTGAAGAAAAAGCTCTTACTTATATTATTACAATCCAAATCCTTTCAGATTTTGGACATGAGTATCTAGTTGCTTTGAAAAACTCATAACTTCTTTCATGTTGATCGTTTTGATGTTGTTGCCTGACAGTTCATCTGTCAAACATTTCAGCAGGAAGTCAGCCACATCAAAGAATTGGCAAATTCTTCTTCTATAATGTTTTGATTTTGACTCCTTTCTTGTTACCACCAAGTACTCAAGCATCTTGTTAACACTGATTGCAAATCCAAACACTCTTTTCAGTAGTGCCTCTTTAGATCCTTCTGGATGAATTTTGCTAACATGTGTAGACTGTCGCCCAAGGCCAAGCTTTGTCTTGCTTCTGAGTAATTCAGTGATTTGAAATCTGTACTCTAAAGCTTTTTTCATGAGCTTCTCATCACCATACTGCAAGAAGACACCAACACTTGTAAATGTCTTCATTTTCACTGGTACATATTTACAAGTGTCATGGCTATGGTTTGGAAATGGCAACAGGCAGTTCCAGCAGAAGGAACGACCACACCTACATGTCATATAATTGCATCCCTGAGATTTGTTGATGGGTGTTTTACAAAGCGGACATGGCTTTAGTTCTACTTCAGTGACATAAAACCTTCCATTGCTGTCAAAAATACTGCCTACTACTTTTTCCAGTCTATTTCTGTATTCTCTTACACTATCACAAGTAGCAGGCCAATGTTGTTCTTCTTTGCACTCAAAACACCAAGTTGTGTTGCACTGACATTTCACAACGGGTATATCACCAAGAGCAGATGGCCCCTTAACTCCTTGGTAGCCATGACAAAATGCAGCCTTTTCACAAGTAGGACACCACTCCCAATTCCTTGCAGCTGCAAGATTTCTCTCAAAGACTGTTTTAATGAAAACCTTTGCTTTGTCTGGTTTAACAGTGCTTAATATTGTAGCTATATCCACTTCTGATTTGCAATCAAAGCCAGGGCAAGTGATCACAGGTGTCTGCATTTCAATTCTGGTTGTCAGATGAGACTGCCAACATCCTCTGCAAAAACTATGGAGACAGTTTTTATGGTGCATTCCTGACTTCTCTGAAATCGGGAGAAAAGGGTCAGCCAACTGTTGATAGCATATTTGACAATATATTGAGACAACTTGTAAATCACATGATACATCACTCTCCATATCACATTCACCTGAGTTTACTGCAAAAACCTCATTTGCAAGCAGGTTGAAAGCCTCCAAGACATTATAGGATTTTGTTTGCCATTTTGTTAGCTTTCTTGTGGGGAAAGAAACCATTTTCTCTGAAGAGTTACATCTTACAGGTGGTATAAAAGACATATCTTTCTTTATGCTTGAGATGATTTGGTCAAATACCAATACAGTTCCCTGAATTTGTTCCAGCTGAGCCATGTCAAATTTTGGTCCATTGCTAAACATCCTTATTTTCACCAAAGATGTCCCATCTGTTTTGCTCTCACATGTTTGGTTAACCACAACGAAACAAGTGTATCCTGAAAGAGGAAAGTTGATAATATATCAGTGCTTAAAAAACCAACTTAAAATGTAATAGACTCTAGCTAAAGTCACATTGAATATTGCTTGAAAAACTATGACTTAAAGTATGATACTGGATGTGACTTAAAATAAAACAAAACATAAAAACAAAAAACATAAAACTAAACATTGAGTCAAATCCCGCTGAAAAAACATTGAAAGTCCTGCAAGAGATAACAGCAAACAGAGAGAACTGGAGACGAATTGTTAAAGATATAATGGCAGAAAACCGCTGACCATTTATTTTAGTAGTTAGTGACATAAAATATGTTTGATATTTGATGATGTGTACAACTTGAAGCAGTAGAGCCAACTGCAAGACATTTTTCACTTACCAACTGGCACAAAAATATTTAATACTTGATGCCTCTTTATGTTATAAGATACAACCATCCCATCTTGGCAAAAAAATTGTCTAGAACACCTCTGGCAATCGCTGCTTAAGAATTCAAATTTGTTTAATGCTTCATTTCTATCAGACAAGCATGATGTAGAGATAAAGTTCGGAGAAGCCTATATTATTTTAGCCAAGTTATCAAAATGATTCTTGTAGCTTTTTTCAATTTGTTTTTGAAATCATAAGGTATGATACACATGTCTTGCTCCAGAAACTATTTTTTTATACCATGATACTATAAGTCACAAAATATCTCAGGCATCATCTTTGCACCACAAAATCTCAGCTAATAAATTTATTTTGAATAATTGCAAGTTAAAATAAGTCACTCTAAATCATTCATGATATATTTCAACCTTAAAAATGGGCTAAACTCAAACCCTTAATTATGACATCTGAAAATCATCAAATATGTTATAAAATGTCTCAAATACCAATAAGTATAAATGATAAATTCACAAAGAAATATTTGTACCTGTCATGGCATCTGTTGGAAGGACCTTGTCAATGAAAACACCAAAGCATCTTGGAATAACTGTTGCCTCTGTATATTTGTTTCCATAAATGGATTTCAGTTCATTGTGCAATATAGAAGAGGTACTAACAACTACATCAAACTCTTGGCATTCCAACATTGCAGAGTCAGAAGCTCCTATTAAGTGTTGGTTTGAGCTAAATACATCTTGTTGGGTCTCTTTTTCAGTACTTTCTTGCTGTTCTATCTCTTGCACTGCATAAAACAAATATAACCTTAATCAGGATGCTTTCAAAATATATTCTTACAAAAATTTTTATGTAAGAAGATGAAAAATTGAATTTGATAAATTAATAATAGATTTGGAAAAGAAATTAAAAAAATTAATTTAAGTTAAGTAATGTAATTGAAGTAATATATATACAAGTATATTTGTGATGGGCTAAGCCATTTCAGAGGTTAGTGAAACAAGCAATGTTTCAAGAATTTGTCAAATAAACAATTCAGTTGTTTTCAAAGGAGACATAATTTCTCAGTTTTTAAAAGAGACTTAATCTTAAAGAAAATTAAATATTTGTCAAAGAAATGGACTGCAACATCTATCTTTAAAAACAACACTAATACATCAACTATTACAAATCTCAGACTATCTTTGTCATTATTTTCATCATTAACAAAAGTAACACAAGAATTTAAGTAAGAGATTGTACTTACTTTGAAAGTTTCTTAATTCTTCATCGACTTCAATGTAAATGACATTATCCTTTTGAAAATCTTTTGAAAGGTCTTCAATGGAGATTCTCTCATTTCTGTTTTTCACATCATATGTTGAAAATCTTTCCTTTTTCTTTTTCTGGAATTTTTTTGTCATAAAATCCCCTAAGCAAATATTTGCCTCTATGTCTTCATTTCCTTCAATAACCAAACTGCCTTCCAGATCCATTTCGTATTGTTCATCATCATATAAACGTGACCAATCATCCAGATCTTCATGAATCAAATTGTTGTCATTTGTATGCTTGTTTCCTCTCAGATAATGACACTTCCTTGTTGTTTTATCTTTAACAAGGTCACTGTTTCTAGCCGAATGAACATTGTATGGCCACATAGATGATGGAACCTCAGATTCAATTTCATATGTCTCATCATAACAGTCTTCTGTCATTGTTTCTTTTCTTGTTTTCCTACAAATCATTCATCAATCATTAAGTTTTTTTGTCTTTACTTAATATAGATTAACTTAAAACCTTAATTGATGGGAAAAGAAGGCTTTCTAAGATATTAACACTTTAGCCTGCTGAATTTCAGGAAAAATCTGCAAATCATCTTTATAAAACAGTTTGTGAATATTTTATTGATTGGGACAAAGTAATATGCTTATGGGCAAAGAAAGATTCACATTGTAAAGAAAAATCTGACAAAAAATATACTAACAACTTAGCCATTTGGGCTAAGAATAAATGAGCTCTCCAAAATTTTTAAACCCTTGAATGATCTTATCTCGTATTAAGGCAACTAAATTCATTGCTCATACAATATATTGATAGGAAGACAAGGTTTTCCTTAGTGAATAATTTCTTCCGCCTAAAGGGCAGATTTTCTCTGGAAACTTTCATTTTATTTTAACATGAAGTACTTTTTGATATAAAACTTGTTCTTCACTACAGAATTTGTAAAAAAATTATGTCTCCAGCGGCTGCCTGTATGTAGATGTCCAGTACCCCAATCTAACTATTGGATTTATAGAGATTGAATGTTATCAAACATATGGCTCCAAAGTAATTCTGATCACATACCATTTCTTGCCTTTAATAATACCAGGATTGTCTTCATCCAAACTGTATACTGCTCTACAACATTTGCCTTGTGTGAATCTAACTGTATCAAAAACAGCAATTTTTGGTGGTGGAGCACTTTGCTCACCCGTCTGGTTTTTTCTATGTCTTGCTCTCATTCTTTTCTTACCATATGACTGACTTTTTATGTCATCTTGCTCTGTGAAGGTCTTTTTTGTTGATAAGGCATCCATATTTTCCTCAAGCTCTTCAGTTATCATCCATCGCTTCTTTTTGTTAAGTGTCATCGAGACCCCAACAGAAGAGTTTTCATTTTGTGATAGCCTTTGCTTCAACCCTGGAAAAAAAGGAAATTTTTCAGCAAAGAGTGTAATTGTACATCATTACCATCATACTAAAACATATTCCACATTTTAACTCCTGAAATAAACTCTATCAACATAGTTCTGTGTACGTTTTGTAGTTGTTTCAAGACAAATGCTTTCTATGATAGTGAGCTTATTATCAAATTAAGAATAGTTTTGTTAAATTGCTTTTTAAAAAAATCATTGTAAAAAATCTAATCAGACTTTCAAAATGCTAAAGGCATATGAATGCATACAACAACAAAATGCAAATCGTCGGTCTAAAATCCAAATTATTATTACTCACTGCCGTCTTGTCTGAGGCCTAATTCAGGAGATCGTACCAGAGTTATATGAGCAGCCTTTTTGTCACAGATGCTTTGTTTGGGATACTTTCTTTGCGTGTTGCCGGTTTTACCAGCCCACTTTGACTTCTTGAGTACCATTTTTCACTTGCTCGTTTGCAGCACAGCAATCCACTTCCAATTTAACCTGCGTCGCTCTTCCGCTTTGCCAGCAAAATTTTCTTTCAGATGTCTTCTTACAAAAGGAATGAGCCTTTCTGTATGTTATGTGCATTTTGCCGATGCCTCAATTTATACTAAAACAGATTGCAGTAACTTTGCTACTTGATGGTGCAACTTTGACGATATTTTCAAAACAATTACGTCATTGTTTTATTTGGTGGTTGTGGTGCAATGACTGAAAACGAGACAATCTCCCTCGCACTTTCTCAAGTCCGCCTGTTTCTATAGCTCTGACGTAGCATAATATTCGCTGATGTTCATTGACTACACCTACATCAATTTCCTAAAATCTTTAATAGTTTTTTCATAATTGTAAACATAGATTTTAACATAGACAAATACAAACAATCGCATGGTATAAGCAATGGAACATTTGCGATAAAATAAACTCATCCATTGTTTACATCTTTGCCAGCATCAGCCCCCTCCCTACCCTGGATACCAGAGCCACATAAATTCGAGCGCGGGAAATAGTTTTTGTAGGTTCATGTCAGGGTGGTTTAATCGGGGGTAAAATTTCGTTTTCAACGCAGGGGGTAGTGGCGTCATAACTTGTCACATAAATTTTGCAACTCTGTATAAGGCCATGAAATAGTTATTATTTTAAAACTTTTGTTTTAATGGTGATTCGTTCCATTTTTGACAGCTAGACAATAATCCCTTTTATATGTCTTCAGACTTTCTCAAAAGAAACTCGTGCTTCCACCCCTATTGCAAATCATTTAAGGAAAAAGGCCTTCGAATACAGATAATGCATTTTTATCGCAAAAATCTACAAAAAACAGTGCCTCAATTAATTATTTGACTTCAACGCGGCAGTGACATTTGCTAAAGAAATCTTTAAGCGTGTTGAGTGACTTTTCCTAAAAGAATTTGATGCTCAGCACCAATGAGTCTCAGAGACTCGACAGTCTCTTCAAGCAATATATTGTTTTGAAAAGTAACTTAAGTGCTTATTTCTTTTCCTAGGTTCTGGAGTTGCTACATCAGAAGATTAAGGCTAGTCAAAGCATCAGAAAACTTCATGAAAAAAGTCGAATAACTCAATTACAAGCGACGTACTAACTGTAACTCTTCTATTTATTTTGGAAAATCATCCAACGATTTGCAGAATGTCTTCGCAGAATCGACATAAATAACATTATGGTCAAAATTAAGGCACAATTGTTACTATATTGTAAATGTTGAGAGCGTATTAGGGGCTCGGAGAGGGAGGGAATAATGTAGCACAAATCTGAAAAAGGCATTGCATCTCATGAGATTGTTTTCGGTTTTTAGGAAGGGGTCAGAGGTTTTGATTCATTGATCTTACAAAAGATGGCCATTTGGGTTTCGCATCAGCCCTAGAGACCTCTGAACTATCTTCTCATCATCCCTGGCCTGTTGCATATTTTTCTAACCCCCAGACTGTTGCGATGCACTAACATAAGCTATTACAAAGTCCCATAGATGTGTCCCAAGATCTACCTGTTTTTTTTTCTCACACTTGGAGTATATAACAAGTAATACCCCTTTTCAGCCCCTGACTTTGAAATGCATCTCAACTTTTTTTTGCACTAACAAACAGAAATTCTAATAAAATTCTAAAATTTTGTTCGATAGTAATCGTTAAAGTAGAATTGTGTGAGCACGGGTAGTTAAGTAACAATGATTGCTCAATTTATGAATTCGTCAAAAATCAGTGATTTGATAACTTCAAAACTGTTTGTCTATGTAGCTATGCCTGCAATGCTTATATAGTCTTTTGTGATTGTGTACGTTTGTTGTTGAGATTCGATGTGATCGCACAACAGCTTTAGAAAAATTCGCGCGAACCCAGTGAAGGACCCTCTTTTATAGTCAAGTTCCATTCAAACAGTGGCTTTTTAATAAAAAGTTATCTGAATCAACGCGCGCTGTACTTTTGTAATATACAGTGAAGACAACACACGGTAAATCGCAGATTTCAAAATCGAAAATTTTTCCTTAACAAACAAACCAAAATATTATTTGAAATTTTAACAATTTGGCGCTACGAGAAAGCTATTTGAATTGCCATTTTTCGATTAACACTAAATCTTTTATAACCAAAAATGGTAAATTGGTTTCTTTCTTAACAAAATCAATAGAAATTTTTTACTTACTATAATTTTTCTATTGACTATGTTCTAATTGATTTTTCTTTAACACTTGATGTTTCATCACCAATCAAAAAGGTAGAATTCAATGACAATACCGAAAAAAGCACAAAGCCTACTTCGTCTATTGTTTTATCCTAACTGCCATGGATAATTTCTTGCAAAAAATAGTTTCTGAACCTTCTGGCCTTCTAATTAAAGGCCTCATCGATCGATCGCTTCATCTATTGATTGATAATTACAGAATTCAACAAAATGACCCTGTTATTCTGTTAGTGGGACTTTTGACTTGGGCAGTTGGTTATTAAATGGCATTAATGTTTATTCAGAAGCTCTAAATAATCATGTTTAATTACATCATCGAGGCAAATAATATGGTGGTGAATCAGCCTGCCTGACTTGTCTCTGATCTTATTGCTTCGCCTATCCATAGATTCAGCCGGCACCTCGGTGGACCATGTTTACCTCCCTCACTAGACATCGCTGCCGTTGCACTGGTCGGCTCACCCTAGGCCATACGTTTCGCATTCAATCGCAGTTAGAAGTTTCTTTTTCAGTTCTTTCTTTGATTCATATAGAGGTAAACTCAGTCTTTGTCCGCAAGTGCTTGCGACCGGCAATGACGTACTTGATTGTCCGATAATGTCGACAGTCACTGCTATCTCCTCTGTATGAAAAAAGACATTTATTGTCAATAGAGTTCTTCACTGTGACGTCATAGGAATGTATTTTTCATAATTTTCTACTTTTTACTGCATAACCTTAATACATATCTGAAAGTGAAAATCGGTCAAATATTTAAAAACTTGATGGCATATGGCAATGTTACATTTGAAGGTTGCTAACACGTTTCTGTTATTTTTGCTTGGTACATTAAACGGGCTGTGTCTCGGTTTTTTAAATAAACCAAATAAACCTTTTCCTTTCATTTCTCGTTTCCTTTCATAAAACATACCAGAATGCGAAAGCTTCGCACGATGAGTACGGCTACAAAAACTGTTTTTATTCCATATTGGTTTTTCTATTGAGCGATGATTGTTTCACCCAAACAACTTTCGCTCAAAATGCGTGTTGCCACACGTGATGTCCCTTGTGACACAGCCCCTTTAACTTTAGAAAAGAGACAAAATTTCCGTGATATGATGGGAAACAGCCTGTGCTCATGTGGTCATATTTCAGCCAAATCGAAACAAACTTAACTGATTCAAGAGGTATTTTATTATGCTCTCTCAGATTATTTTTTCTAAATTGAAAAATCTTAAAGCAAATTTTCGTGATATCATCGCTAAAGAACCCTTTAGGAAAATAAAAGACGAATTCATTAGATTTAAATGTCACAGACTTAGAACACTGTGAAAACATTTTGGTATTAACAACGGGCGTTGATGAGAATATACCCCTTGAACGCTGTTTTGAACCGAAAGAAGTTTGCGGCTAAAAAGCAGATAACCTCTTGTAGTGACAGGGAACCCTGTCTCACAAGAAATGTGCATATGAGCTAAAACCAACAAAAGATCACGTAAAGCCGAAAACCCACTCCGGAAAATGGTCCACGGATCGGATCAGATTTTGTGTTGCGCACGCGCTTTGGATGCAAAAATTGTCACATGACTGATCCGCGACGGATCGAAAAAAGTTGAAATCATTTCAATTTTTTTAACCGTTCCGGTACAATAGTTTTCTTTTGATCAAAATCGAATTAGAACTTTTCAAACAATAGAGCAATTGCGTCATGAATTCCAATCTGAAACGATCCGTGGATCGAACGGAACTGATCAGAACAACACGATCTGATCCGATCCGCGGATCGTTTTCCAGAGTGGGTTTTCAGTTAAGGCCCTCTGCCTGACAGTCTCTGTATAATCACTTAAGAAAAGCAGGGAATTATCAAAAAACAAAAACGCACTTACCATTATTTCCTATGACATTACTAAAGGCTGGCAGAACTGAGGTGCCAGTCAGAAAGTACAGCAATTTCATACGCTGCGAGGGCGTCATCTCGCGAATTATGCTCCAAAACCAGCTGAACATGATAAAAAGGAACCAAAAAGTTGACAAAGATGTTTGGTGATGAATTTCGTAAAGTATGACAAAAACTTAGCGCTCAGATTAACGAATTTCACGGCGATTTCGTGAGGTAAATGATATTCTAATGAGCGAATCAAACGTTGTTGATGAAATATGATAACACGGGAGACGTTCTCACGGAAAACATCTTAAAACATTTATAAAACAGCACAAAAAATATAAAACAGCTTGTCAAACGATTAAAACATGCTTTATTCAACAATCTTTTATCATATTTTATGACGATAATTGACTCGTTTGATAAGAGCTTTAGGTTTCCAGGTCGCCTTAAAAAAATCATCAAAGTTTTTTCCTGAAGTAAGAAGTTGCTCTTAAATTCAACAGCGATAGAATAGACCGTACCCCTTGAATCTTTCCAAAGATTCTTTGCTGCAGTTTCTGCTGTTGTTGAAGCGTATAATCGACTTGAGCCTTGTTATATCAATATCGCCAATACCACCAGAGAGCAGTAGCTGGAAATCCTGTAAAGCAAGTGTGACGTCATTGACTCCGAGCCTAAATCAAACGACATAAGGGAGGATATATCCAGTAAGCCCGGCGGCTCCATTCTAATTGTCAAGTGTAAGCACCCGTGTCTTCAATATCTCTGAGAAAGGGGCTCACTGAAATGCTCAAACTAAAAGCCAGTGGAACAGAACTGAGAGTACCATCACTTGCAGTGCTCAATTTGCGAATCACCGTCGTTCGATTCGGTTTGAGGCGAGACTAACGAAATACACTGTGACGTCAAAATTGCGTCAAAGTGTCACCAAACCGAAAATATTTTGTCGGTTAATTCAATTCAATTATCGAAATGCAAGAGCTTATATCTCACAAACTGTGAAAAATATCGAAAAAGAAATAACGAATTCGTGATCAGCAGGTTCAACTCCTTTAGATTAGCCAATAAAATGCAAGTGCAAAATTTGGCTGGATAGGCCCTTTAATATAGTTTCTAATCTTTCTTTGTTTGGCCTTAATTCAATAACTATAAACTTGATTTCAGAAAAAGGGTATAAATTCTCTTTGGTTTCAAAGAAAAGGGGAATCAAATTGGTATCAAATATCAGAGATAAGGGTCAGTTTTCTAGACCCTCAGACACGAATACTGGAAGCTTGTTAGTGTGAGATGACCCAACGGGCCATTAAGAAATTCGTCAATCTAATTTATACCTTGAAAGACCAGTTACCTAAATAGCCGTAAACCAACAGCGAAATTTTAATCTCTTGAATATCTAATTCTTGATTCAATACTTTAATAGAAAACCTGTACACTCATTTTTTCATCATTAAGTATTTAGGAAATGATTCTGTTCTTCCTAGCGGACATGCTTAGGATGATGGATGGAATTTTGTTGTAATATTTCCAGATCCAGAAGGCAGGTTTGGCATGCTACCTAAGATGGTCGGTTCGGTGGATTCTATATTTTTTTCAAATAATTTAGAATATGGTTCAGTACTTTTGCACCCACTTAACAAAAACTTTTGGAAATCAGTTTCTATCAGCAATTTCAGTATTCAAAAAACCATTCGAAGTCTATCCATAAATACCCGAAGTTTAACCGTTTTTTGTTAGAAGTCCATCTTTTTAAAAAGACATGCTGATCGTAAAAGAGGCAATCTGATACAATTTTTCCTTTAAGTGATACAATAGCAATATTTGAATATCAAACCTCTGCACTCAAAGGCATCAGTAATTCTTTAGGTATGATTTGCTGCAGTCCACAACGCATTGCTTCTAGGTCAGGGCGAATAGATTCTACCATAGCTGTCATTGCAGAGAGCCTGATGATGAGCAAAATTACTCTATTAATATCGCGTTAAACAACAAATTGAGTGGGCCTAACTACAAAGGCATTTCCTCGTTTGGCAGTATACCTACAATGCCTGCAAAAATAACTTGGAATGAACAAAAGAGCAAATCTTTTACAATAAAAAAAGAGCAAATTTGGGTTTAAAATCAGTCTGTCTCCACGAACAGTAATGCAATTTTGCAGCAATCCGGTTCAATACTGATCCACTAACACACGATCACCCTCGTTGTGAAGTCAATTAACTCTGGAAATGAGGTGGAGTGACTGCACTCTTCATAGCCATGCATGTGGCCTCATGCTTATAGGCTATTTCTCGAATAAGGTCATTTATGCGTAGAGTTTATGGACATGAAAAATAATCAAATACAAGGGGGATGAAACAAAAGATTCGTTTCATTTCAACAGCGATTCCAAAGTTTTCCCAAAATCAACTCACCTTGCAAGTTCCATGGCATTCATCTTGGTGACTTTGACATTTGAACCACCAGGAATTAACTCATACTGGGTGTCATTAACTGAAAACTAAACAAACCACTTTCTTTAATCAAAGTTTTTATCAATTATCTCACGGAGAAAATATTATCAGTAAGTCAGTGTTTCACGGTAGACTGAAGGCAGGAATGATTTCTAAAAAATTAACAAGGGGCGAGGTTCATAAGTTTTAACAAGGTTCATAAGAAAGGATGTGATTTCGTATGACCATCCCAACTATAACCAATGCTATAGCAAGCCGATGCTTTCTCGACAGTTTTTCTTTGAGCAATGCCGCCTTAGGATACCACTGAACACACGATTTATTGATTAAGCAATATTCATTACCTTCAAAGGAATAGACATAAAAAAAGGTGCCAATTATAAGAGTTTTATGTCAAGATCATTGCAAATGAAGAATTTTTTGAAATCAAGATCAATATAGCATTTTCCATGGGGGGCTGAGCCCTCCAGCCCCCCTAATCTACATCTACAAAATTTACAAAACTTTTAACAAGGCTCCGCCCCTGCCCCTGCCCCTGCTCCCTAGGAATCACCACCTATTGAAGGCAAAACAAAAAAATGCAAACCGTCCTTTTATAAAACTTCCAGCTGAATTATTTTGGTTTAAAAAATGTGAAGTGCGTGGCCTCACCTCAAAGTTGCAACTATAAACGTCTTGGAATTCTTCTTCGCTTAATTCAGGTGAATGTGCATCAATTATCATTTGCGAGAAAGTTGAGTAAAGCGTCGAATTGTGAAAGCAAGATCATCAAACATGATTTCATCTTCCCTGCAAAGTACAGTCGAATTGTTACTAACATCATCTTTGGGTAAAACTCTTCACTAAAAAGGGGCTCACTTGAATTCTAGACAATTTATGGGAACAGTCTATAAACAGGGAACAAAAACGTTTATCTAATAACTTAATTACACCATCTCTCAGATAGAAAATTCAAGGTTCAAATTTGCCAAAAACATGGGAAAAGATAAAAGATATGGGCGGGAAAAGCCAAGGCGAGCATGCTTCCACCACTCTCACTGCCACGGATTCCAACGCTCATAGACGAAATAATATGACAATTGTATGACAACACAAAAATGGCATCAAAAGTAAATACTGCAAGTCATTTATCCTGGGTCGCTGTCAGTTGCCCCCCCCCCCGCAATCATCAGCCTTTTTCAGTCGTCTTTCCCTGTCGCGCACAAAGTCAATGTAAATAACTGAACATACTTATCTAGCAGAAACTTGAGCACCGGTCTGGTGAAAATCAGGGGAATGGCTTGATTGAACCACAAAGACAGGCCAAGGAATCGCCCAATACCAGTATACACAGATTTATAAAACTGGAAAAAGAAAATACCAGTTGTAAAATTAAACGAGGTACAGATATTAACTAGATGTACAGACATATACCAACTTAGCAGCTTGGAGGAAATTTTCTTCACTGATGATATCAATCATACAAAAAATTGCAAAAAAAATTGTTTTGAATGTGTTTGACTATATTCACTTCAAAATCAAAGAATACATGTAAAGTGGTGATGAAACCCGAAAGATTTAGCTGCTGGCCAATGGAGTTACACACATAGGAAAAGGCTAAGAATATTGAAGATACAGTTGTCACTGCAGTGAAAATCGGTCAAAAAGCCCGTTATCATAGAAACACGGATAAAGGCAAATAATTTTTCGCAAGAGTTTCTTTTCTACAGTCAAAGCAACCCCCAAATAACAGACAGTTTTCTACAAGGGACAGAAGCGCTTGTCCAGCTGGTACCCATTAAATATAGATTGACTGTATAACAAGGCTAATTATTCTTTCTTACAGAAAACTATAGTCCAGCATTGCTGATATCTGGTTACTTCTAGCAGCCTTTCGTTAATCAACTGCTCAGAATATTAAGTATAAAAAGCTTATGATCCTTACGTCATGTCTTAAAGCCTTTTTGCGTCTCGGGCAGTAAACATGAGCTTGTTCCGGTAATTGACCTGGTTGATGGAGGAGAACGGGAGAGCGTCTGCCACTCTGTAAAAGAATTAGAGCAATGAAATCAAAATAAGTCACAGTGGCAGACAAACAGATGAGCGAACAGGACAATCGGGCAGATATAGATTCTAATAACACGATACCGGTTTGATTTCATACTTAATTACTGTCCCTGTCGAATGTGCGGTACAGTAATGCAATTTTGCAGCAATCCAGTTCAATACTGATCCACTTTCACGATCACCCTCGTTGTGAAGTCAATAAACTCTGGAAATGAGGTGGAGCGATTGCACTCTTCGTGCTATTTTTATGGCTGCACAGATTCGTGGCATTTTCGCTAAAGACCCTCTTTAAAGAGAGAAGTAAAAAATTACTAATAAAACCATTTATACTGTTAGTATTTCCTCAGCTTCAGGAAAGCCATCCAGAACACCAATTACAGATTCTTCTACTCACCATCTCTCCAGTTAGAGTATTAGCAAACCCTGTAAAGAAGCCACGATTTACACCCGGCCCTGTGCCTTCCTCTCCTTCAAATCGTACCTTGATGGTACTGTATGGGTGGTTATCATTTTGGTATACCTGTAAATTAAAGAAAAAAACATTGAAAAATGGCATCGATAAATAGTATTAAGAGCTCCGACAAATTGATCCTAATATAAGACTTTGTCTTGGACAGAAGGAGTCCCTAAGGGCAAATTAAAGACCTATAACAAAAGATTTTGCACAAAAGTGGGGGGCAATGACCTCCTCCCTCATCAAAGTCCTGAAAAGAGGCTTTATTAAACTGTTCTTCAGTACTTGTTTTAAATGTGTTCGACTTTCAATCAAGCATTTATCAGCCTAAGGAACCTTTTGGGAGCAAGGAAATACTGAGAAGTGTAGCTGAGGAACTGTTTTAAAGAGCAGGCAGTAAAGGAGCAATCTCTCCATTTCTTCGGTATCATCCATTCCGCTTCGAAAACTGGCTTAATATTTGAAGAGCAAAAACTTGAAAAAAGTTGATAATTTAAAGGTGGATGTTATCATTAGAGCAAAACGGTAAATTCGTTATAAATGGAGTACATACATGCAGCAATGCTTTAAGCCCGTCAGAAAGAAAGCTTCCTCTGCGGATATTGGCAGTGAATGATTGGCTCTCTTCAGTTATTGTCTTTGGCAAACAGTCGTCCTTAAGTGATCCTAAAGCCCGTTGAAATCTGAAACAAGAATATGTAACGTCAGACGTCTCAATATACGACCGAGGAAAAGTCAGATGACCCACGAAAACTTCGTATATGTCGAACCGTCAAGACGACCAACATAACCATAGGTCGAATTGTTTCCAAATATTCTCCAAGATAACCGACCAACCGAGTAAATTTAAGGGAAACGCGGTTGGGAAAACCAGGGAGCTCGAGATGTTTGTCGAAATAAATAATGAATAATAGGGGTAAAGAGTAGGATCGCGTCGTCCTGATTGAGTATGTACCTGGAAATGTGACATTTACATCGCGTCAACTATTGCGAAAAAATTGGGAGATTGGGGCTAGGCTGCGATTAAAAAAGCGCGAAATCATGTGTAGACGCCTAAATGAAAGAGGGATGAAAAATACAATGATTGGCTTTTAAGGAAATGTAGTATTCTTACAAATTATTACTCAGCTTTTCAAATAAAATCTCCGTAAAATCACGCTCAAATGTTTCATTTACAGTATTTTGCACAACAAAATGTACCTTGCAATTCGGCCAGCTGACCCAGCATGCTCAGCGAGGAAGCAATCCCTCTCCATTCCTGGAGGCTCAGCAAGAAACAGTTTAGCAAAAGCTGATATTGAAAGTTTCCAGTTCAACTTGCATTGTTCACGATGACTGAAACAGCAATAAATAACATTAAAAAGCTCAATGATCCAGTAAAGGACGTTAAAAACTAAATGACATCTTCAATAATTCACTTCAGAAAGCAGGGCCTAACGGGTTCCCAATTACCTAGAAAGCTTGAGCTACTGTAGCAAAAGGAAAAAGAGTTGCCTAGCAATCCTTAATTCAATAGCAGCCAAGAATAAATGAGATAGAAAACTGTAACGACCAAAGGAATCGTGTGTACAGAAAAAAAGTGCTTATTTGCAAAGAAGGAACTATGATAAAAAAAGTATTTTTGAGTTTTACACAATACTCTATGTCTTTATAGGTACAAATTCTAGAAAACACTTCCTTCTTTAAAATTCAAACCACATGACGCGTGCTTGAAACCTAATTAATTCTAAGAAATGATATAATTACTTATTTTTCTGCTGTTCATTTCCTTGATCAGTGATCTGCTCCGGTTGGCTTGGAATCAACCAAAAATGAGGAGACTTGGCTTTTTTCAGCACTTGATTCCTGGCCTCTTCAAATTGCATAACATTAAATGCAGCAGAGTCAAATCCAAAAAACTTATAGTCTCTCCCCCTGATGGTCTGATTGGCATCCTTTTGCGAATCTCTTTCTATCTTTTCACCGACTGAAACCTTGGAAGAATCATTCGCATGTTCAATAGGCCATTTCTTCAACATGTACAAGTATGCATCGAGCACAACGGTCACGTGACTGTAGCTGACGAAGTAAAGAAAAATTACGTAGAATAGAATTTTAGAATAGCTCTTCTCTACATATCAAATACGGTGTATCTGTTAGAAAATCAAATCTCCGAAAGAACACCACCATAAATGTCAAGGCAGTAAAATGTGGGGAAAAATTTTCTTACTCTTTAGTTGGTGATGCTATGGAGAGGCTTAAGTGCCTGTAGCTAAGCCCTAAAAAGGGAAAGGAGGAAGGATTTAGGAAAGAGAGGGAATTTCACATTCATTTAGTTAACGAAAATCCCCAAATCCGTACGAAAATCTGGAGGCAAATCGCATTCTTCTATCATCGCAATCTGGAGGCAAATAACAATCGCATGCTTTGTGACTTTGGTAAAGGCAGAAAGAGAAACCGTTCGAGTTTTAATATCGATAAACCATATGAAAATCCGAGTAAAAAGCAGAATTCAATTTACATTTATTACCGTTCCAAAACCTGTTTCATGCTTGCAATTACAAATGTTGATTGGAAATAGGCATCAAAATAATGCCAGTGGGTATCAGAACCCCAATGTTGACTGCAATTAGTCAATAGCACCCCCAATAAGTAGAACAAATCTTCGACCTCATTTTGGGAGTTCGTCCCGCGTATAGCCTTATTCAGGCTCTGTGGAAAAGGAGGTCTACGGATGTCCACTCCATAAGCAGCCTTAGCCAATATGGCCTCGTCAATAGTAGGCTTACCTCATTAGGTCCAATATTGGGAACACTGAGTTTGTGTTGCTAGCATCATGGGCTTTTAATAGATACATCAGGTACTCCTCAGGTCGCGAGACGTATGATTGGGAAATATATGGAGGGCGACCAAGAGATGATCCATCAGATAAGCTTGGGTCCATTTTCAAAGATCTGGTGGCGAATCGCTGAAAAGGGAGGAATTTGTCAAAGTTCACTATCTCAATATTTGTTCATATAAAGATAAAAAATGACTTGCTCGACTTTTTACGTTTTTGATACAAGTTTTACGCCAAAAGTACTTGACAGAGAGTAAGAAATATCCCAAAACCTAGAAAAAACTGCAAAAAGGACATAAGTAAGATAATAACATAAATAAAGTTGCAATGATTATAGATTCATGTTTACTGGTCTGTCATAAAGAGCTCATTGCCGTATAGACACAGCTGTGCACGCTATTTGGTGTATAGAACAGGACAGTTTTAAGTTGCTACTCCAAGTTTCACGCTTGATTCGATTTTCACGCTTGATTCGATCATCAAGGAACAATATTTTAGATAAGGCAATTTCAAAATCACAAAATTTCGAAAAGTAATCAAGCCTTGTACTAAAACAAGACTCACTTCGGTGTCGAATTCCTCACCAGCTCTTAGCTGTCTTTCGATAGAATTCATAACTTCAATCAGCCAATCCCAGGTCTTGGATAACAGACATCTTGCTTGGTGAATGAGTTCGTTCTCAGTCGAGGTCGGTATAGCAAGAGATGGCATGATGTCTTCATTGCCACAAAACTGTAAAGACACGCAATGAATAAATTCAGCAAGCAAGAATTAAGATCACTTATATGCATAGCTTGACATTTCGAAATTAGTATTTTCAAAGCCTAATTTCAGAAGAAGGAAATGACCGCATCAACGGCATTTTTGGCATCCGTACTTGAAAGGGAGGGTGGGGTGGGGGGGGGGTTGGAGGATCTTATATGAAGGGTAACTTGGACAGAGAAAGAAGTAAACATCACTCCTATGTAAGGTATAAACATATATTAATTGTCTTGCTTACTGTGTTCCTATCTGTCTTCCCTTGTCATTGTAAAACTTGTCAAAGGGAAAGATACTAGTTTTTAATGGTAAGATAGAGCCGGAAAAATTCTTTCCTACAACAAAAATTCAATTGAGCATATAGGGTAGCTTTCCCTCTTATATGATTTCAACAAGTTACCCAACCTGTCCTCTTTTTGACTGTAATTCCTTGTAAGAGTGCAAAACTCAAGCTTTGCTTCATAATTATGCAATTGGCTCTTCTCCTTTCACAATTATGACAAAATGCTAGAATTCAGACGGGCCTTGAGCATCTTATTCAACAAGAAACTGTTGAATATGACGAAACAGAATAAACATGTTAAAGAATTTACCTTTGATTCTCCTTTGTTCAGCAAATCACTTGCCAGGTCAACAGCCTCTTTTACAAGTCGTGAAAACATCTGTGCGAGGTAATAATTTCCTGCGTGAATTGATGGCACGAAGTCTGGATCAGGTCTTCTGTCAAGCTGGGGAAAAATTCATATTGATAAAAAAACAAAGCAAAACAGAGATATGGCTGTCCTGTTTATAGAGCCATCAGCATCAGTGTTGTAAATGTCATAAGAGCTCTACACAATAGCCTTGTGATGTGTTGCAGCGGCTGAGATATTGTTGAAAGCTTAAAATAATTAGGCCACTCCATATGCTACATTTATTAAAAAGTCAACAGAAATTGGCATTATTCTTCAGAAGCATACTTACAAAATCTGGAATGGGAAGTGACTGTCGACCTCGTGTCATATCTGAAACTCTAATGTGTCCATCAAGCGTCCAGGCAAGAGGTGATATGATGCCTTGATTATTTTGTACACCAACGGATTGCTGGAAGGCTTCTCTCGATGCCCCTGCAGCGGTATCTTTGCTAGAATCCTCGTCTTCAATCGAATCAACTCTTACTAGTTTTGTAGGCCTGAGATTAGACTTCAGTTCATTTGTTCTTCTGAAAACATCAGATCAACAACTTCTTAGAATTTAATGTGAATTGTTATAATAAAAAACTCTACGACGATTCGAATATTCTGGGACTTGTGGAAGAGCCCATTCATAAAAATTAAATCAGAAAAAGCTCAAAGAAGGATTGCAAGCTAGACTGAAAACGCGGGTTTTCACTTCGAGCTAAAAAAGTGGATTGTGTAGAACGCAAATTGATAAAGGGCGCCTTGACACTAAACTCATATTTTCGATTTAATTTTGATAAAAACACTTTTATACAGTGTAGTAAAACTTTTTATCAGCTTTCGTTTACCTGGAAGATTTAATCGTTCATTTCATAAACAGAAGCAAAGGGGCATTTTTAATATCACCGTTTATATGTTTCCTATTCTTAGCATAACGATAAGAAAATCAGTTTTGGGAAATGTCGTCAAAGGTAGGACCCAATTCAATTTAGCGTTGCAGTCCAACAATTTAGTGGAAGAGTGAAAATGAAAATCATGACAATTTTGCTGTCAGCCAAGCTAACGTTCAAAAATATATGGCATCTGTTCAAGTGGAGTAGAATTTCCAAAGCATAAACAGTTTTAAAAGAGTTGAAAAAGGCTAGAAGAATGAAGAAGTCAAAAAACAGTACAACCACACAATGTTTTCAGAAGGCAGCAATGAAAATGCTAGAAGATACCACTATAGTAGAGACTGAAGAGAGCGGTGACAGTGTTATTGACAATAGTGACTAACTTTTTTTTAAGTATTCTAAATGAACAATTGCACGGCCCATGATTAATGTTTGAAATAATTTGTTAGCCCAACGTTTCGCATTCAAAAGTTTTGATAACCCTGCTGAATCCCTTCCGCCCTGGTCTGTTCCATACTTTATGACAGCTCCCTAAACAGTTTTAAAAGAGTTTAGATACCTAGAGGCTCTCTTGATGTGTGATGAACATCCTAAGGCTTCTGCTGTACGCCGGGTTGTACCAGCTACACGAGGATCTAAAAAGAAGTACAAAATACATAATGAACATAAAGCTTAACCAGGTTTAGACTTTAAAAGATAGCAGGCTGTTAATTTGCCTTTAATCAAGCAAGAATCAAACGGAAAGAAAAGGTACGGTGGGCAGATGCCCTAAACAACGAAATATTTGCTAAAATTAATAAAAAATGACTTCTTCACTTGTCATTCGATAGACGATTTATTGTAGCAGAAGCGATAAAAGTATGTCTTACTTGTTCCTAGAATAGAGCTCATAAAATGAGCACTCTGTAGCGTCGAGGGCCTTTCGCCAACACTTGGCATCCCTGAGACAATTCCTCTTGGCTGCGCTTTGGATATCCCCAGCCGGACGGGGGTTATCGTCGTTTCTGCTGCTTTCAGTATCTCGATCACAGCTAACCAAGAGAAGGCGCGTAACGTTGATCTGGAAAAAGCGTGGAGATATGTTCACAATAAAGAAGGAATGTATACCGTGCACGTAAATACAGGGGGTCAAATCTAAGTCTTTATTTCCATCAGTACTGTCCCGATTCATCTTGAAGTAATTTGGCATAATGAAGTAAGTTTGAAGAGACTGACTGCCTACACTACCGTTAAGTCCTCGAATAGACATACGGGAGGCTAATTTTGCAAACAATATCTTGGAGACGGGGGCTTATTTAAAGGTGGGGCTATTCATAGGTGGGTGGGGGCTTATTTAGCAGCAGCAACAAATATTTACCATTTAGAAGAAAAACATAAATTTTCTTTTTATAATTTAAGCTGGTCAGTATGCTCAGAAGACAGATTTGTCTATATAAAGCCCCAACCTTACCTATTGCTGTCGAGGCCAAATCTCAACCTATGATGGCTTATTCGAAGGTCGAAGGTAGGGCGTATTTCAAGGTAGGGCGTATTTCAAGGTAGGGCGTATTCGAAGGTAGAGTACATTCGAAGGTAGGGCGTATTCGAAGGTAGGGCTTATTTGGAGGTAGGGCGTATTCGAAGGTAGGGCGTATTCCAAGGTAAGACGTATTTCAAGGTATGACGTATTCGAAGGTAGGACGTATTTCAAGGTAGGGCGTATTCGAAGGTAGGGCTTATTTGGGAGAGGGGTTATTTCAAGGTAGGGCGTGTTCCAAGGTAGGGCGTATTCGAAGGTAGGGCGTATTCGAAGGTAGGGCGTATTCCAAGGTAAGACGTATTTCAAGGTAGGACGTATTCGAAGGTAGGACGTATTTCAAGGTAGGGCGTATTCGAAGGTAGGGCTTATTTGGAGGTAGGGCTTATTTCAAGGTAGGGCGTGTTCCAAGGTAGGGCGTATTCGAAGGTAGGGCTTATTTGGAGGTAGGGCGTATTCGAAGGTAGGGCATATTCGAAGGTAGGGCTTATTTGGAGGTAGGGCTTATTTCAAGGTAGGGCGTGTTCCAAGGTAGGGCGTATTCGAAGGTAGGGCTTATTTGGAGGTAGGGCGTATTCGAAGGTAGGGCATATTCGAAGGTAGGGCGTATTTCAAGGTAGGGCGTATTCGAAGGTAGGGCTTATTTGGAGGTAGGGCTTATTTCAAGGTAGGGCGTGTTCCAAGGTAGGGCGTATTCGAAGGTAGGGCTTATTTGGAGGTAGGGCTTATTTCAAGGTAGGGCGTGTTTGGTATTTGGAGGTAGGGCGTATTCGAAGGTAGGGCATATTCGAAGGTAGGACGTATTTCAAGGTAGGGCGTATTCGAAGGTAGGGCTTATTTGGAGGTAGGGCGTATTCGAAGGTAGGGCATATTCGAAGGTAGGACGTATTTCAAGGTAGGGCGTATTCGAAGGTAGGGCTTATTTGGAGGTAGGGCTTATTTCAAGGTAGGGCGTGTTCCAAGGTATGGCGTATTCGAAGGTAGGGCTTATTTGGAGGTAGGGCATATTTCAAGGTAGGGCGTGTTCCAAGGTAAGACGTATTTCAAGGTAGGGCGTATTCGAAGGTAGGACGTATTTCAAGGTAGGGCGCATTCGAAGGTGGGGGCTTATTCGAGGAGATATGGCACATTTTTTTTACATTCCAATAAAACTTTACAGTACAAATCTACTAGTTACACTACCCACAAAATACTTAACGACATTACAAGGACGATGCCACTGGGTGCAAAATACTATGACTACTCCGTGGCATCACGAAAAACTAAGACAACTTACATATGAATTACCAAAAGAAAAAAACAAAGAACACTACACTCTCTCTCAAATATTAGCGAATAGCAGCAGACAAGATGTCACCTTATTTCCGTTATTTTGCGTTATCACAGATCTCACCTCATATATAATTTGAGACAAACCTTACATATTATATTTAACTAAGTAATTGTTGGCTTACTAGGGGGGGGGGCGAGATATTTTATTCAAAGCGGCCAGTACAATGTATAAAACGTATTGTTAACTCCAGGGTGCTTCTATTGAGATGGTTTGGAAAATTCTTATCGCCACACAATAAGATTTGCAACAGAACATCATTTGCAAGATTTGCATATCCATATAGTCGTACAAGAGTATATATTCCAGCGAGGAGATCAGTCCTTTGAACACCAAAATATGGTACATTCGTTACTTATCTCAAATTCTACCAAGAAAATCATCGCAAACATGATAATATCTTTCGGTGTTCAAAATTCATCGTCAAGTTACCATTCCTTATATCTATTGATTCTTGGGTGAAATTTTAAAATAATTTAAGGAGTGTTGGCCTTCAGCCAAGTATGGTTTACAGTGGGCCTTCCATTTAATAAATAATAGGTTTGTCCTTATCTTCATTCAGGAATAGGATTCAGGAATATAATAATCTGTTAGGAGGAGGTTGAATTGAATATATATAAAGATCAAATGCATCAATACCTTATCCGTTTCATTGCCCTCTCATCAACATCATCTTCCATCAGCTTTGCGAACCTCCCAATTTTGTGTCGTAGCCTTGAGTCGCTGTTTCTTTCTTTGCTCAAAAACAAACTTAACTGCCTCACAACAGAACTTAAAAAGCGCCTGTACGTCCCAATAATTTCTGCGTCTCTTCTAAGAGAATTTTCTCGTTTCAATACACGGACTGAGTTTATTTTCTGTGTGCTTTGAGCGAATTTGGCAGCAAAACCTGCGTTAATATTCTGGGTAGAAAACATGTCTAACAGCGTAACAACAAACGTTCTAACGACACATGGTACCGGATTCGACATTAAATGGGATATGACTTGATCAAAGCCCTCAATGTCCACACCCCCTGAGCTCTTACTAACTGCTCCTTCACAAGGAGATCCATATATTGTTCCCAGTACAGAGCCGTCCATGCTGGTAAGTACAGAGATTATCCAAATAAAAGTCTTTGCTTGTTGCTCGCTCATGCTCGAAATCTGGTCAAGGCAAGTACATTTATCTACAACGATGTTTTGCTTAGTAACAGAACTCGTAGCAGTATTCGGTGACGCCATGCTTTCATATCCAATGGCACTCGTTCTGTCCCGCGCACGATCTGCAGCCAGTAGCGCGAGGCGCTCGAAGTCATCAAGACTCAAGCCATCATAACTATTGTGATGCGTCATAGAAGTTGGCTTTAACCAAACGCTTGGAAGACTATGAGGTACCCCTTCGTCTAAAATCGATAGTCCTCGAGGAAGCACTTTCCCTAGGCTTGTACTACTAATTACCTTTGAATGAGTCTGTTCCTTGGAAACAGCTGAAGCCTCCGGGGACGACTCTGAAAACAAAAAAGCATCAACATATGCTTATATATACTTACATATATTAAAATACATACTTAAGTATTACCAAACTTAAACCATTTTTGGTTTTGCTTATACTACCAAATATCGCTCTCTCCTACTTCTTACACTTCTTACCTTTAATTTACCTAGTGACAAGTATGTCCAGGAGACCTTGTATTGCTTTTTTCTAATCAAACCACTAGGGTTCACTGCTATAAAAAAAGACTAGAGGCAGGAGCAATAGACTTTGAAGATAGGGGAAAAACAAGCTAGAGAAATTTGTTAACTAAAAAAGATTGTTAAGAAAGGTCAAAAGGCAATGGGAAAAGAAGGATAATAAACACTGGTACCGCAAGCCCTAGAATGAACCCCCATTTTCGAATAAGAGCCCCCTTCTAGAATAAGCCCCTATCTCAAAATATTCTTTGCGAACTAATCTCACAGGGGTTGATTCGAGAACCTACAGTGAAGAATTGCATACAAGCATAATAGAGGAAACGGGGGAGAAAAAAGAGGAAAGGGTAGACACTTACTGAAAGTTGGGTAGGGAGTGCTACAAGAAGTTAAGCTTGAATGCAGGGCTGGAAATAAGGAAATATCTATATAAACATCCTCAAAGGTTTGCTATACTATAACGCGATGAATTCTCATCCGATTTCTGATATTCCAGAAATTAACAATAAACTTCCCATCAAGCAAGTATTAGCTGAATTTCTAAAAAAATTAAAGCAAGTTACCTTTTACATTGCCCTCTGAATCTTCATTACGTTTTACTGCTCCTTCGCTGCAGCTAACAAATTTTGGCCAGATTTCGTCCTGGCAATCCAAAGAGGTATTTGACTGCCTAACCAGCTTAGGATCATCTGTGGATGTTAGGTGCCAATCTGATACCGAAGACTTTTTACCATTCGGCCATCCCGGTAAATCTTTTTTAATTTCAATATGTTTCAATTTGTTAATGACACAGATCTTCGGATTACATGGCCTCATTTTTGAAAACAAATCGTACAAACCATCAGGCGAAAGGCGTTTCGAGTTTTTCAAATAAAATGCAAGCGCAGTTTCTTGCTGGTCATTCACAAAAAAAGAGGCCTAAAATAAAAAAGGCAATTAAATGGCAAGAATTCTTCTTACATTTAAATAATAGATGGATCCCTACATAGTTGCAACGTAAGGTAAAACGAAATCCCCGGTGGGTCATCTCAAACTATCAAGTGTCAGCGCCCGTGTCTCGGGGTCTAGAAAACTGACCCTTATCTCTGCTGTTTGATTCCAATATGATTTCCCTTTTATTTGAAACCAAAGAGAATTTATACCCTTTTTCCTGAAATCAAGTAGTTAAAATAAAGCCAAACAAAGAAAAATTTAAAATCTATATTAAGATTCCCATATCATACACCCTGTTTTCTATTTCCTATGTCCTAGATATATGACAAAATTGAACCCCTTTTCAGAGGTATTGAAGACATGGGTGCTTACACTTGACAATAATAGTGGACCCGCCGGGAACAAAATACGAAGCGTCAGATAAATTAAACTGATTTTCATGGCCAGCAGAGGATCGAAAATTGATCTTCCATATTCTGAAGCGATGTGCTTTAGGTTGGGTTGTTGGTGACATCCTGGAACTGTGAAGTTAAAAGTATATATAAATGCATATAAAAAAGCCATAGGTCACCTCTGGATGAGCATCTAGGAGCTCTTTGAGAACATCAACGAGGCTTTCCATCTAAAAAAGGAATAGAACAGTAGCCAAAAGAGTTAATTCAAAAGTCTTGGGCCAGTATTGATGTCAAAGACGGACAACGGAACCTACATCAAGTGACATCGTACTGACACCTCAATAAATGGAGCTGATGTATCGAGGGCTAAATTTGATGCGGGTTTCATAAGGTAGAAAAGGTAACAGTTTACACTAGGTTCTGCTAGGAAAGGCCTTGCAAGTCTACGCATGATAACATGCAAAATTAATCTAAAGAAATGCAGCAACAGTACCACCATAACCACTACATATATGCCTTTAAACTACTCGATGGAATTTAAAAGTAAACGTAATATATACAACAACATACCTCCGTATCCTCTTCTGCTTTTTCATTGAAATTGTCAGCTTTATCCGGTACAGGATCATGGGTAACTTGTACAGGGCACCCAGCCTGGCTCACGATAACTTCTCGTGGAAGAATCAACCTGGCCCCCGTGATTGCTTGAGGCAGAATGTGCCTGACGTGGGCTAAGTCACGTGATAATGCTGCGCTGCTGAACAGATGGCCTCTTGGAAGCCTTAAGGTGCTGGCACGCAGAGACGGTGGGATGGTGTGTCGTGTTGGTCGCGATCTTCCAAGAAGATCATCCCTAGAGCGGTTCTCTGAATTTGGGTCCTTTGAAAGATAGACGTGTATCTTACTAGGTATCAAAGACAAATATATCTACGAGCCTTGTGCGGTATCATTCTGTTAAAGGCAGTGGAGGGAAATTGATATTAACAAAGGGCCATATGGGAAATCTGAACTGAGAAGGGGGGCTGAACCAACGATAACTTTATTGCAAGCGATGTGCTTTTCTCCAAACATAAAAAGAAATGAATTGTACTTTATTCAGCTGCTAATAGCAGCAAATTGCTTTTCGCAATTTCATTTGCCTTCCATTAATCTGAAACCACATCAGGTTTGAAAAAAATAGTTATGAATATGATCAGGCTCAAAACGAAAGAATATCGGGGCTGAAAAAAATGATAGCATTCTTATAATAAACAGTGTAGCAGGCTAAAGGCAATCGACAGGTACAAAAGTGGGTTGAGCCACCTGTCAATCAGTCAATGAGTGGAATAACATTCAATGATTGGTCATTTTTTTACTGAAAGATGGTTTAAGCCCTGTCGATTGCATCAACGTTGCTCAACTTTCAAAAACATCACTTACATCGGCTCGGTGGACCTGCAAAATATACCGTGCCACACTAGTTAGGCCTGTTGGTGCGCGGTCGTCCTTGCAAAGAAGTGGGTGACGATCCATTTCAGCTAAGGCTTGATTCATTTCTTCCAAATCGCTGAACATAACTAAACCTATAACAGAATGGTAATCACCAATCATATATCTTATCAGTCACTGTGATTACAATAAAGCCAAGAGAAGGCAAAAGCTTAAGTCACCGATAAAGCAAACTAGTGATTGATCAACTTACATTGTTGATAAGATATATGATTGTTGATTATGTGATTGTATGATTGTAAATCTGATTGTATGAGCAATAAAAACTCCCAGTTGGAAGCTGTAACAGTTTTAGTTTTAGGTAAAATCAACAATTTACAAAAAGAAAGTTTAGGATTTTGATATAAGCAAGATTTACGAAAATTGCAAAAAAATACATGCGGACCTTAAAAAATGTGAACACAGCAATACAGGTACTTGTTATGGATAATAGGGCTTTGTCTCTGTGAATAATATTATGCGAAAAGAAATTTGAGTTGGGAATAAAGAAACAAATTTCATGAGAGAGGTGGAATTTGAAAAAGGGGTGCAAATTGAATGGCGGCATTACCCTCCTTGGCAGTAGCCCGCAAGGCATCAGCTCTGTTCAAAATACCATATCGCTGCCTTGGCTGTGGTGGTGTTGGCATTGCTCTCATTGCTCTCTCATACCGTGGAATAAAGGTTGCAGCTTTCTTCTGAGATGATGGCTGATCAGTTGCCACAGAAAGTGTTTTGCTGACTATAAAAAATAAAAATTGTATCATTCGAGTAAGGGAAAATAACCACACAAGTCTCAATGAGTTTCCTGATCAATGTTGCAAGAGTTATACTGCTAGCCACTGTATACGAAGTACCCAATAACTTGAATTGTGCTTTTCAATTTTTCAATTCTTTTCCTGAACACTGCTACTTCCACACCCCATCCGTTCAAAACAATTTTGATTGTTTAGACAAATATCATACAAGTCACAGGTGAAAAAGTATTTAATAATCTCCAACGAGATTTTATATTAAAAAACTGTTAGAAAACGGAAGGAGAATTGCTAAATTTGCCCTTTAAAATTGACGTTATCCTACAAAGATGTTTAGGCAGGCATTAAGGTGTTAAGGCCAATTTCGCGTCATACTATGCTAACAGCAGTACAATTTCACTCGAGTCTGGGGAATGGGATGGTCCCCCGTCCTTTCTACGCCAACCAATGGTTTGATAGCGATTTGATAAATCGTTTCGGCACACGACTTCGGGGGTTAATTGCCTCGCTGTGTTGAATCATAGTTGCTTGATGGTCACATCAAGTGTGAAACTGGGAGTTACAACTTAGAACCATTCTAATATTTTTTGAAAAGTTTGAAATAAAAAATTTAGAACAAACAAGTTGAGATTTATCTATATTTATGGCCACAAGTTTACAATACAATTCCTGTTTGAATTTTTCTCCTTACAATCGTATCTATCTATTAACCATAAGACCATACTCAAACAATGATGAATATGTCATAAACAAAAGTAAATGGGTAGAAAAATGTTTATAACTAAAAATATTTACTAGCAATACATTCTAGATATAGATGTGAGCAAAAATGAGGGATTCTCAGATTCTAGACAAAGCTCGATAATGGTGGGGACAAAATAGTTTGCCTATTCGACGCTATTAATGTATGGCCAAAAAGATGAAACAGGCCCAAAAATTACTTACGTGTGCGTTTCTCTTTAGCGGTTTTAATTGCCCATTTTTCGTGTGGCACAGGTATACATGCCCTATACGCAGAGGAATACCTCTCTTTGAAAAGCTGCAATAACATTCGTGGGCTGTAGTTAGAAGGTATATTGGACACAACCAGAGCATTCTTCAATAGGTATTTCGGCTGCAGCTTGGATGTATTGAATACCAAGTGATGTAAAGGTGTCATTCCAAACAAAGATTTGCAAGAGATGGCTTCTTCAAATAAAGCAGGCACTACGATTAACAGGGAATAAAGATGTTGATTTTGACGTTGGACAGCTGCAATCCTTATTAGGAGAATGGATGATATGTCTCACAGTATTTATTAAAGTTTGCCTTGATCAATTCATCGATTAACTTGTTGAAAATTTATTTTATCAGATGTTGATTTTATTCAAATTAGAGGAACTTAATAATAGGTTTTCGATAGGGCCATTATATTACTTCTTCAATATGGTTTTTAGTACTAGAAATATTTAGGATTTGTTTGCCTTTTTTTCGGGAAGAACATTAAATAGTGTAAAACATTAAATTAGGGTCATCAAGTAAACAGGGGCGGTCAAATATGGGGGGAGGGGGGCAAGCCCATTATTTTAATAAAATGACGTCACATTTCCCATTGTTTTAGAACACAAGACCATTGTTCTCTAAAGTATTAAGGGCGGTGGCCCCCCTCGGCCCCCCCAAGTGTCCGCCACGAAAAGGAAAAACTGTATGCATATATGTGCAATCATGGAGGTCTACGTTGCAGTCTGCAAAACATAAAATCAGTTTTAAAACGTGGTATAAAACCAGATAATCTTACTATGTACATTAAATGATAAATAGAGACTGATTGAGGGTTCCAATTCTACTCTGAAAATTCCCATGGATAAATATGTTTAAAACAGCAAAAAACTGTTTTCAGGCTAGCATGTACTGAAGATTATTATAATTGGAAAAACCTATGAAAACTGCATTTGAGAAATATTTGGAAGAAGGAGCTGGCTACATAGATATATATACCTGTTTCACTCCACTTGAGAACAAATCGAAGGATTGTCAGAGCTGCTTTAAAGTTCTTCGTCCAAATCGCCGTTAAGAAAGGAGTGCAACCCAGACTGTCTTTATCTTTCAACTGCAAGTTTCAGGAATAAATTCAAAAGTAAATAAATTATTTCAATTTGAAAACAATGTGCCCTGCTTTTGTCTCACGACTGCCACCTCCCCTCCCCTCCCCAAAAAAAACTTTAGTTGCGGGCTTAAATGACTGACAAAAACGTATTTCGGTTATTATTTAAGAACTTTTTGGAAAAATACGTCCTGACGAATGACACAAAACTATTTAGCAGGAAAAAAGATAATAAACTTGATGATTCAAAAGTGGTCACATAGAGCATTCAATGAGGTTAGAAGTTTTCTAAAGGAATAATGTACATAAATTGCCTCCGCTTAGGCAGTGGATTGGAGTGCTCGATTAGGAAGGTAGTAAAACATATTTGAATTTATGATGGATGCAAGCTCGAGAAGATTTTAATAAAGCTGGCTCTGATGAAAGATTCTGGTGATTGCAACTTCAGTAATGTTATTTTTTTTATAATAAACCGTTTTATACTTAGAGACTCATTGCTAACATTGCTAACATAATATTTAAAGACTCATTGCTAACAGTGGGCCTTTGCGAGCGTGGCTAGGGTCCAAACAATGGCAGTAAACTTCTACGGATTAACGAAAATTGATTTCAGACAGTCTAAAAATGCATTATGGGATACTTGCGTAGCGCAATGGCTCATTGTTAGCAATGAGTCTTTAAATATTGGCAGGAAAGCTTTACTTACCAATGAAATAACAATATTTCGGATCCCGACACAATCTAAAATTTTGTTTAACATATAAACTTCATCAGCTTTCACTTTGGTATCAGCAGTGAATGTTGTGCTGCCTGAAAATAATGATCACACAATTAATTTCACAAAAGATTTTCGTCATCTTACAAAAAAATTTGAAATAATACCATAACAAAGCAAAAGCTTCTCAAAGAATAATAATAATTTTTAAAAAACTTTGATTACTTTTTAGCTTCTGAAAAGATAGTTTAAAATACCTCAATCAGGCAATATTTGTATGAAAAATAGTGAAAATAAATTTGGTATATATTATTCCACAGAAAGTCAGGTCATGCCATGCCCATTCTCTGTGGGTATAAGGGGACATCTTGATACAAAAATTGGATTGTAACATACCATTGTGGGAGCAGTTAATGTTTCCAGCACAGAGGTGCAATATATTCTGATTTCCGCTGCATTTTTCAAATAAGCACTCCAACCCATTCAAATCTTTATTGCGTGTCGAATCAGCAACATGCATAGGTTCTTCACCAGGTTGAGTCGCTTGCACCCGTCGCTGCTCTAGTGCTTCTTCTATAGTCTGCATAATTTCATCGAAACTCTCCTTATCATCGTGTATTATGACGGGGGCTAACGTCAACGTTCGCGGAACTAATAAAAAATAGACATAGCAAGAATTAAGAAAATGAAGCAATACAGCTAAGGCCACAAAGGATCATGACCAATGACGTCATAAAACTTTTAAGATTCATAACGAAAACATAGTTCAGTTATTTGTTTAGTTAGAGCGATAGTTTATGTAGTGTAATTCTAAAATATACGAACTGCCTTGAACTTAGAACTGTGCATTTCTAAGAAAAGTTTTGTAACAAAACGAAGATCTTGTTGCAAAAGTTTAAACACAATTCGATAATATCAAAATCTACAGTAAATTAGTTGTATTTCTTAGAGGCCCGATAACCACGTTAAACGTGAAACATTGAATCGTAATTTTCTGAGCAAAGAGTCAAAACAAAGATATACAAGCTCCTTATTGTCTTGCCAAAATTCATCTTACCAATATAGCTCTCCTTCCTTATAGGTTAATTCAAAAGATAAGTTTATCAGAAAGCGAACTCACTTGCAACAATGGAAATCGTTACTTCATCAATAGTCCCGTTTCCGTAACGAGCCTCGACAGGGACCAGAAGTCGAAAAGGCAATGCTTCAAGTGTCCCAGATTGAAGCAAACAAGTATTAAACTGCACTGGGTACAAACAGTTGTTTCTATCCAGCAAAATCGAACAGTCAAAAGTGTTCAAGGTCAATAATTTAGGCCCTTTCCATGACTGATGTGTGTTAGAAGACTGAGTTGTGACGCCATTTTCCTGCCGAAAATCATCTACGTCAGCAAAATCAAGCATGCACTGCTTGGCACAAACAGCTTCAAATTCTGAAGTTACGTTTCCGTCACTAATAAGAAATTCCTTTTCAACTCGCCTCTTTTTTGTGCTGCATGTAAACACTTTGCTGTTATCCTCTTTTAATCCATCTGCCTGGACTAAAAACGCTTTGCAATCTAATAATCTGTTCAACAATATTGCCAGGCCATGCTTTGTCGCGGACACAGCAACGGCCTTAAAACCATTGTACTGGTTCTCAGATCCGGTCGGATCAACGACACACACCGGTTTCTCACGAATAGCCCGGTCATATCGATCTTCATTAACTAGAAATTCACTTGAGCCCTCTACGATCACTTCAGTTGAATCAGTAACTTTTGTTAGCGAAGATTTAAGACAGACTTTCAACTTCTGCTCGGAATTGTTTTCCAAGCTACCTTTCGGATTGACTACGACAAAATTTCCATCAACAGCAACAACACTTCCGACCGCACTTGCTCGCTCTTCCAAGAAAATAACCTCGTCGGAAGACCAGTCAAATTTCAGTGAATCTTTGGAGTCAACATCACCTGCTGGAAAAATAGCGTTAATGAAGTGGGTTGTAATTGGGTAACAAAAGAGATTAAGATATGAGATATTGAAAACAGCAAGGCCTCTATTAACGGATACCTCCCAAAAGCGGATACACAAGTAGCGGATACATAAGTAGACGGAAATGAGCAAAGCAGCGCACTTGATTGGTTATTAGTATTCGACCAATCAGCGACCGCTAAGAATCTCACATGTTGCAGAAGAGTCCAAAGGAAAGAAAATAAACCCTTTATCCGTATATAAATCTTCATTCGCCGTTTAAACATTACCTGAAGTTTTGTACTCAAAGGATTGTCAGCAAAAAGAAACTTAACAAGCATGAGTAATTTTTCATTTTTTCGTGCCATTTTGAAATTTGATAAAAGTTAAATATAGCGATAGTGATCACTGAATGGCGATAACAGTCGATTTCTGCACAGAAGGCAAAGACATCAGGCTTTCTTTCGTATTGCGAGACAATAAGTCTTAATTGCTTATTTCGTAAGAGTCAATGGCATTTGCTGTATGTCGGGAATTCTTCGGCATTCTGACAGCATTGTTCAAAAGATTCTCAAATCCTGGTTCAATTTTGTTTCTGAATCTGCGTATTCAATGCTTAAATACTTTTGAAAAAATTTATACTTTTATACTAAAATATATATATTTATACATAAAATTAAAATCCTTATACTTTGAACACACCCACCAATTGAGAGTTAAAACATTTTTATGAATAATCAAAAATTAATTAATAATTAGTACAAAATAACAATTAGTTACTAGCGACATTACCTGACATGAATGTTCTTTTTGTTTTGTAATTGTATCCTTTAAACGAGGGTTTGCTAAAAAAAGGCAATAAGGATAAACCAAAATATTGATATCACAGATAGGTTCACAGATAGGTTCACAGATAGGTTCACAGATAGGTTCACAGATAGGTTCACAGATAGGTTCACAGATAGGTTCACAGATAGGTTCACAGATAGGTTAAAGATTTCAAGAAGATAACTCATCTGGATGTTTTACTCGACATGCATGCTATACAGCAAAGCAGTTTTGCCATTACATCAGGTATTTACTTCACAGATCAAGATACAATCATTACCAAAATATTGCCAATTGCTGAGGATTTTCGGTTGAAACCAGACTTTAAAAAATTAGAGAAATGCCTAATATTGTTGAAAGAAAAAGCAAATTTGCAAAGACAGAAAGGAACATGTCACATAAATGCAAAAAGATTTCAGTACTACAAATATCAGATAACAATTTTCACTACAAAATACCTTTCCCTGGTTTTTGATTCCACTAATTCAACAGTGTATTGTCTTCTATCAGAACTGTCACTTCCCTTGTCCAAATCTTGGATTCTGACCACTTTACCCACCATTGGTCCATCAATGAATTGATTCTTGATAACAAGTGCTCCCAGCTCTTCTTTTCTTTCCTTCAAAGCAACTATATCTCCAACATTCAACCCTGCATCAAACGAGTTTCGTCGGGACTGTCTTTTAGTCTTCTGAACTTTTCTTAACTCATCAGGTGCAAGGCCCCTGCAAACATGCAGACTTTATTTAAAAAGCTTAAGTCCCAGAATTGATAAGAATAAATCTGCAAACACTGTTAGATACTCTATAGAATAGTTGGGATGCAGCCACATAGGCGTAGGGTCTTACCCCCTAACAAACCAAGATTTACAAGACAGATAAAAACAACATTACTCCATAAGCAAAATTAGATCTTTTAGTGGCCATATCTCAGTCAGTTTACAGCAAATTTAACTGTGGCACATTTAGAGATATTTCATTACTTCTTTACATCTATTTGGTAAAAATAACAAAATTCAAAAATATCTATGATGTCATAGTTGCATATTCTTTTGGATCCAGATCCTGCATTTTTCTACTTTAGACTAGGGATGTAAATTTTCTGATAGTTGAATTGAGAAAAAAGTTGGATATAAAACAAAAAAATTAAGAGCTGTATAAACTTGAAGATATTCCACAGGCTTACATGCGATTTTGCTTTAAGAAATGATGACACTTCCGTCTATGATAGTCATAAAGCTGCTTGAGGTAAATTTGACAGTTTTTGATATGATCTCTCCAAAATTTCTGGCAACAACAGTAAAATATAAAAAGTACTTTTATGAAATATTTTCAAAGATACATACCACCAAAAAACTTTTCCAGAAAGAGTAAGAACAACAGAATAGAAATGACCACATTTCAAATCAATTATCTCTTCATTATCAAGCTCTTTGAAACTTGTCGCTGGCACAGTCAGTTTTTTAATAAGACTTGGTGTATAGTCCAAATGATGCCCTAAAACCAGAGTATATTTCTTGTTAATTCTTAGAATTCAGTCTTTCTTTAAGTGTAAATTTAGTAGACTTAAAAACCACAGTTGAATCCAATTGGAGATGTAAATATGTGTCTTATTACCAGAAAGGAAAGGTTTATTCAAATATTGTTTGACTCTCAGGCAAGAGCACTTAATTTGCAGCAGTGAAGACTTCCTGAAAACACTATCTAAAGTGGATTTATATTAAGATGGAGGGTTTTTATACACTGCAGTGTGAATTGGCAGTCAAATCCACCAAAAATGGATATTTTGTGATATTTTTCCCTTTAATTTTGTGAGCAATTTGAGCGGACAAAAACAGGTATTTTCTCATTTGATTATTGTACCAAAAATGCAGTCTAAGAAGCTCCTGTTATCCATAAAACAGATAAACATGAAAAAGCAGCAGTGTGAACAGGGCCAAAGTGTGAGATACCTACCAGCCAAAATTGGGTCAAAGAATGAGCAAATTTTGCCATTTTTTGTGATTATAGATGCTCTGATGATATTGCAATCGATCAACATGATTTCTTCACTTTCCAAGGATAAAAACTCCAAACTGGGGTGGAGCTGTGCCTTTGTGACATCTTTTGTCTCTCTAAGCCTTGGTATCGGCCATGACCACAACTTCTTGTCATTTTTTGATACAAGGATAAATTCTGAATGCAATGCAGATATTGACTCAAACTGAACACCTTTTGAATCCTTGAAATCAGAATGAGAAACATCATTTAAACTGGTAATATCATAAGAGTGATTCAATGTTTCTTTCAAACTGATAAAAATCTAAGAGATTCAAACTGATACAAGTTTATGTTTTGTTTAAACTGATTGAATTCTTAGAGATTTTTTATGTTTCAAAGTAACTGGAAACATTCTCAGAAGAAGGCTTTGATGTTCCATTTAAACCAGTGGTCATTCAGACTTCAAAATTGCTGCAATATTGCCATAAAGCCCTAAGCTTATAGTCTTTAACTATGACCCAAATATCTGAATGATCCATATAAACCTTATCTGAGATGATAAACAAAACCTAATTGTAGCTACAAATTATATTTCATTGAAAGAAAAATTATAACATAAATGATATAACTAAAAGACTTACACATTGAATCCATTCCACTGAATTTGCAGGGATTTTTCTTGAAATTGTGCAAGGCTTGCTCTCAATGCATACCCCTTTACTAGCAGAAGTAGATGCTACATTATCATTTTTAATGTCTTTGTGCATGAATGAAAGCTTGTCAGACATGGTTCTAAAACCAGCTGGATATTCATAAGGTCTTTTACGCTCATTCTGTTCTTGTGATGGCAAGCCTATGTCATCTGATTGATTTTCAGGAATATTTGATGCTGCTTGGAAAATGGTTGGAAAGACAGGTGTGTTTTCTGAAAGAGGAAGACCGCATGGGTCATCCATTACCATTGGTGCCTCTTCTGGCTCTTCAATCTAATTGAAAAGCAAAGAAGAAAATAATAAGATAATTAAGAAGATAAGAAGATGAACAAGAAGACTTTTAATATTGACATTTACCTAGTGACTCTACAGGGGCTTTTAAAGCATAAGAGAAGTCTGCTGACTTGATACAGTAAATTCAGGATATAGTCACATCAATTATTTCTTGAAAAACTGTGACACTAAGTTTAGTGGGATGAAAAAAAAATTTAACAGTTTTTCTTATTTGCGGCTAAATTTTATGCAACTAGAAATGGTAGTGTGACTTTAAGCAAAGAAAAATCAACTGCAATACCCTTATTAGGAATGTTTTGCCATACTCTATTAAAATTCACCTCACCTTTAGATTATTCAAATTCAAATTTTAAGCATTTAAAAGTCAATCTGTTCTACAACCCTGGCAGTATCAGGTTACTATTTTTCTTAATTGCTGAAGCTAAATCTTTAGAAGAGATACAAGAAGGTTATGGGTGAGCCATGGTGTACAAATAGCTAAGCTAGATGCCTTCACTGAGTATGCCTACAAAGGGGTTTTTAGCTTCCTCAATACAAGCAGCTGTTTAGGAATAAAACATGTTGACTTCTTAAGAATTCGAATAGAATTCTTAAGAACAGAGTTAACCTAATTTCATCCTCAGAGATTTTCCCAAGTAAGCTAAAAAATTGTGAAAAGGCCTTGATGCCATTTTATATTCCAGAAGCACGCACTGCTAATAGGCACTTTTAAATCATATTGTTCATGCTCAGAAATCTCTGCCTATAGATATTCTACTGTAAGATTTGAAAATTCTTTCCAAATATTTTGTCACAAGAATGCTTTCTAAAGTATGAACATGATTTGGGAAATAGATTTGATGAGGGATTGGTCATGCTTATCAAGCAATAACTTCATCAATATTTGACAGATACAAAAACTTTCTCATCAGAACATTTTTATGACTTAGCGATGGAAATTTATTTTTCAGGAGGTGGAGGGGGGGGGGGGGAGTTTTAAAAACAAAAAAAAGCACTTTGCCAAACTGACAATATAGAAACTGTGTAAAGCTGACAATTTAGTAAAGGCTATGGGGTTCTCACCCCCTATATGGCCGTAATTTCTGCCCTTGTCATGACTATAAAGTAGAAAATCTTGTTTTACCTGGCCAATGAATGGTAATGTACTGCCAGGCATAACTCCACGGCTAAGTGCACAATCAGAATAATCAGAGTCCTCAGCAAAATTTCTTGGAACAAGAGGCAAACTTAAATCTAGAAAGCTACTTTGCAGGCTGTTATCTGTTTGATCTTGACTTTCAAGCCTACATCCTCCATTTAAGCCCATTTCAATAAGCTCTGTAAACCGTCTTTCTTCAAAACTCTGCTCATATCCTGGATTTTCTGTGATGCTTCCAACTTGTAATGCATTTTCTACACCGCTGATATCTTCACTTAATCTTTGTCGCTTGCTTGGTACATCACATTCTGTTAAAGAAGGCACACTGATATCCAGTAACAGACTTTCTTCGCTTTTCTGTCTTGTATCTTCTTGATCAGTAAAGATGATATCCCTTGATATGTCATTATCAACTCCAATGGTCTTAGGGACAGCACTTGTTTCTGGATTAGTTTCACTTGCTTGTTCTGTTACAATAGAATATTTGGATAAGGTACCACGGAAATGTAATATATTTTTGGATACCAAGTATGTTAAAGAAATGTAGGAATTTGTAGGTAATATTTGTAACACCTGGAGATACATTTAAGTTATATACTTTGAACCATAGAGTCTCAAAAAAAATACAAGTCTTTATATCTCGATCAGAAATAAATTTAAACAATAACCAAACGTCTTGCGTCGGAAAATATACTTGAAAAATATCTTATTCTTATTTTCTAACAGCACCGGGGAAAAAAATACTTACCCTACGAAAAAGATGCCAAGGTACGTAAAATAAATGGAGAAAAAGCATTTATCTCGTAAAAGACAATCGATTGCAAAACAAGACTCTGGTTATTTACCCTCAGTATGTTGTCCCGATAGGCCTTCATCTTGGTTTATCTTGAACCTACAAGCTTTGCCATTCTTTAGTACAATACCACAATATGGTGGACTAACTGCAATGCTCTTTACCAGGTCTGCATGAAATGGTATCTGCTTTATCTCACTGTACTTAGGCCTTTCCCCTCGGCCATCATCGCTACCGACGCGGGCATAATTCTCTTGTTCATTTCTACCATCATTTGCCCGAATAAGCTCTTCAATAATCGCATCATGTACTTCACCTGGGTTTGACGACTTTTTTACTTTTAAGTTGACAATAAATGCAGCATTTCTGGTACCCATAACCATTTGCGTACCAAAAAAACGGAACTCGTAGGCCTAGGCAGACGGATGGCTTTAGTTTCGCGTTGAATTGAATTGGCCCAGTTGCGTATTTTCCTGCAATGAACAACGCAATGATTTCTTCACACGACAAAAATCTTCTCGATCCTGTCTACCAAAACAGATCTCTCTTTTGTTAGCTCCATTGTCACCTCTAATTATATGTATAAAAGCGCTGTTCAGGAAAAAGGAAAAAATTATGGTAATTATAACTAGGGAAGTTCCTTGTGTTGTGTCATTCTTCGAAAAACATTGGTGAATCCCCCAGACATTATAATGTACCTGTTATTTCTAAATAGCCAAACATCGGTCATAAAAACAATTGATTGTCTTTGAACTCTGTGTGACGTCTACGATCAATATGTGATTGCTCTAAAATTCACTCGTGCATTGCAAATAGAAACCTTCTTGTCTCACTTCCTACGACCCACTGAGAAGGGGAGGCAAGGGGGCAACCTTGAGTTTGTATCCCTGTACAACTCGCACTCTATTTAAAGAAGCTAGTTTGAAACTTGCCCAAAAAGCTGGAAAAATCAATAAGAAAGTACAAATATTCAAAAAAGACTTTAGAAAAATACCAACACATTGGTCATCAACGCTTTGGTTAGTATTATCAAATTATAAAAATCCATTTACGACAGTGATATTTCTTAAAATAAAACCAAAGTCCTCATTTCAAGAAGGACTTTGGTTTCATTCAATATATATCCAACAGCGACTATACAGCGACAGTTTACATTCACTACACGACAGCAAAGATAAGCAGAATTGCTGTGGAATGGGGGGGGGGCACTCAACTACCCCCAAATTCAAATATTGTGGGGATTCGGCCCCTTTCAAACGAGCATATATATCCAATATGGCGTGTTCCTTCCTTAGCAAATTTATATTTCAATACCTATCTCTTTGATTTGAACTAACCCTTTTATTTTATAAGATGTTCCGTTGTAAGCTAAGAATGGAGAACTTGCCAGGGGGGCTTCTAGAACAAAACCATACATAACGTAAATCCTCGAATTGGTCCCCTCGAAAAAGCCTTTCTCGAATAAGCCTCCACCCTAGAACAACAAATGGTCAATAAGCCCCCCTCTCGATTAACTCCCCACTGCTACTGTAAATTCTCAAATTGGACCCTTCCATTGGATGGTTTTTGCCATCTGAGGTTGCCTATGGCGTTTTATTGAATTACCACAACAAATTCATACTTTTGATAGTAATTAATTAAATGCTCATAGAGAAATTCCTACTAGAATAGACGAGGTCTTTTAATAATGTCTTCTTAATGTCTACAATAATTTTATAAGCCCTCCCTTGTATAAGCCCCTCCCTCGAATAAGCCCCCATCCAAAAATATCAAAAATAAATAAGCTCCCGGGGGGCTAATTCGAGGATTTACGGTATACGCTCAGTCAAGGGATGACACCTATACAAAATACAGAACACCCTGCAGTTCAAACTTACGCCGGCAGCCTCATAATTAAATCCAACAATCAACTTTACATGAAGTATTTAGCTGCATCTATACATACATAAACTATAAACAAACGAATCTACAAAAGACGGCATTATAAAGAAGCATTGCTCCAGGGTCATATTACTGGCAACAGTCCTATAACGCCCATAAATTGCATCATCAAGTAAAAATCGATGTTGCTTCTTCGTTCTAATTTTGATAAGTTTCTTTTCGGCCCTTACCTTAAAGGCACTACGTTCTGACGTTCAAGGTATTTCGCTGTCCAGTTAAATTCCCATTGGTGAGACTATACAATAGACCTATTGTTACGGAGCCAATCAGCTAAACTTCAATTTGTTCTCGATTTTTATCACGCTGCAAAGCCTATGACTCTGAACAGCTGACTAACGGGACACAGTGCGTTTGAGCTTACAACCACTGCCAAAGTCTTGAAGCACTTGCGTCAGTTTTCAAAGGCAAATTCAGTCATCCATCTTCCCCTCCCCCCTCCCCAAGAAGAATGTTGATTTACTATATCAAAAAGAAAGGAGTTGTGAAGTATGTTTTTTCTTGTGGCTTGTATGATATTTTTCTATGCTTTCAACATTGTTTTAGGGGGAAAGGGGGACCGATGTGGTAGTATACGGTAAAACAAATAAAACATAGAAAAGCACAGAACAAAATATTGAGTGTTCCAAGAAATTTTGGCAGTGATTTTAGATCCTTGTTAGTTTATTCTCTTCGTTTTGTTAATGAATTGTTTTGGGATAAAACAGGGGCAAAGTAATCAAGGTTATTAGAGAGTTTCTAACTTAGTGAATTGAATGAGCTGCAGAGCCTGATATATAAAATTTACTTTGATAAATATAAACAGAAATAATTTCTCTATACAAAAACATAATGTAACCAACCACGAGCAAACTGAATTAATTGAACTGTGATACTTCTTGAAATCTCGAGATTGCCGTCCAAAAAGTCCTTACTGAATAAATCTCAACCTTTCCATACGAAGCTTTCGTTCTTGAGAACTTTTTCTTCAGCAAGGCAATTTTCCCCGTGTCCTTTCAGATCACTCATTCCCTTAAATTTCTTGCGACAGTTCATGCATTGCCACATGACTGGCTTTACCGGGACATCAAAATAGAGCGGTGTCCACACGACCCTGTTCTTCTCGGCTGACTCATCGTTTGTTCCAGCGTCTTGTATAGCCGAGCCATCCTCACCAACCTGAGGTATTTCCTGCATTTTCCAAAACTGTGCTTTGTACATCACGTTTTCTTTAGACTGTGAATTTTCCGTGGAATGATCATTATCAAGATCCGTTTCATTTTCTTTCCCGGTTTGCTCTTGTGTTTCACTATCTTCCCTCTCGTTCACTTCAATTTCCTTTTTACAATCTTTCCAGTAACCTTCTGTTATCCTGTTTCTGCTTTTGACCCCATCACTCTGTTTGTTTACATCCTCTTTCCCATCATGCTCCACCATGCTCCCTTTATCCGTGTCTTCTTGCTCCTTCGCATGGTTCCCTTGATCATTACTCTCTTGCTCTTTCCTATCGTATTCGCCATATTTCCCGCCATGCTCTTTGTTATGGTATTCAATAGTCTTGCCATCAAGCACTGAACTTTCGTTTTTGTTACTCTTACTGTTATGGTCCTTGTTTTTATGTTCTGGGTCGTTTACTTCCTGCTCCGGGACTTTTCTTCGAAACGATGGAGATTCAAATACCTCACTACTATTTTGTTCAGATTCATTCACATTAATGTGTTTTAATTTTATTCGCTTTGCAGACTTCCCACTAAAATTTTCGTCCACAGCCTTGTCTACTAGATGATACAACATGTGTCTAGTGAGCTCCTTTGGAGATTCTAGTACCGTTCCACATTTTGAGCAACACTTTCCATCCATCTGTGATTTTTTCCTTTTTTTCACATGCTTAGACAAGGATCGAGCCAGTTTTGTAATTGAATGTTGGAAAACATTACCATCCATATTATCTATAATTCTAGAGCATTCACAGTTATTGTTGGTATCATATGACTTTCGTTTGTGACTGATGCATTCTTGTGCGACAACTTTGGAAACTGCAGCACTTGCTTTGTCCGACGGTATACAAACAGGTATGCTACTTAATCTTGGCAATCCTAATGGGTTACTAGCAACTATGCTAGTTTCCAATGATGCTCTCTGGATTTTGTTTTTAATTTTTTCTTCAGATATGTCCTTCTCTTTTCTACTCAGATCTTTCTCAGAAAAGCCTCCATCACTACTTGATCTGATGTTATGCTTAATACAGAAATCCTGTGACAGACGACTAGCTTTTTGACGCAAAATTGCACTGGCATCAGCCTTAACAGTGACAACATCAGATCTGAAAGAAGCTGTTGGCACTTCACTTGCAGTAGCCCTAAGACTGTATTCTTTGCTCGAAGACTCTCCATCATCTTTCACAGGGTGAATCTGAGGTGCTGCTTCTCCATTGATATCATCCCGTTGGTCAGGAACAGAGCTTGCTCGCAATTTCTTATAATGACGCATTATCCTGCCCATTCGAACTTCATATTTCTGCAACTTATTAGCAATAGCATGGCGATCATGCAAGAGCTTGCGACTTGTGAACAAATGAGAACATTCCCATGAAAAAAGCGTAGAGCATGATTCAAGAATGGTCCGTTTTCTTCCAATAAGTTCTCCATTGTAGCGAATATTCTTCCACACAAGACTGCTTATTCTTGATGAGCTCTTTCTGTTACTTTTTCCAGAATTAACTATCTTTGTAGCTTGTTTGCTGTTTCTTTTCCGCCCATGTCTTGGCAGTTGTTGCTGGCAATCATTAGCTCCGAGAGATGCTGATGAAGAAACCAGCAAGGGACTGCAACCGTAAATCAAATTATTGAAAACAATACTCTTCATAGCTACTTTTTTATGGATACCACTGTCATCAGAATTTACTCCACGGGTGCGTTTTTTAGAAGGTACTACACGGGTGGTATTATCTGGTGAATGGGAGACCTGTGCTACTTTATTTTTGTCACATCCGTTACTTGCCTTACAATTTATCAGAAGTGTTTTACTTGGATGCAGCTTCGAATCACCACTTTCTACTTTAGCGCGATTCTCAGTTATTCCATTTTCTTCTATGTCTTGCAAAATTTTCGGCAAAGTTAAAGGAGTAGATACTTTTTCTTTTCCGTCAACAACTGGATTTACAGAAGTCTTCGAGTTCTCTTTTGACTTAAATGTCACATACCCTTTTCCCTTAAAAAATGAGCCCAGCTTCTCTAGAATATCCTTCAACTCTTGGCCTTGAAGGACCCTTCCATTATTTTCAAAATTCATCCCTTGGACATCAACATTCCCTGAAACTAGTAAAGAAATATCTATAGGGTGCTTTTTATTTGTCTCCTGTGGAGGTGCAATTAACTGCTCAGCGACTTCACTAGCAAGTGACTTTGAGATCGTTTGGTTATTAGCAGCTACATCTTCATCTTCAGATTTTTCATCTTTGCAGGGTTCAGGAGCTTTAATAACTGGCTTTGGCAAGATGTGGATATAATTAGCTAACCAACGAGTTCTGTCTAATTGAGTATCCTTCTGGTTTTGAGCTTTGTCAGATATCAGTCCATTACCAGGTACCAATCCATTATTCTCAACTGTTGGACCTTCTTTGGAGTTCTGAGCACTTGGCAATTTGTACAAAACTACTGGACTAGGACGTTCTAGTTCACGAGCATTCCTTATTGAGTTAATTCGATTATCAGGTGCCCATCCATTAGATTCGGCGGTTGGACCTTCCTTAGAGTTTTGTGTACTTGGCAACGTGCACAAAACTTTTGAACCAGGACGTACTGGTTCACAAGTACTCCCAACTGAATTTATACCATTAGAAGGCACCGATCCTTTAGTCTCAAATGTTGGACCTTCTTTAGAGATTTGGGTACTCGGCGGCTTGCACAAAACCGTTTGAATAGGACGTTCTGGTTCACAAGTATTCCTTATTGAGTTAATTCGATTATCAGGTGCCCATCCATTAGATTCGGCGGTTGGGCCTTCCTTAGAGTTTTGTGTACTTGGCAACGTGCACAAAACTTTTGAACCAGGACGTACTGGTTCACAAGTATTCCCAACTGAATTTATACCATTAGAAGGCACCGATCCTTTAGTCTCAAATGTTGGACCTTCTTTAGAGATTTGGGTACTCGGCGGCTTGCACAAAACCGTTTGAATAGGACGTACTGGTTCACAAGTATTCCCAACTGAATTTATACCATTAGAAGGCACCGATCCTTTAGTCTCAAATGTTGGACCTTCTTTAGAGATTTGGGTACTCGGCGGCTTGCACAAAACCGTTTGAATAGGACGTACTGGTTCACAAGTATTCCCAACTGAATTTATACCATTAGAAGGCACCGATCCTTTAGTCTCAAATGTTGGACCTTCTTTAGAGATTTGGGTACTCGGCGGCTTGCACAAAACCGTTTGAATAGGACGTACTGGTTCACAAGTATTCCCAACTGAATTCATACTATTAGAAGGCACCGATCCTTTAGTCTCAACTGTTGGAGAGCTTTGGGTACTCGGCGACTTGCACAAAACCGTTTCAATAGGATGTTCTGATTCATTGGTATTCCTTACTGAATTTATACCATTAGAAGGCACCGATCCTTTAGTTTCAATAGTTGGGCCATCCTTAGATTTTTGAATACTCGGCGAATTGTGCAAAGTCGTTTGAATATGAAGTAATAGTTCACAGGTATTCCTTATTGAATTAATACGATTATCAGGTACCAGTTGTTTAGTCTCAACTGTTAGGCCTTCCTTAGAGCTTTCAGTACTTGGAAACCTATACAAATCTGTTGGATTAGGACGTTCTTGTTCATAGGTACTCTTTATTGAATTAGCACAAGTATCAGGTACCAATACACCAGTCTCAACTGCTGGAATTTCTTTAGAGCTTTGAGTACTTGGCAACTTGTACAAAACTGCTAGATCAGGACTGACAGTTTCACAAGCATTCCTTATTGAGTTTCCTTTGAAACTTTGAGTGTCTAACAATCCTGAGACAGTTCGATTATTCGGAACTAGTCTGCCCGATCTGCTGCTTGCACCATCTCTCGATTTCTGAAAATCAGGCAACTGTCTAGGGCAATTTTTTTTACCAGAGGCCAGAACATCAGCTTTCTTGGTAGAACCAGCTTCTGTAATACACTCCGAGTAGCATTGGGCCTCAGGTATCTTCCTAAAAACAATTTGATTACTTGTTTGTTGGCGGTTATTGAGGTTGGCTAAACCTTCATGAAAGCGCTGCAAATCGGCGACCTTTACAAAAATTCTTTGATTACCAAATGCCAAGCTACCACTTTCATTTGTGGAGAGCAAAGCATGATTTTCGGGAACAATGCCAGAAATAGTTGGATCAACTGGTGCAAATACCCATGGCTTGTCAAATGGAAAAGTTTGAGCACCCGGTGGCAATTCATTACGTTTCCGCTTTTTACCTTTCTTGGACTCTTTCTTTTTAGGAGCACATGTGGCGATTGCAAAAGGTTTGTACAATGGGCCTAGTTTACAGCTTTGGGATACAAAAACATTTTCTTGAACAGTCTGCGTACTTGATTCAAGTTCACCAGTTTTGTCTTGTGGGTCTTTCTTGCAGGACTGCTTTTTAGAAACCTTGCTCAGAACATTTTGATTAGCTGCTTTCATGTCATCTTTCTTGTCACTAGCATCATTTTGGGAGTTCTGGCTTTCAAGCATTTGTCGTGAGATAATTTGATAACCAAGTTTGCCAGATCTATCTGTTCGACCAGCCTTCAAATTTTGAGATTCAGATGGCTTGCTTGGAGCACTTTGAGAACCTGATGCATCTGTGCCAATTTTGCTTGCGCCAACTTCCGTCAATAATGGGCTCTTTGGTAAATCATTTAAAACATTTTGACTATCAGATTCTATCTGGCTTTGGTTTTTTTGCAAATTCTCCAAAATAACTTCTTTACCAGGAACAATTATGCCACTTTTTTCTGTTTGATCTTCCTTGGCAAGTGCTGTTTCAGGTTTGTTCAAAATACTTTTATTATCAGATGCTATACTGCAAGATTCTTCAGTTTGAAAATCGTTCTGGCTTTGAGTTTCATGCAAATCCCCCAAAACAGTATTTTCATCAGGTGCAGCTCCACTATTTTTGTATGATTTACTTTCCTCGAACAACAGTGTTTCAGGAACATTTTCCAAAGTTGTTTCTTGTACATCCCCCAAGTTTGTTTCCTTGTTTGGCACAACAGCGCCAGTTTTGTTTGTTTGTCCATCCATGAAAATTTTAGTCTCTGGAACATTTTCCAAAGTAGTTTCATTACCCGATGCTAAAACAAATGAAGGAACTGTTTGGAATTCTTTAACACCTTGAGTTTCTTGTATATCCCCCAAATTTCTTTCCTTGTTTGGCACAACAGCGCTAGTTTTGTCTGTTTTTCCATCCATGACAATTTCAGTCTCTGGAACATTTTCCAAAGTAGTTTCATTACCTGATGCTAAAACACATGAAGTAATTGTTTTGAATTCTTCAAGACCTCGAGGTTCTTGTACATCCATAAAACGTTTTTCTTTGTTTGGCACAACGGCACTAGTTTTGTCTGTTTGTCCATCCATGACAATTTCAGTCTCTGAAACATTTTCCAAAGTAGTTTCATTACTTGATGCTAAAACACAAGAACCTACTTCTTGCAGTTCTTCAAGAATTCGAGTTTCTTGTACATCCCCAAAACGTTTTTCTTTGTTTGGCACAACGGTGTCTGTTTGTCCACCCATGAAAATTTCAGTCTCTGAAACATTTTCATTACCAGATTCTAGAATGCAAGAATCTTTTTGGTCAACATGTTTGCAGCTTTGAGTCTCTTGCATATTTACCAAATTGGTTGTAGTTTCTGGCACAATTTCGACCGTTTCAGCCTCATCGTAAGGATTTTCAGATTCTTTACCTGAATTCGTCTGACTGTCTGATGTTTTCGTGCAAGGATGGTCTGTCTGACATACCTCCCGGCTTTGCATTCCAGCATGACTGCTCAAAGCAGTTTGGTTTTCCGGGATTAATCCAACAATTTGGTCTGTAGAGCCTTCGTTAGAATTACTAGATTCAAGCACTTCTCTGGATATAACTTGAAAACCAGTTGGTCCTCTGCCAGCCCTGCCTGCCACACTACCAGGGAAACCGTTTAAGATATCATCATTGCCATCAGCTTTGCTGGTTTGACTGTCTTTAATGTGATTGCCATCAGACGTATTCTTGGGAAAAGTTGGCTTGTCAGCTGATAAAAGGCCATGCTGGTTTGATCCACAAATATCAAAAGTTTGCATTTTTGAGCTTTTGCTTAAAAGATTTTGATTTCTAACCAACAATCCGTTGGCTTGCGCTGTTGGAATTTCTTTACAGCTTTGATCCGCTTTAATGTCGGTAGCAGTCTGTTTTTCTGGCATCAGATTACCTGTTTTGTCTTCTGAACCACTTCTGGAGCTGCCAGTTTTAGAGGTTCCACTAATCATTGTTTGATCACTTGATAAAAATTCATTTGTCCTGTCAATTTCGCATTCTTCTAAGGTTTTAGCTTCAGGAATATTGTCAGAAACAGGCTGTTTAGACGACGTCGTTCGAGTAGTTTTGTTTTCTGGGCCTACTTTGGAGCAACAAGTTTGAGAGGCTCCGCTCATAACAGTTTTATCACCTTGACTTTGATCATCAGCTTGACATTCTTTGAAAGTTTGAGCTTCAGGGAGAGAGCTCAAAATTCTTGGCTTATCTTTAGCTATTCTGTGAGTCTTGCTTGTTTGGCCTTCATCACACCAATGAGTTTCAGGCAAAGTGCTAGAAACAATGTTTTCATCTAGTGCTATACCAGCCAAGCCATCTGCTTTGTTTCTTTGGCTTTCAGACAAGCCGCCTAAAGGATTTCCATTAGTATTTACAGAAGACCGTTCACTCTTTTCTTGGCCCTTGGAAACCTTATCCGTAACATTGTCACGTAAAGTGGCTATTGTTGATTTGTTGGTTGATGTCCCTTTACGTTGAACTTCATATGTTGTACGATTGGCAGTGTTTGTTGAAACATGTGTGGTGCCAATTTCAGCTTCAGGCATTGTGTTTGTACCTATACTTGTCATACCAACGACACCTGGCTTCTCTCTCTCTATTTCAAATGGCTCTATCATGATAGGGATCACAATTTCTGTTTCAAGTGCTCCATAAGCTGGAAGAAATGCGTTCGCATCCATCATAGAAACATACGGATACCAGACATATGGATTATTCATCTGAGAAGCATGATTTATAAACCCTATCGTGTTTCCCGTTGTATGACTAGGGTCAATCATTGGCAAAACGGTTTTATCTTTTTTAGGGGAGGCTTTAGTCTTATTCGAAATTTGACCTAACTTCCTCAATTTCTCTTTTACATGGTCAGGAACCTTCACCTTTTCTTTATTCAAAGTATATCGTTTGCCCTCTCTCTGCAATTCATTCATTGATGGCTTTGATCCCAGACCGGGGTTTAAATCTGTTCTTTTCCCCAAACTGTTCGGACCCAGCCTTTTAATAATTAGTTTATTATTTCTTGCATCATTTGAATTTTTGTTTGAAGAGTTAAAATCTGCTTCTTTCTCTGGAGAATCAGGAACATGTTCTTTGTTTGGAGAATCAAAATCCAGTCTTTTTTCGGGGGAATCAGGTCTTTTGTTCAAGGAACCAAAATCTGTTATTTTGTTTAAAGAGTCGAAATCTTTTTTGTCCAAATATTCAGGACCTGGATTTTCTTTTGAAGAACCAGCACCGGGTTTTTTGTCACAAACTGGTCTGTTGTCCGAAAAATAAGGTCCTTTACTTACATTTGAAGAATTCAAGTCTGATCTGTCCTCTGCAGAATCAGTATCTGGGTTTTTGTCCAAAGAATCAGAAACTGGTCTGTTAGCAGATGATTGTAGATCTTCTTTCCTTTCTGAGGGATCCAAATTTGGTCTGTCCTCTACAGAATCAGTATCTGGGTTTTTGTCCAAAGAATCAGGAACTGGTCTGTTATCATAGGAATAAAGATTTTCTCCCTTATTTAAAGAATCCAAATTAGGTCTGTCCTCTACAGAATCAGGATCTCGGTTTTTGTTCAAAGAATCAGAAACTGGTCTGTTATCAGATGATTGTAGATCTTCTTTCCTTTCTGAAGGATCCAAATTTGGTCTGTCCTCTGCAGAATCAGTATCTGGGTTTTTGTTCAAAGAATCAGAAACTGGTCTGTTATCAGATGATTGTAGATCTTCTTTCCTTTCTGAAGGATCCAAATTTGGTCTGTCCTCTGCAGAATCAGTATCTGGGTTTTTGTTCAAAGAATCAGAAACTGGTCTGTTATCAGATGATTGTAGATCTTCTTTCCTTTCTGAAGGATCCAAATTTGGTCTGTCCTCTGCAGAATCAGTATCTGGGTTTTTGTTCAAAGAATCAGAAACTGGTCTGTTATCAGATGATTGTAGATCTTCTTTCCTTTCTGAAGGATCCAAATTTGGTCTGTCCTCTGCAGAATCAGTATCTGGGTTTTTGTCCAAAGAATCAGAAACTGGTCTGTTATCAGATGATTGTAGATCTTCTTTCCTTTCTGAAGGATCCAAATTTGGTCTGTCCTCTGCAGAATCAGGATCTGGGTTTTTGTCCAAAGAATCAGAAACTGGTCTGTTATTAGATGATTGTGGATCTTCTTTCCTTTCTGAAGGATCCAAATTTGGTCTGTCCTCTGCAGAATCAGTATCTGGGTTTTTGTCCAAAGAATCAGAAACTGGTCGGTTATTAGATGATTGTGGATCTTCTTTCCTTTCTGAAGGATCCAAATTTGGTCTGTCCTCTGCAGAATCAGGATCTCGGTTTTTGTCCAAAGAATCAGGAACTGGTCTGTTATCAGATGATTGTGGATTTTCTCTCCTTTCTGAAGGATTCAAATTTGGTCTGTCCTCTGCAGAATCAGTATCTGGGTTTTTGTCCAAAGAATCAGAAACTGGTCTGTTATTAGATGATTGTAGATCTTCTTTCCTTTCTGAAGGATCCAAATTTGGTCTGTCCTCTGCAGAATCAGGATCTCGGTTTTTGTCCAAAGAATCAGGAACTGGTCTGTTATTAGATGATTGTATATCTTCTTTCCTTTCTGAAGGATTCAAATTTGGCCTGTCCTCTGCAGAATCAGGATCTCGGTTTTTGTCCAAAGAATCAGGAACTGGTCTGTTATCAGATGATTGTGGATTTTCTCTCCTTTCTGAAGGATTCAAATTTGGTCTGTCCTCTGCAGAATCAGTATCTGGGTTTTTGTCCAAAGAATCAGAAACTGGTCTGTTAGCAGATGATTGTAGATCTTCTTTCCTCTCTGAGGGATCCAAATTTGGTCTGTCCTCTGCAGAATCAGTATCTGGGTTTTTGTCCAAAGAATCAGAAACTGGTCTGTTATCAGATGATTGTGCATCTTCTTTCCTTTCTGAGAGATCCAAATTTGGTCTGTCCTCTGCAGAATCAGGATCTTTGTTTTTGTCCAAAGAATCAGGAACTGGTCTGTTATCAGATGATTGTAGATCTTCTTTCCTTTCTGAGGGATCCAAATTTGGTCTGTCCTCTGCAGAATCAGTATCTGGGTTTTTGTCTAAAGAGTCAGGAACTGGTCTGTTATCAGATGAAGAAAGATCTTCTCTTTGATTTAAAGAATTCAAATCAGGTCCTTTCTCTGGTGAATTAGGATCTGGTCTTTTATCCAAAGAATAAGGGTCTAGTTTTTTATCCAAAGAACAAGGATATTCTTTTGCATTTGAACAATCGAAAACTGGTCTCTTCTCTGATAAACCAGAATCTGGCTTTGTATCCAAAGAGCGTGGATCTTCAATTTTATTCGCAAATTCCAAATCTGATCCTTTCTCTGATGAATCAGGATTTGGTCTTTTGTCTTTGGAACAAGGTTCTTCGCTTGCATTTGAATAATCCAAATCTGATCCTTTCTCTGATGAATCAGGATATTGTTTTTTGTCCAAAGAACACGGATCCTCGCTTGCATTTGAGTAATCCAAATCTGGTCTTTTCTCCGTTGAATCAGGATATTGTTTTTTGTCCAAAGAACACGGATCTTCTCTTTGATTTGAAGAATCCAAATCTTGTCTTTTATCTGGTACAACAGGATTTTCTTTTTTTCCCAAAGAACACGGATCCTCGCTTGCATTTGAATAATCCAAATCTGGTCTTTTCTCCGTTGAATCAGGATATTGTTTTTTGTCCAAAGAACACGGATCTTCTCTTTGATTTGAAGAATCCAAATCTTGTCTTTTATCTGGTACAACAGGATTTTCTTTTTTGTCCAAAGAGCATGGATCTTCTCTTTGATTTGAAGAATCTAAATCTGGTCCTTTCTCCGTTGAATCAGGATATTGTTTTTTGTCCAAAGAACACGGATCTTCTCTTTGATTTGAAGAATCCAAATCTTGTCTTTTATCTGGTACAACAGGATCTTCTTTTTTGTCCAAAGAACATGGATCTTTTATTTTACTTGAAGAAATCAAATCTGGTCTTTTCTCTTGCTTTTTGTTCATAGAACATGGGTCTTCTCTATTATTTGAAGAATCAAAATCGGATCTTTTCTTTGATGAATCTACAGCTGGCCTTTTATCTAAAGAACATGGATCTTCTCTTTTATTTGAAGAATCGATTTCCCATCTTTTCCCTTCAGTACCTGGATCCTGTCTCCTGTTAGCGCAATCAGGATTTGTTTGTAGATTTGCAGAATCAGAATCGTAGTTTTTCTTCAAAGAATCGTTACCTGCTCTGCTGTAGGTAGAATTTTTATCGGAACCTTGCTCTGAAAAAGTAATATCCCGTTTCCTGTTTAGAGACTCGAGATATTGCCGTGCACATGGAGAATCAAAACATTGTCCTTTGCTTAAAAAACTAGCATCTGGTTTCTTTATAAAAGAATCTAAATTAATTCTTTCATCTTGAGAACCAGAATCAGTGCTCTTTTTTGAAGAAGAAGGATTCGCCTTTTCATCTAAACAATCATCCTGGTTCGCATGAACAATATTTTCAAATTCTCCGGCAGCTTTCATGCTGCTAGCATTCTCAGCACCAGTACGAGGAAGAATATCTAGCGGAGACACCGTTTGAGAGGCTGTATGTCTGAAAACTTTGATTACAGCTGGCTTTCCTTTGGAAGCTAAAAATGAGCTTAATCTGCCAGCTTTTCCATCAACAAGCTGCTGCAAGATCTTTGCGTGATCTACCTTAGAAGAAGATTCTATATTTTGATTTGCACAAATCTCTGTCCTTTTCAAAGCATTCTTTTTTGTACCAACCTTAGATTTTCGACCAACCGTAAGAGGAACACCACGCTGTCTTGATAGCTGGACCTTCGGTTTATTTTCAGAATGTACTGCGCTTGACCTTTCAGTCAACAAATTTGCTTCCTGCTCTTTCAGTGGACTTGTTGAAGACGCTTGTGTTGAAACAGTTTGACATATGACAACACGGTACACTTCACTATTACCAAACTTAGAACTTATACCATCTTCTTTCGTGTTTTCACCAGTAATGCTAACAAAATTTCTCTGCTCACTTTTCTTCTCACCGTTTTGCGAATCTGATTGACAAAAATCACTATCTTTGTCGATGCTTACTGTATCAATTGGTTCATCACTGGAATGAAAATATTGATAATCAGGAAGATGTGGATTAGTGGGTGAGTCTGGCTGCAAGTATAACTGAAATGTAAGCCCACTTTCTTCATATTCAGAGCAATCATCAGAGAGATAAAGTTCAAAGGAACCATCATCTTTCAACTCCCAATTCTCGATGCTATCTTCATCACCAGCTTTATCGTGAGAGCCGATCGACGCTGAGCTGGCTAGACTATCATCGATGCCATCAAGTGATGCTGAGTATTCGAAATCGTCCTTTTCCAAGAGTGTTTTCGGGACAATACTGTTATCTGAGACACGGCTGTCCATTCACACTATTGTGCATCTACGGGGTAAAAAAGTTGGGTAAATCAGTTGCATCCTTTTTACAATCTACAAAAGCTTTAACTGGACAAAGATGTACAGGAAGCTTTGGTTTCCGGAAATATGAATAGTGTGGTGCTAGACATTCTTCATTCGGGGACTTGGCAGCCCCGCTCCACAGCACTCCTATTACCTTTTTCTCCACCCAATCATCTCCCCCAACAACCCTTTTCGAAGCTGTTCATTGACCGGTAGCCCTCACTTCCTCCGATCCACCTGATTTTTCTTTCCTAATCAAGTTGAGTCGCGCACGAGCCTGCTAGAAACTGTTCGAAATCAAGGTGATATTACAATATTTTGTTTTCTGAATGACAGAAAGGAAAATGTTCCTGAAAGCAGAGACAATGGGAAGGAAGATTGAGGAGGGTTAGTCTCGTCTTGTTCTTGATTTTGTAAATTATTATTCCTTTCCCCTCAACTATCCCCTCGTTTTATGTTCAATGGTCCTTGGCTTGTGGTTTTTCCTTCGCGAGAGAATGGAAAGAAGTATTAAGAACTGTAAAAGAATGCAAATATTTTGCATTTTTTATATCAGGGTTTTGAATTTCAAGCAAATAACAACAAACACTTTAAACACTTCATGTTGGGGCTGGACCTCGCAAAATTACATTTGTACATATCGATCACTTTCGTAGAAAAAAAATGACCAATCCTTTATCGACTCTTTGTAAAAAATTTTTAATCAATATGAGAAATCACACTGTATCACAATGAAGTAAAAATTGTACCAGTATTACATTTTCTGAATCAACATTTCCAAGTGATCACAAAATTTATACCAGAAAGAAACCCCTGCAAGGCGTAATCCCTAATTTTCAATATGGGAGTCAGTACAAAAATTTGGCGTCTGAGAATTCACCCTAACACAAATATTGGGGTCTATGAATTACAAAATTAATTAGTTCAATTTATAGGCTTTGCAAAACTGACTGAAATTTGTAAAAGGGTGAAACCTAGATCGTTTCGTTATCAAAGAAATTATAAAGTTACTTTTGGAGGCTCCGAATTAGCGATTTTACTTGGGGCTTGTTAAAACTTAACTGAAATATCAAGGGGTCATCAAAAAGATTATGACATAGACTCCCCATTAATTAAAGGCAAGTGATATTTTGTGCCATCTGTACCACTATCTTTTGGACACATTTGGTTCATGTATTCCATATTGTCATAGCAAATTTGTCGAAATTTAAGCTATTTACCACGACTTGAAATTGAATTTGACAAAAAAGGCCATCGGTTGAAATTAAAACGCATAGCAAAGTTGGCAAATGGTGGTCAATCCTTCACAAAGCTTGCATAACGTCAATTCGATTCACAAAAATATTAGGCGAACAAATAGAAGAAGGGAGAAGTTTAAAATTGGGGGAGGGGGAGTAAATGGAGGTAAAAAGGGCACGTCTCTGTTTATGATATGTTGTGAAACGCTAAATATCTTAATATTAAGCCCGTGTGCCCCTGTTGGTACGTCTTTCGTTTTACAACATATTTTGTCATTTAAGTCGCGATTCGGAACAGAGCTGTTAAAACAGATGCCTATATACATCACGTCTAAAATGCCTAAAGTCCTCTCAACCAGGGACGTCGCCAAAAGGGGTACCGGGGGCGCTGTACCCCCAAAACTTTGTCCCTCGGCACATAAAGAATTTTTGCCGGACAAAAGAAGAACATTTTTTTTCACTCCTTAACCTTTTTGCAACAATTGTCACGTGTTAACATTTCGGTAGAAGTTGAACTTTCAAACTATGGCACTAGAGAATGAGTTTTGAAATAGAACTCATAAAAGTAGCATATTAGATTATTATCACATCTTATGACAAAACATCTTATGACCACACCCTTAAAGAGTGAGGCACGCCCTTTTTTTAGCGAAAATCATTTCTGTACCCATCTGAAAAATTTTGCTGGCATCACCATGCTTTAAATTATCGTACAAAAGTTAGAAAACAACATGTGTGTTGAAAATTGAAGATATCAACAATGAGCTGAAGGACAGAAACTCGTCTGATTTATATTGTCGAATTAAAACCCTTTTGCTGATCCTGCCATTCCAGCAATATGTGGACTTTGCAAAGCAATGCGAAGATGGTAGCATTGGGTATCTTATGCATTTTGGAGTTAGATCACTTGCCATTGTAAAGGACATAGAGCATGAAATAATAGCAGAGGGTCGTAGTGCAGGAACGCTTAATGCCTTTCTTCAACAGAAACAGGGGTATATATTGAGGAATCAGGAAGTTTCTAATTTCAAGGTTACATTTGAATAGTGTATTTCTTTGGAGAAAAACCAAACATATTTTAAACAGTTTAGAGATAACTGCGAATGTGAATGATAAGAATTTAAAGGTCTATAGCAGGCATTGTAAAAATACAAAGAAATATCAGAATTCAATACCTTAAGCTATCGAGGTATTTTGAATTGATACCAAAAGGGGTATCCAATGATTAGCGGGAGGCAAACAGCGGTATAGAAAGACCTGCTTTGCCAATGCTTTTCTTACAAACCATTTGATTTCAATCTTTTTTATAAGGACACGCTTGATAAGAACACCAAGGCTTGTTTCCCAAAAAATATTAACAAAATAAGGGCATGTCCTGCTTTAGACGAAAAATAGGAAGAAAGCCAACGCTTGTTTGAAAATTTACTCGAAAATTGTTTGAAACTTTAAAAAATCTATAGTACAGGGTTGCCAGATTGGCCTTTTTCAGGCCAAACTTTCCAATTTAAGCCTTTTTCAGAGTTAAATAGCATGGAAAATTTGTTTATGGCTTACTACTTAAATTTGGCCTTTTTAAACATTATGAATTCATTCCTTTGTTTTACATAAACTTTAGCACCCAAAGTAACAAACATTTTAATGAATAGAGAGCAATTGAGAGCAATATTACACAGTGTAAACTAAAATGTCAAATATTATCAGCTAACCTAACAATTAGCAAAGGAATTTGTTTGAAAGAGAAAGTTTCTCAGTTTTTTTCTTGAGTTTGGAAATTAGCTAAAAGACTCATGAATGGCAATATATACTTCACTTCACGCAGTTCTAGGGGAATTTTCAATTTGGCCTTTTTAAGTACATTTTGGCCCGAGTTTGTCATCAGTTTGGCCTTCTTTTGTAAATTCCATCTGGCAACCCTGCTATGGTATGTTGTTGTAGAAAAATGAAAATTGACATAAGAACAACACGAGGAGCACCTCTGGCAAAATAATCTATAGGGATGACCTCTTCCCAGAGAACCAAAAAAACCTCCACTGCTAAGTCGGATATTTTGAAATTTAACACAAGAAAACCTGATGATTTCGAAATTATTGTTATATTTTAAAATATCCTTCGGATACAAGGGAGCAGGTACCTGGAATCAGATGCTAACGCACATAAGAGACTCTGCCTCGCTGTGTACCTTCAAAGTAAGATTGTGAGGGAGTTTTTGAGACAGAGCGACGCAAACACAACCGCTAAGAATAGCAGCTGTATTTTTGAATTAATTATTTAGTTATATTTTTTCAAACTGGTAGAGTACTGTGTGTAAACAAGAATAATAATAATCATCATCATCAAATATATTAAACAATAGAACAAGAACAGAAACCAGTGTAGAGCCGGACGTCTAATAAATCTACTCACATTAAAGCTTCTTTCCTTTTATTGTTGTCTTTTAATTTCAAGCAGAAATGGTCACTGTTGGCCTAAAAGAAATGCATCATTATGAACTAGGCTGTATACAAAGTTCTAAGGTATCAAGAATTACACGTGGCAGTCCTCAAATTATTTTTATGCAAAATCTTTTTACAAATGCACGCTATTTTATAAAGAACCACTTACGATGAGCCTACATGTAGAAGGCAGAACAAATTCAAGCACTGTTAAAACTAAAGGAACTTTTCCGTAAGGAACTTTTCCGTAAAGGACCTTTCATTAAGGGACTATTTCCAAGGGAATTTTCATTTTTGAATATTTTTATGATTGCAAACAATCAGGAAGCCGACTCCATTATTTAGAGTTAAAAATCACATTAATCGCCAGTAAACGCCGCATCTACATGTAAACACAGGCCTGTGGCAACTTTTTAACCCAATTTCTCGCCCCAGTCTCTTTATGCAAATTAAGCGCGCGGATATCGAAAAGGTGTATTATGTGTTGCGATGGTAGCTACTACTCTCCTCCGCAGAGGCTATTGGGGAGGGAGGTGGGGATTGAGAAAGCTCCTCTTATCCTATCCTTTTTCCCTCTCAATCTCCCTACCCAATAGCCTTTGTGGAGGAGAGTAGGTAGGTACCAAGTGTTTCATTGTATGATTTCTAGTTTTTCATTTTCCTTCTTGATTTAATTTCCACTTTCCAGATATCAAACGTCTTTCTAGTCTTCTTTCTGTTTTTCGCCTTGTTTGCTAGCTACACTAGCAACACTTATACATAATTTGAATGTTTTATGTGCAATTTTCATAGCACCAAATGTCCAATTAAATTAAGGAACTTTTATTACTACAATTCGACCAAAAGAGGTCCAAAAATAAGGAACTCCATGAACTAGGCCTCGAGCTAGGTTCCTAAGAAAATCAAATTACCAAATTACCAAATCAATCATTTATTTGCTGGTAAAGTTTTTACAATTAAATCAACAAATCATTGTCGTAAGTTACATATAATTTAAAGAACCTGAACGCAAAAATTTGGGTTCAGCGCAATTTAAAAGGATTTTCATTTTCGGAGCTGAATATGCTGCCACTGAAATTCGTTTTAATGTATTTGACAAAGAATTTGAACTATAAAACGAGACATGTTTATAAGGGGAAAAAACTAATAGCTCAATTATTTTGTTTTTAAATCACACGAATTCTAGCATATGTACAATAACGCTTTTAATTGCGGCCTCTGATTGGTTTGTAAGTACGGAGAAAATAATCCCAATCAAAGTTCTCGAGTATTAAATCGAATATATGGCGCTTACACTACAGCTGTTCATTTTAAACGTAACCTGTAAAATATAAGAGCGGTAGAACAGAACAACGTGCATGAAGAATAACGAGCACGAATAATAAGTTTGACCACCCTCGCATTTGCCAATACGGCTGTTGAAGTGTTATACCGCATTGAGGGCGCACCAAGAAGAGAGAAACATCGGTTCATTGTATCCTTCAGATCGGTTCAGTGCGCCATCATCGCGGTATTGCGGGTTTCCAGTGGTTAGGGGCATTGCCCGTATGCAAAGACATTGATACAGGGATTCAGAAACCTCCTGGAAGAAGAAGGCACCAATAACTGACTGAATCTTCTACGTTCTCTCTAGCCCGAATGAAATACTTGTTTAAGGAAATTCCTATAATAAACAGTTTGTTACGAGCTGATGATGAAGAGGATGAACAAAAACCGACCTTTACTTTTTGATATTCGTATTACGAACATCTTCTGGTGCTCAAACAGGTACAGAGATCCTAATGAGGGCCTATTCCCAGATAAAGCATAGTACATCTCTAAAACAGTCACAGCGCCGAATTGTTTTGCTCACGACCTTGGTAAGAAAGAAAGGGGGTGCAACGTAAACTTTCTGCTTTAAAAGAGATGAGATGAGTGATCTCTTTACAGTCGTCATTGAACTGACGACCAATTTCTGAGTTTTGTTATACTTTTGCAAGATATCAGCTTAAAATTCCTTGCTTTAGATGCACAATATTTAAGTATGAGCTCAAAAACCCCGCCACGCAAGTTGCCCTAGATACCAATTAACCTCGGCTTTTTAGGCACAGCCTCCAGCTCACAAGGACCTCCGCAGGGGGTCACAAGTCCACAACTCCTCCACAGGCGTCTTCCAAACGTTCAGGCATAATAATAATCAAAAGCGGGGATAATCAAGAGGGAAGAAGTTCACAGAGAAGCCCCTCCCCCTAGTACATGAAAAAGCAAGACTATATCAAAACAATATTGTACAAAATTTGCTTCTGGCTTGAACGAGCGTGGCGCAGAATTTGCTCGTAAGGCTTCTGCTTCCGAACATAATACGATATAAGAAGCTGCTGGAAATTTTACAACATGTAACCAAAATAATGATGAAAGTGTACCCAAAATATGTAATCAACAGCAAATTAGATAAACAAGAATTACCGGAACAGTGTAGTTGCAATTTGTCAACAGATTTTATCTGGCAAATTCGCTACGATATGCCTAGAAGATATTATTTTCCCCTGAATTTTTTTCAAGACACACAGAAAATGTATCCTCCAAAAAATTCTCGAAAAGGTTTCTATTTTTTCTGGACATGGGCCTTTGCAGGGCAACTTCCAATGAAATACGAAGAGAGTGTATAGACAGAACACAATTCGAAGGAATTTGACCCTTGATTAATTTTTGCCTAAATATAAGAAAAATACTGATCAATACGCCTTGGCAAACATAAATTAAATAGCGATTGAAAAACCTGTGTTATCAAGTGTATGGCCATTGCCAAAAATACAGAAAAATTATTCAATAGACTTTGGAAAAGAATTGACACTTGAAGCAAAGCTTACAGAAAGCAGTGGAAAAAGGAACCAAGAATGCTTATGTTTTGAGCTTTTGGAAATGAAAACAGGCCTGGAGATGTATTTTAGAATAGTTGGTGACATAAGAATGTTTGAAAACAATCAAATAAAAGGGATACTATGAAAAAGGGGGCAGCTTGTGACTTTGCCTAAATTTGAATAAACACACAAGGACAAAGTTTGCACATGGGGGAGGGGGGGGCTAGGATGGTCAACAATCAGCACAGGTCAGTGTATTGAAGTATTCAAGCAAGTTGATAAACCCATATGCTCTTGTCAAATAATACAGTTAAAGAAATTTGGGTATTTTTGTTAAGAGTCCCTGATAAGAAAGGCCTGAAAAATTCCTTTGAAGATGGCACCTTCATGTAATCTGTTCGTAGGCCCAAGCTCCACATCTCTATTCATGGACTTGAAGCTGGCAAATGGGTCATTCCATGTCAAAGAGGGACAAAATAAGCAACTTTGTCACCCATCCCCTCATAATTGGCTGATTTTTTGTGTAAATATGGGTAAATATGGAATAAACACAAATTGAAAATTTCAAGTGAATATCTGAAATATTTCCAAAAATAGAAACATTTGAAATTTTATGTTTTTCGTCCCAATTTTTCGAGATCCGCCATTTTGAATTTAAAACATTTTTTGAACAACCTGAACTGCTATTAAGCATTGGATTCAGGATAGAAAAATTACCAAATCTGAGTAAATTGCACATGCAGATTCCAAAAATGAACTTAAAAACAGATTTTACAAAAGAATTAAAGACCTACTGTGATAGATAATTAGACATATAGTTGCCATGGCAACAAAAGCTAGGGACATTTGTGTGAAAATCTCAATGTTGGCAAAATGTGACAAGTTTCGAATTTTGCCAACTCCGAGACCAGTCTTAACACTGATTCTCAGCAAAAAATTGAAGAGGTTATATTCTCCTTCTTTGAACAAAATCTATCTAAAATATCAAGATTTCAAGGAATCAGCCTTGTTGAAGCTGCTCATCATCAAACTCCAGATTATAAAAAAAAACAGTAACTGATAAAAATTATATGTATTAATTGCTGTTTTTGTCAAAATCTTACCATTTCATTAACATAAACTTGCTAAAAGTATATACAATATGTCACTATATATGTCCTGAAGTGGCAAATGGATCACTTCTTTTCAATATTTCTGATACATGATTCAATGTTGTTTGCTGTAGGCAATATTGTCGCCCAGAGGCAGTTGATGTTATAGGGGCATCAACAACGCAAAGAACTTTTGAAATTGGAACCCAGCATGTATCAGCTCTTCTTGGCCATGAGAAAGATCGTGCTGGGAAGTGAGGATGCATGAAACTCACAAGAACCTCACTATTATCATTATCGGCTTGAGAAATCATGCCCAACCAAAGCTGATCATCATATCTGCACACGATGAAGCTGCCCGAGTAAAATATTTCTTTCCTAATGGTAGGCTCATCAGTGAAAGAAAATGTGAAGTCGAACTCTTTATTTTCTGAAACTCGCTTTGCTCCAATTTTAGTCATAGATATTGGAACAAACTGATGGTATCCCCTTGTGCCAGGAACTGTTCTTGCAAGCTGAAACCTTGACTTTAATTCTTCTCTTAGGTTACTGATATCATTGCTTGAGAGAAATTCAAAGTGAATACCCTTGATATCAGCTTTGCAAAAATAAACCATTTCATGGACTGACAAAATTTGGTTTTGCATTGGTCGTTGGAGACTTGCTTTTGCCACAAGCCTTTTCACCGTACCGCCAATTCCATCACATGGAGATTTGCCGTGGCTAGTGGCAAAAAAGTTCCACTGGCATTTGATACCAAAATCTTCCTGATGGTGGCAAAGGTTCATGAAATTCTTACAATTCTTGTATTGCCCTGCACAGCCATCAGAAAAATAATGGATCAGCTTTATGCCAGGGGAGATTTTCTCCTTTATGAAATGTACTGTTTCTTGTAAAATCTTGTAGACCATGCTAACGTCATGGTCAAGGTCATCCGAGAGGAAACATATTGATTCGGAAACCAGTGAAGCTGGTTCTGTAAATTTGTGATAGATTACCACTGGATGTAAAGTACATTGCCTTTGATTCCAATGGTAACCTTGAGATTCGTCCTGAACAACAAATTTGAAGTTCTCTGAAAAATCCCCAAGTACTATTACCTCTTCCTGCTTGATCTCTTCCTTAAGAGTCCTCAGGTAATTTGCCTGTGACTTAGCGACAAAAGAATGTGTTGTTATGTTGTCGAGTTGTCCACACAAAATGTCAATGAACTCTTCCACAGATGCAGTTTGGGTGAGCAACTCTGACCTATCTGCTGTTATCCACTGTTTAAAACTGATTGCTTCTTCCAGAATTTCGTTCTCTCTGTCTGACTCATCACCACTTTCTTTTTCCTCTGAAGACAGTTCTTCTTTATTTACAAATATTTCCAACAAAGATTCTTTGACATTATCGATTCCAGGACACTTAGAGCACCGGTGTATCATGCACTGTTTTGAATCTGAGTTGCAGACAATCATATTTATGAGGTCCTTGTATTGATTTGTCATATAAGCAGAGTCTAACAAAAGTTTAACGTTCTGGTGTAATGTGCAAACACATACAGAATGGGTTCCTTTTGGGCCAACTGGAACACACCATTTCAGCCTTAGACTGGCAAACTTGGAAAAGCCAATGTTGCAAAGAGGCTGCTGTTCTCTGAAAGCAGTATATAGCTCTCGAATGTTGCATAGAATAAGGCGTTTTGACATATGTTGTCTTTTCCCGATGCTGACTGAGTCCTTTTTTCCTGGTAGCTGTCGCGTGAACTCGTCATCACAATAGAACGATATCACCAAATCTATGATTTCCTTCTTCAACGTTTTACCTCTTATTTCGTCTGGCATTGCGATGATTCCCTTTTCTTTCTTGAGAAGCCTTGCTTTCTGAATAGTTGCCTTGGACACCTTAAACTCTTGAGCTGCCTTCCTGAGGGTCCAAGAATTTGGAGTTAAAGTTAAAATTTGGATTCTTTGGCGCCTATTCGCGACTTTCAACTTCTCTTGCATTAGATGTATTAAGTGATCAAGATCCTGAACTTTGAGTTTGATTTCAGTAGTTTTAGCATCTTCTGTGTCATCTGGCGCTAAATCCTCTTCATCAACATCAAGCACTGTTGCTACTTTCTTTAAAAGAGATTCGTGAGCTTGGTTAATCTTTCTCTTCCCATGAGAAACAACTGAATGCTTTGGAACAGCGTGCAGCTTCAATGGGGAAACATCCAATTCATGAAGTGTTGCATCTAGTGAATCTTTGCCAGAAGAACATGATACCTCTTTATCAAAATCTTCCTCAAACGCTTCATCGGGTTCAGCTGCATGGATAGGATCGTTCTTTGTCTCATTCATTCGAATTGTACAAGAGGGGCAAAGCTTTTGGCCAGGAACGACATCAAATCCTCTGGTTACCAAATCCTTTGCATTTGACAATTTGATCTCCTTGAGACCACCTGTAATCCAAGGCAACAAACACCATTAACAACTTAGTTAGCTTCAGTTCAGAAAAAGAAGAAGAAATCTTCAAATGATCAGCAAGATTGGTCTTCATATGAATGAGGCAGTGGAATACACCCTGTTTATTTGGTTGAATTTTTTGTACCTAGACTTGATATTAACCACTATTACAATCAAACTTTATAGGATTGCTCAGAGGGCTGGTCCCCCTAATGCCTGCTTTAAAAAACCTTTAAAAAACTGAAAAAGTGGATTGGAGTCAGTTTATAGAAATTATGGCAAAAATTAAAAGTTGTTATGCTTTGAAACTTGCTACTTTGTAATGAATTTAAGAATGCTTGGTACAAACCTTTTGCTGCCTTCTTATGTATCTGGAAAGGATTGCAGCAAGTTTTTTGCGCAAGAGAGTACCTTTTGATTAGCAGCTGCTCGTGATGCAAACAGATATCAGCATCTTTGTTAATCAATGACAACCCAGACCTCCAAAATATCAGTTCTCTTACATCACAATCGATTGAATCCAGCCTTTTACTTCCAACCTTTCTCGAAAACGTGAGCTTGTGACATGGGTCACCCATTTTCTTTCCTACAGAACACATTTCTGCTTAGGGGTTCTTCGGAAAAGAGAATACTTTGCTGGTAGAGTACAACCTTTTATATAACGCATAAGACTAAGCTAAGTGAAAAGGAATTTCCACTTCTATTCAAACATTTCCTGTTACAAAACATGGGCAATTGAAAAAGAGATACTTAATAGCAGGAAACGACACCTCAAAGAATTAAACAAAAATAGCTATTAACACCTGTGCCTAATTGAAATGACAACAATATGACATATAAAACCAATATCGATTTCCTTTTGTATGCGACTAAATGACTTACAATAGATGTTTTCACGCACCTATTCAAAAGAAATAAAAGAGGATATAATTACTACATTAGAGTGCCCACACATAAGAAAACAACCCATTCATTTAACGATAACAAATGCAGTTGTCTTTCTGTTACTCGCTAGAATTTTCTTTTAAAGAGCTTGACACGTTTTTCGAAAAAATGGCAGTTTATAAAAAACGTGCTAGTGAAGGTCTCAAATTTTTAAGAATCTTTACCTAAAGTTACAACATTGCAAAGGCTTTCCTTTCTGCTTTTTTCCTTAACTCAAAGTTGACTGAAAAAACTTATTCTCAAAATCATCTGCACACAAGTTACTTTATTTGTTACTGTTACTGTTACTGTTTTTTTTATAATCTGGAGTTTGATGATGAGCAGCTTCAACAAGGCTGATTCCTTGAAATCTTAATATTTTAGATAGATTTTGTTCAAAGAAGGAGAATATAACCTCTTCAATTTTTTGCTGAGAATCAGTGTTAAGACTGGTCTCAGAGTTGGCAAAATTTGAAACTTGTCACATTTTGCCAACATTGAGATTTTCACACAAATGTCCCTAGCTTTTGTTGCCATGGCAACTATATGTCTAATTATCTATCACAGTAGGTCTTTAATTCTTTTGTAAAATCTGTTTTTAAGTTCATTTTTGGAATCTGCATGTGCAATTTACTCAGATTTGGTAATTTTTCTATCCTGAATCCAATGCTTAATAGCAGTTCAGGTTGTTCAAAAAATGTTTTAAATTCAAAATGGCGGATCTCGAAAAATTGGGACGAAAAACATAAAATTTCAAATGTTTCTATTTTTGGAAATATTTCAGATATTCACTTGAAATTTTCAATTTGTGTTTATTCCATATTTACCCATATTTACACAAAAAATCAGCAAATTCTGAAGGGATGGGTGACATGGCTGTCCCTCTTTGATATGGAATGACCCAAATGTGTATAAAAGCTACCACTTGGTTGACAATGTGCCCTATAAATAAACCCTATAAGAATAACTCCTGTAGAGATAAGAAAGCAAACAGTTTTCCTTATTTGAAAAGAATCAACATTTCTTTCTTCTAAGATACAATGTCATCATGGTTCGCTGTCTCCACCTACGGCAGATTGTGCACTAACATGAGAGAGTGTTTTCCAACAGTCATGATCTCTGCTAATAAGATTCAACTCGTCGAGTTCAAGTTGTGACATCTCACACAAACATGGAAAGTGGAATCCTTTACATAGAAAATAGAACATAATAGTTCATGATTTGAAACAGGACTGTGTAAAGAATGTAACAGTTATCACTGAATGAATCAGTTGGGCAAATTTTATTGTTACAGAGAACTTTTGTTTCCCATTTCCTTTACAAAAAAATCAGTTTTGCAGGGTAATTTTATCATGTCAATTTGAGGGGCCTTCAACCCTCTCCATAAATTTAACCATGAGAAAATTGAACCATTGCAATAGGTAATCAGGAAATGGAATCAAGCTTCAACTGTGACAAAATGGTAAACATAGAATAGTCATCACCTCCTTAACCTGAATAAACATGGTCACAGTCTCCAAATTATCTTTGGAAATGTAGTTTTCAGACCTGGCTATGAGGTATTGTCCTACCTAAACACATATCAAAAGAAGCTACATCAAGAGAGTGGTGATAAAGGCAAGGTAGTGAACAAGCAATGTCATATAAAGCTTCTGTGGAAAGATGAAAAGGGGTAGCACCTGTTTGAATTTATCAAAACTAAGCATATTTTGGCTTTAGAAGAAATCAAGCCTGTTTTAATGATGTCAAAATCTAATGTATCTGCCTTCTCTTATTATCATCAATTTGTTTGAATTATTGCTAGTGAAATCTTGAAGAGCCATGATTTTGAAACATTGGGGCCCAGACCCCTCCATTCAACCTAAAGCATATATGACATTTAAGTCAGAGACACTGGTTCAATTCGTCTTTCCACATTAATATTATGATATAGCACATACAAGCCAATTTCAGATACCCATTTGTCATGCCTAGCAAAATATCTGTCTATGATGTAAAGATAAACAAAATTTTCATGGTAATCAAAACACCTACCTTAAATTTAAAGATGGTGTGTGAACAGCTCTTATAAGGTAGAGGGAGTGACCTGATTCAAAAACTAAAATGAAAGATGATAACAAAATGTGAACAACCATTCTGGTACTGTTACTCAATAACAAAAAATCTAGAGATAAAGGCATGTAAGCCCTCAAATAAATGGTTACCCACAGGGCAACCAGTGAGATTTGTTTGCCAATGTAACTGAAACAAAGTGTTACTTCACCTGTTTCCCATAAGTCTTAGCAACAACCTAAATGTTAATGATTTACAACATATCATATACTACTAATTGGAAATATGCAGAATGAATGCATCATAGGGAAATCCCTTCTGGGGCTCTTTGTTACTACCAGTGTAAATCATGGCAGTGTACCCCCCACTTTCAAATATGTGGCATGGGTCCTGTATATATGAGCCTTACTAAAATAAAAACAAAAATAGAGTTCAGTAGGTAAGGTTCAATGAAATGTATTTATTCCATTCACTTACCAATTTCTGTCTAATTTCTAGATTGTTCTCTCTGTCACCTTTTCCTGGTTATGTGCTACACTCTTTTGCACTCTTTATTCCTTCAAAAGTCAAAAAAGGAAAAATTTCAACAAATTTTTAGATAATCACTTTTATAGGCTATCCCCTTGCTTAAGATAGTGATACAGTTTTCAACCGTGAAGTCTACTTTGCCAGTCAATTTTTACATATTTAATTATAGGTATATCGGCATGCATTTCTAATAAAACAGATTATTAACGAGAGGGTTCAGCACCGATGACGGCAGCAAAACAAACACGAGCTTGTGCATTTTACATCAGCTGCAAACAAACGAATGCAAACCATAGTAGCAAACAGACTTAATCAAACGAGCACGTCAAAGTATAAACCAAAGCTGCGAAAAAAATTGCTCCCGAGTTTCGGGGCCCGAAACAACATCGGTGCAGACACAAATGCACGCATTTCATAAAGATATTGACAGCAGAAAAGCAGTCAAAGAGAGAAAACTTCTAAAGATGATTGAACACAGAAACTTGTAAATAATGATAAAATAATCAGGGTACTGGCTCTTTGTTGTGCGAAGCAACACAAGCACCCAAAATGTTATTCCCCTTCAAATGGCTTCTAATGTCGAAATTGTATCAAGAGTGCACCTTTTATCAGCTCCACGAAACAGGTAAACAAGTTTGACATTCAAAGAGATGACGGAACACTCTCTCCGTTGTAAAGCAAAGCTTCAAAGTTTACATGAAAGTTTTTGTCAAAATCAGAAAACTTCTATCTGATAGTAACATTTTTCACCACCTTTGGGCCTAAGTCCAGCTTCAAAGCATCTGCAAGAGCGAAATGAAATGAGCTTGCTTCAGCAACGCAAAATATTTGTGTAATAAGCACGTCCTTGTTATAAGCTTAAATCAATACCTTTGATCCTGCATTCGAAAATTTTTGGAACGGCTTAACTCAGAACTGCTTTTCAAATCTCCTACTTGCAGAACGCGTGCGCCCTGGAACCATTGGAACTTCTCTCTGTGTGTCAAAAGTAAGTGGGAACTCTCTACCCCTGTGGCCCCCTCTAACCCTGGGATAATAAATTATCTATATTTCATAAAACAGCTTGCCCCTTTGTTGTATTTTAGCAAAATTGGCTAAAACTGCGATAAAAAGTGTAGGAATTTGCCCTTTCCCGCATTTGTTTTGGCAAGGCGAAACACGGCAACGAACGTTAGTACTTTTAGGCCCTTTCTCGCACGTGGTTCAACGACCCTGTACCTGGAAACTGGAGTGATTCAACTTATTAAATAATCTAAATAAATAATAGAATGCAAACACAAAAGGGCAGGCAATAAAAACCAATTTTTATCGTCCTCAGGAAATACCAATCGATTTTCTGATATATTTTGTTTTGTCAACTAATTTTTTTCCGCTTAGCTACCGAATTAAATCGGCCATGTTTCTCTTGTCAAGACGCATCCAAAAATTGAATAAGTGTTTATTTCATTTCAGTTGAATATCTCATTGGAAATAGCATTTTGCAATTTGAGCCACTCATTGATAAGAAGAGCAAACATATAACAATACTTTTCGATCGACACTTCTATGTTATTTGCGTAATTCTAATTAATGTACAGTTGTGGGCTAGGCCCTCCCTACTCCATTGAGTGTTTTTGCACAAATCTGCTAGTCCGTTGAGTGTTTTTGGACAAGTCCGTTTCTTCAAAATAACCTTTTTTTCTCAATAAAACTGACCTTCATCACTGATTGCAAGCAGATATCAATGATTTGATGAAGTGATAATGAACTTTCTAATGTATTCCGACCGACTTACCTAAACTTAGGGGTTTTTGCGAGCCAAAATGCATCCACTCTAACCCAATCAAAAGAACTAGCAAGGTGATGAATTTGGAAATTTGTATTTAGCATGACTAGCTAGGGCTAGTTTGTCTGATTTTCTATTCGTTTCCGTATGTCTATCATTTTCACCTTTTTTTTCGTCATAAACATTTGAATAATTAGCTGTTGCTCAGTACAGATGAAAGGCTTCGATGAATATTCAGTGCTTTTTTCGTTAATTGCTTATCTATTATAAAACCTGAAAAGGCAGTTTCTTTATTGGTTGGTATTACTGTGAATACCTCCTGCTTATCGTTCGTAACCACAGTCTTCATTAAGTAAGAAGATTGGATAAAAGTGAATGGCCGAAAGTAAGTAAGTAAGTACCTTTTGAAATGACCTCGCTTTGGTGACAAAGATGATGAAACATAAAGAAAAATCTGGCCTACTTGACCAATGAATGGCTGGTAGGGTCATTGCAAGATTCAGGTAATTCCAGATTATTGACTTTCCTTTGCCGAATTTAGTTTTGGTCTTAAAGGCAAAATCGTAAATATCTCAATCACCACATTTGATTAAAATAAATCAAACGTGTTGAGAAAAATAAGATTATATCTACCTGTGTCCATCCTAGCTTATTATCCTTGTTGTTTGTGTTTTCATTGGTGTTTTCAATAGGCTTTGAGCAGAGAGCAGTGTGTAAGAAGGTATGATGATGATACACACATATCAACACAATTATTTCTGTATTTTCTCCTCAGATCAGTGATAATTTCACCATTTTACCACCTTTTACCGGCAAATTCTTTTAACGATGTTACTTCTCTTCTTCATGTCTCAAGATGTTATCAGATTTGATTAAACGCAATCTCTCTAATGTTGAGCTTACAGTAGACTCCGGTTATAGTCGCATCAAATGTTGCTTGAAAATTTGTGACTGTAAACAAAGTGTGACTGTAAGCAGAGTTAGGTTGAATAGATTTTTGCATAGTTGGGTCTAACTTCTTGTGATAGTATAAGGTAGTGTTACTTTAAGCAGAGTGCTTGTAAGCGGAGTCAACTATATGTAGTTGATATGTTTGCCTTTGCAATGTACTGGGTTCCTCTATATGTCATATTGCCTAATTATGCCCTTCTTTTTCCTAATATGTATTTAATGTTTTTATCCACGCAGTTGACTGACAGGTATGAGATTTTATTCTGGGATTTTGCTTGCCTCAGCCATAATTTATCTAGGAAATATAGCTCATCAATAGAGCTGGTGCACAAATTTTAGGACTGTCAATAAGCAAGGGGCTGGGGTTGGCTGGAGCCCTCCCCATAATTATCAAATTGTACAATGTTACCTTTGAAAAAGTGTACTGAATGGACAGCCCCCCCCCAAAAAAAAATAATTGAATTTTTTTTCAAACAGCACTGAATTTTCCTATTTATCAACATACCGACCTGGCATACCTACAGATAAAACTCCCTAAAATACAACTGACAATGCTCATTCACAGCACTGGTGCAAAATGGGTCTCAAATGCAGACTTTTTGGGTGTCAATTAACTCCCTTCTCTGCAAAACTTTTCCAAGATTTATTTAATTTGAGCACCAATACATTTCACTGCCATCTATTTTGTAGATCTTTATGTGATGTGAGGCTTGCCAGTTCATTCCATTTACAAAAGAAATTAGTGTGCTCAAAATTTACCAAGGATTGTGAAGAGGCTAGATCCAGTATGAGAAAGTGGGTACTGCCCCCTGATGGTGACAGTGATCTTAAGCTGTACAATAGCTTGACTAGACAAAAGGTAAGGGGTATTTGCTTCATATTGTAGAGTATATTGCAGGTCTCTGAGCATTCCTATGATGTGAATATATTTTGTACTATTTTTATTTATAATTACAATAAGGGTTATCAAAGCATGGATTTTTTCAGAAGCCTCTGTTGCCTAATTTTTAGTTTATGCAATTTGAAACTGAGTTATCTAAATTCAACTTCCAGATGCTATATATATTTTAATTTTTAAATAATGTACTTGTGATTAAATATGGTAAACCATTTGTAAAATTTTTGATTTTTTATGCACCCTATATCAGCTAGTATTCTTTTACACCCAATGCAGAATAAATTTGTACCACGTAATGGGAAAAGTGTTACTTGGTATTCATGTGGTCCTACTGTTTACGATGCATCTCATATGGGACATGCAAGGTAGATTCCCCTACATACAATTCCTTTGTCTTCTTGATGTAATAACACATATTGTTTCTTTTAGATTTTTTGTGTAGTATTTATCTTATGTATTAATTAGTTAAGCATGTTATATTTAATTGTATTTAAATTTTGTCTTTTTGGATTGTATGTAGTGGAATTTTAAAATTATATGAAACTGAAACTGAAACTTAAATTCATCATCATTATCTTAGCTTTTCAAGTACTTTGTAAATTGTTAAGGCTAATTTTCATGTTTTAAAAGGGTTCTGTTTAAGAGGAGGTGTGGAGAAGAAGGTGGGGGTTTATGAGGATTAGTATTAAGGCTCTTCATTTCAGATTTCCATGCATTTTGCTTCTTATTGCTTACATTGTGCAATGTTTTTGTTGAATATTCTTCTTCTTGTCCATTATTCAAATTAAAATTATTACACTTTTTTATTTAAGATAATTTCTTATAAATTGCCACACTTTTGTAGTTTCTGGTTTATAAATTTCAGTTGATGTCTCTTCAGATATCTACTAAGCTAATATGTAGGTTTCTTCATTTTCAGGTCATATATCACATTTGACATTCTGAGGCGTGTCATGATGAACTACTTCAACTATGATGTACATTATGTGATGAATATTACAGATATAGATGACAAGGTATGATGAGTATTGATAACACATTGAATTACAGTGCTGAAGGAAGGATAGAATTATTGACAGTGGGACAACATTTGTTTAGAAAAATAGCAATGAGATTTCTCATTGGAAACAAAAGGTTTCTATAACTTTTGGGGTAAGAAACCCTGCATTACCATCAGTGGGCCAGAAACAATAGATTATATTTGAGAATTGAGTCTTCTATTTGGTCTGACCTGCCTCCCTCCCAACACCCCACCCAATTATCCAAGCTTCCTCTGAACCTTTGGATGTTCAAGTCTTCTTTATGTTTCTGTGTTGAATCATAAAGTTTAGAAGGAACTGAAAGTGGCTAGGAGGAAAAGGTAGTTGTTTATGGCAGAGGAAGGTATTTAGAATAGAAAAGGGATCACCAGGAATAGGGAAGAAAAAGGAAGACAAAGAAATGAATTAAGGAATGGAGGAAATGCAGTGAAAAGCAAGAAAATTTAAATTTTGAATTCCAAGTGCTTATTTAAGAAGTGAATTTTTGCTAAGCATTTCATTCTCAGATTTGGGAAAATATTATCTGGATTCATTCTTTTCTAGATAATTGCCAGAGCTAGACGAAACCATCTGTTTGAAAATTATGTAGCAGAAATCAAAGGAAGCCAGCAGTTACTGGAAGATATGAAAATTGCACTGAAGGTATTTGCTGAAAACCGAGGACACCAAAGGAAATGTTTTCCTGTGTTTTGCAAAACATGTTTTTTGGAAAAAGTCTCTCTTTATTAGAGGACACAGCATAGGGGCCACAGACATTTTCTGCACCTTACTTGGAGATGCACCCTACTTGATTTTTTTGGTTCTGTTGGCCTCTCACAATTTGGTTGTTTTATTGATGCATCCCAGTATAGTTATATCATAGTTATTTACTGTTATCTCAAGTCACATGAAGGTGTAGTCTCAGGTACATTAGATAACAAGAAATAGCTTGAAAACAAAGTGCAAAAAACGCTAAAACTGTATGAAACCGGCGTTTGCGATGTTCTGTCAGATTGATGAATGAGACAGATGACTATAGAAATTAAACATTGACTACATGTTTCAAATGAGAAAATGTTTGATGAATAACCGGGAAGTTCATCATGTTGATTAGAACCGACTCTTTCATGTGTCTTGCCTCTTTCATTTTTTTTCCACTGAGTCAATAATGGTCTCATCCGATGTAAATGTAAAAAGGATAAACTTTTATAGATTGTAGTTTAATCTGGGAACAAATGGCTGCAAATATTTGGGGGATGCAACACTCCCACAACTTCCTGATTCAAGGGACAACTTATCCAAGGGACAACCTAACCAGATTTGGCTATACGTTTATTTGGTTTTTATGACGTTTTAGAAATATGAAGAAAAACTTGAAAAGACAAAAGATGAAGACAAAGTGAAGATGCTTAGCAAGATTATTGTAAGTGGTCAGAGCACTGAGATTTCGTTACACTCATTTATTTTTTATAAGAAACAAAGGTCGATGTTGAGTACTCCAGTTTCTAATTGTTCTGGAAATTTCAATGCTCGTTGTTTCTTGAGAGTTTCTTAATTATGATGTCATGAATGATGTTATGAAATGTTCGCGACCTTTTTTATCACGTCAAGAGATTCGCTTCCGTTCCGATCCTGTATTTAGATGTGGAAAGTATATTTTTATCCCTTGTGTCTTAAGTTCTAGGCCAACAGGGCAATCTTATTCTTGGATTTTAGAAAATTTCGTTGTTCTCAGTTTTATCACGATTTGATAGTTTCTTAATTTTTTTTGCTTCGAGTACTGAAGTTTCTTAATTTTTTCTGACTGTCTAGTACTCGTTTCTTATAGCCAGTTTCTTATACAAAAATGAGTGTATTGAAAAATACTTATTTCTTATAAACAATTTCCTGTTCAACATGTATTCCCTTCAGTCGTATTCATCAATGGCTGTGTATTGAGAGAAGTCCTTTGGCAATATCTTTATTCTTTTTTGTTTAAGAGTGATCAAAGTGCAAAGCTACCCAAGTAAATTTCTGTATGTTAAGCAAATCTATAGGAAACACTGAATTTAGGAAAGTACTTGCACTAAGTGAAGAAACTGTTGGCTTTTAGAGCAACGTGAAAATAAAAGAAGAACAGCTGCAAAACGCCGTTGGTAAGGATGGAGAGGAGCGTATTCAACAGGTCAGCATTGTTTTACCGAAACCATCCATACATTTTCACTCGAGTCCTTATCTTACAAATTACAAATTACTTTACCTTGTCATTTAGTCTACTATCAAAGCAAGAAAGTATGAATTAAGATCGAGGCAAAAATCATGATGGCAAATCTCAATATGAGCTCAAAAAAGTCGTGCAATAGAATTAGGAGTAGTTTCTAAAATGTGACTGCAAATTGGCGCTGTTTACCATCCTAAGTTGCAATGGTCAGCTTTGTCAAAGCTATGCTCTGTTGTGTCCTAAAGACAAACCATGCTTAGTCAGTGCTATGCTAATTATGTTCAACACGAACAATAGACATCATTTTTGCTTTACTATACATGTGCTTTCGTAAATGTTTTGATATGTTGTTTGATATATTTATAAATATGCCATTTCCAGGAACTGCTAGAGGCTGCAAAGGATCCACTTTCAGAATGGTTAGACAAACAGGTAAAACCCTTGTCAAATTACTAATGTAATTTATCTCTTCTTTGTTCATATGCAGTCCTGGCGTCAAACAGGTCATCTGACAGATTGGTTCCTAGTGACAATTATCACTCCCATTTTCTTGCAAAACAAATTTCGATGAATATTTCGTAAATATGTAATGAGTTGATAATTGGAACCTTCCTACCTGTTCACCTACTCTAATTTTAAACATGCAAACTGGTTCCTCTTCTAAGGATTGAAACCTCAAGATAAATGAGGAAGAACAAAAATGGATGTAGTATTCTGATGCCTCATTCTCCTTGATACGTCCTCTGTGTTTGAAACGCATCTCTAGTCGCTTAATTTGACCTGTATCAAAATTGCATTAAGCCAATTGAGCTATAAAACAACTTTGAATATAAGCTGTTCCATTAAACGCCCGCAGTACGTTGACATTGATTATTGCAGCAATTGCTTTTGCCCCTCCCATTCTTCTGTTATGACCATCTTTCTCTCTAGTTATGCATGGAGTTTCATCTTTGAATTGCAGGTCTTATAATCTTAGTCTTTTTATTTTGTTCCCCACTGTAGCACGGAGCAAATGTCACCGATCACAACATATTTTGGCGACTGACCCAGCACTGGGAGAATGAGTTCCATGAAGATATGAGAGCCTTAAATGTAAGTCATGTTTAAAAGGCTATGTTATAAAGTTTATAAATGCCTTTAACACTTTGCATATTGCATAAATTAACACTTTGCATATATAACACAACGGTAACACTTTGCATATATTAGCATGCCATTATCTAAATACTTGCAAAAAATAATTGGAACACCACACTGTTTACGTTCTTAAGTTGACAACTCCAGGATTTAAGAACATCTCCAACGCCGTTGCTTTATTCTCCCCCCCCTCCCCCCTTTACAATCTTAACTCCTTCTTATATTGTCACTGACAATCATGCAATATAAATATAAAGCAACAATATAACGAAGGGGGCAATTTTAAAATGTGAAGATATGGTGTAGGTGCTCCAACAATTCTGGCAAGGATTGTAGCTTGTCCATCCTAATCCAAAGCCAGGATTGAAGCTTGTCCCATCCTAATCTACAGCCAGGATTGAAGCTTGTCCCATCCTAATCTAAAGCCAGGATTGTAGCTGTTCCATCCTAATCCCAATCCAGGATTGTATGCCTGTTGCATCAGTAATCTAAAGCTAGGATTGTAGCCTGTTCCATCCTAATCCAAAGCCAGGAAACTATGCCTGTTTCATCAGTAATACAGAGACAGTATATTTCAATTTTTCTTGTATTTAATATCGCTTCAATTTCTCACACTACTCAATTTTTATACCGCTTCAAGTATTTAAGAGAGATTAGCGCTATGTTTATTTATCCTGGTGGATCATATGAAATGTTGCATACATGCATACAGGATTGTATCCTTAAGGAAATAAACATTCTTTTGACAGGTCCTTCCGTGTGATGTTTTGACACGTGTCAGCCAATATGTTCCAGAAGTCGTTTCCTACATCGAAAAAATAATGCAGAATGGATACGCGTGAGTTTTAAAATTTTCTATAACCTGCAAACTTATCATGGAAGATTTATTTGTATTTTCGTTAATACATGTTGTTAATCTTTGTTTTTTTGTACGCCAAAACTAGGTATGAATCTAACGGATCCGTCTACTTCGATACAATGAAGTTTGCGTCCAGTGGGAAACACGAGTATGCCAAACTTGTGCCTGAGGCTGTTGGAGACTTAGATGCTTTAGCTGAAGGGGAAGGTATGTGACTAATCATCATGATCAAATTATGTTACTAATAATCACCGTTGACATAATTAGCATCATCATTATCATCAATCGATCAATCATTACAACCAATCACTTCAGTCAATCAATCAACCAATCGCTACAACCAATAAATCGATTACATCAGTCAATCAACCAATCAGTCACCATCATCAATCAATCATATTTTCATTACCGGCCTCATCAAACTATCGTGCTCCTCATCATCAACAACGAATGATCAGCCAATCAATCAGTGGTCATTGTCGATCATCATCATCATAACCTTTGCCACTTTTATTTCTTTCTTTTATGATTTTCATAATAATCATTTTCACATTATCTGCAACAGTATCATTATCGATTTTGCCCATTATGACACAAAGATATAAATATTGTTTCGATTTTTAGGTGATTTAAGTCAATCAAATACTAGCGAGAAGAGATCAGAGAGGGATTTCGCTTTGTGGAAAGCCAGCAAACCTGGAGAACCGTTTTGGGATTCTTCCTGGGGCAAAGTTAGTTTCTTAGACCATAACTAAGCGTCAGATCTTAGCCTGCAGATTCTTGACCTTTAAAGAAAATGTTGTTTTTGTTAGCATTTGATCCTCTTGTTTTTTCTTTAAATTTCGCGCCAAAATATTTTTCTTAGATTATTTCGTTCTCTTTAGAAATGTGGTCTCCTTATTATGTACTTCTAAAGTTTCTTATTACTACATGTCTATTTACCTTTCACTGAAAATTCCTGGATGAAAAATATCTGTCACTCGTAAGCAATCCCTGGGTTTTAGACAAAGAGACCGACCTACTTTTGAAAATTACTTTTCTTTTCATAGATAAACCAATCCGTGTTTTTTGATGAAATTATATTTTTAATGAAACTGTCATTGGAACTGATAAGACATGTTACCTTTAAAAAGAATGGCTAAGATTTTGTGAGTGTTGAGAGATGTTTGATAAGAATTTCGGCACCTTTGCACCTTTGAGAGATGTTTGATAAGAATTACGTAATATCCTCTTTAAGACATTTCTTCATCTTATTTAATGCGGTTAACCATTAGTTTTGTGCTTTCTCTCAGGGACGACCTGGCTGGCATATAGAATGTTCTGTTATGGCAAGGTATTTTATTATGTATTTTTCTGTCAGTCTACACAATTGAATCTGCCACTTACAAAGTGCCAGTGGAACCGAATTTACGAGACAAATATATCCGTGACTTGAAAGTATCAATTATCGGGCGCTGTCTTATAAAAAATGTTTTGCTGTAATTTGTGAAACACACAAGTTGTTCAAGTAGTTTTTTACTGTAGAGCAAAATCGATATTGGTTCTATTTACAAAAACTATGCTTCAAAGTTAATGGAAAGATAATTTAGTTACCAGCAGTCTTTTATTCCAGGGCAACTTGTTAATCAAGAGCCTTAACTATCTGTGTTGTTAAACTAAATGATTTTTAGAGAGTTTGGATAATTTAGTGGATGAAAGCGGGAGGATGAGATTCTCCTGACTGACATGGCAATTTCAGTTTCAATCGCGATAACATTTGAAAGATAAATGCAATTATAGTTTTTTACGGATTTTATGGTCCAGGTTGGGTAGCTTATGTAGTCTCCACGACTTTCTCATATACCTTCTTTAATTATAGATTTTTTATTTTTAAAACATCTTCTGCAATGCAAAAACATTCCTTTACACTGTTTTGAAATGCTCTATACTTCTATATTTACATTTTATTTTATATTTAGTTACATATTGTTCTTATCCTGTGAATAGTAGGCTTTTATTAGCTATAACTTGGCCATTCTGTGTGTCCTACTGTAAGTAAATTGATAATGATGCTAATTCTTTAGAAATTTTCATGCAATATATGTTCAGTTTATAATCATACACCCCGCTTTTACAGGCATTACATGAATGGCTTAGCTGTGTGGTGTTTAGAAATTATAAGTATTTATTATAATAATGATAATGTCAAACGTTTTTTACTCATTTAGTCACTTGAAGTCAAAAGCACGTGTAAACTGTGTAAGATGTTCAGTATTGCATGACTGTTTCATTTTGTTTGCTAATTTTAGCGATGTTCTCGGTGGCTCCATTGATATTCACACAGGAGGTGTTGATTTGAAGTTTCCACATCATGACAACGAACTGGCACAAGCCGAAGTACGTATCTTTCATTTTCTAAGCCATAAACTAAAATTTGTAGCCTGATGCCACCATAAGCTCATAAAGGCCCCTTCATAAAGTTTGATTTACCCCAATCCCCGTGGCTAAAATGTACCACGGGTTTTGGTTTTAAATAGAGGGTTTGTTGTTGATGTTTAATAAAGTCTTCTTTAAAATTATTATCTTTTTAGAAACTCCAAATATTTTAAAAAAATATTTTCCCAATATTATCATTTTGCTTAAAGAAGTGGTTGAAATTTGAAAATCTCTACGGAAAAAGTAACGAAAAGATAAATGAATGTTCTTAATTATTGATTTTTGTTTATTTTTAAAGGCATACTTTGGCTGCGACCAGTGGATTCATTATTTCTTGCATGCTGGACACTTGACGATTGAAGGATGCAAAATGTCGAAATCTTTGAAAAATTTCATCACAATAAAGGTATGATCGCTTTTTAATGCAACCACAGTTTACAATCAATATTTCTAGGGCGAAAGAAAAATTATATTTTCCACCCAATCGAATCATCGTTTTCATTTTTATGTCTTTCATCTATTTCTTTGACAATTCATCATCTCTTTTGGCAGGAGGCGCTCAAGAGAAACACGTGCCGCCAGATTCGATTGGCCTTCCTACTTCATTCTTGGAACTCAACATTAGATTATAGCGGCAATGTTTTAAAGGAGGCGGAACAGACCGAAAAGTTGTTTAATGTACGTCAAAAAATCTTAATTTCTCTTGTTAAAGTTGTCATTTTCAACATGTAATACTTATGGGAAAATTGCTCCTTTAGCTCAAGTGATATACTACAAATACACTAACTGGCGTGTCTTGCAATATAATGTGACAACTTGAAATTTAGGTAATATTGTACTAGGAAAATAGAGCGACTTTCAAAACGACGTTTCGAGCATTGCCCGTTGACAAGCATAGCTCATATTATATATTACAAACATCTACAAAGCATAATCTATTAGTATAAGAGCCCACAGGCTCTTGAGTCACCTCATGTTCTATTTCAACCCGACAGTTCATGCTTTTTCATCATAAAAAACACTGTCCTTGGTTGCTGTCTCTAGAAGACATCCTTGTTGCTAGGCATCAACGAGCAAGGTAGCATAAGTTAACAGCTTGTAAAAATGGCTTTGACAAAAGCAAACATTTCAGTAAACTAATGCTTTTTATCTGACACTCTTCAGAGTTTAAAACGTCAGAACATAGATCGAAAGCTCTACGGTAGGAAATATATATACCCAGTTGTGGATCGAAATAGGCCAATCAGAAACACGAGCACATGACTGTTGAGGCTGCCCAATCAGTGCCGCTTGCCTAAAGCGAATGTTACCAATGAAGTCCTAATGTAAAAACGAACTCCTTTTGTCCACACAATGGCGGTTTTTTAGTGCTTATGTAGATATATATGGGTTTTATATATTTCCTAGCATAGAGTTTTCGAACTATGTTCTGACGTTTTAAACTCCAAAGAGTGTCAGACGGAAGGCTTAAGTTTACTCAAATGTTTGCTTTTTTCAAAGCCATTTTCAAGTTTTGTACCACCAAAAGATTGTTAACAGCTTTTAGATTAGACCCTAATGTATGACCCTCGACCGTTAAATGCATGCATGCACTTTAGACAGAAGCTTGGTGTCCCGTACTTCAATCTCCTCTTTTTCCGTGCTGTTTTGATGTTTTGCCTTAACAGAACCATAGTAATGAATTTCTAAGAAATTGTTAACCTTACAAAGGAAACTGAAGTCACCAGAGGGATATTTGCTTTTATGTATCTGTTCTTACTCCTTGAATGAATAGCTGCTAATCATATATATTTATTCAGAAGGCCAAGGCTGACAGGAAAGAATTATTTCCACAAGGGTGCTGCACAATCGTAAATACTGTGCTTGATTGGAATCGAAATCCAGTTTGCGGCATCAAAGGCAACGATCATTCCACTGAGTCAAAAGGCCCAATTAAATGAGCTGTGACTTTTAAAGCTGTTCCTTCTGCTTCGGCTTTCTAAGCCTTTGTCAGATATTTTTAAGTCTTTGTAATATGACGTCATACAAACTTCTTTTAGAACTAATTTCTTATTTTATTTCCTAAAGGATTTTTTCCTAAATGTTAAAGACATTTTACGAAAACCTGAATCTACTACCGTCTCGTCCCACGATTACAGAAATTTAGAGAAGGACCTTAGTGCCAGGTGAGGCAATTTCCAAACGCCATCTGCGTAAACCTGATTGAATATATTTTATCATTGCATGCCTTATTGTATCTGATGCCACCTTATACCAAGTCTCTATAGTGGCGACCTACAGGCACAAGAAATTGCATGTTTTGGAGGTACTCTGGGCCTAATCCAAGTTGGATAAGGTGATGGTAGCCACTTAAGGTAGCATAATAGATTAAGGTGGGCAGTTTCTTTTCATAAGTTGCCTTTAGGTTTCGATGAGACAATAGGTTTCCCTGTGGTTTTAACATTCGCATCTAGGTTTCGCGAATACATTTGCATATTGCTATATTAACCAAGAAAGAGCCCACATATTTTTGCCCCAAATATTTTTCATAAGGTTAGGATTTTTTGTACTTTGTAAAGCCATTTTGTGTGTTATTACACCTGGCATCACAGTTGATTGATTCTGCAGCGGTTAAAATTATTTTCAATGCACTGAAATGGCACTAAAACGTTGGCACCATTGCTAGCTCACTTTGCATCACTGCTTTTCTACGGTTAGTTCTCCCCCTCCAAGTACAGTTCTTCTACAACTTCTGGTTCGGCTATCTAGATTCCTGATAGCACTTCTTGCATATTCAAATATGTCAAATTTTCTATCTTTTAGATTTTTGGAAAGAAAGGCCCAAGTACACGAAGCTTTATGTGGCAAGTTTCTTATTTTCTTATTTTGTTTATACGGTCGGTTGCGTCTGCAAATTTTGGATACAAAGTTTTATTGTCATAAACAATAGTTATAGGCAGGCAAGTCAACGCCAATAAAGTCTGCGTAATCGGAGCATGCGCATTATCTTGGTATTACTTAAAACCGTTTCGCACAGCAATTTTGCTGACAGCAATCATTTTATTCTTACAAAATACCTGTGTCAGGAAATGCAGGAATTCAGTATAGTCCTAACAACAGACAGCCTTCAATGCCTCTTTTTTCAATTTATTTAGATTCCATCGACACGGCATCTGCCATACAACATATGCAGTCAATCGTCAAGCTCACAAATGTTTACATTGGCTCGAAGAAACAGGAGTCCGTTGCTCCGAATCATGCAATAGTAAAGCGCATTGCGAAATACCTTACGAAAATGCTCAAGGTATTTGGAGCTAATGAAGGAGAACAAGAAATTGGATTCGCTGTCGCAGGAGCTGAAAATGTTGGAAATGTAAGGAAAGTTCATCATATATGTATTTACCTGTGCTAGGGACAGTGAGACAGTGACATGACAGAACAGCCCCCTCAAGGGTTTTTCTTCGGGACCATCGTTAATCGGCTTCTCTAAAACTCTAGTTTTTATACCCCTTCAACAACTTTCTTAACAATGTTCCTTAGATTTTAGTAATCTCTTCAACGATGTTCTGATTTTAAAATTTGCTTCAATACTGTAGCAAAACATCTTATCACCTTTTTACTGGCATTGTCCACCCCTGATGTTAAAAGCAAAACCCTTATTCACAAACCCTTTACCCAGAAATAGAAGTACATACAGATATCTTTGGTTTCACGGTGCTCCAAATATCAAACGTCATTCGTTATTCCTCTTTAGTCATTCAGTTACTATTGAAAATTACATTATTGCGAAAATTACTGTAGTTCTTATGTAATTCTAAATGCTGTTGACACTGTTAAGTAAGATGAGTTATTTGCCAGCCCAGACATTGCAATCACCGTATTTTAGACTTGGAGTTATTCAAGTTTTTATTTTTACTTGAAGAAAGAAGATTTGGTAATGCCTTACCTTGCATTGATGGCCAAGTTCCGCAAAGATGTCAGAGCCGTTGCTAAGGAAGAACAGAGTGAGTCAAGTTAAAAATTTGTATGCTATGTTTCCCAGAATCATATTTTGTACTATCGACTTACATATATTTGCAAGGTCGTAAAGATCAGCTACTATTGCTAACCTACTACAATCCCTGACAAAATTGTTGAGACAAAATGCACTTTTTGCAATTTTCTACTTTACGTTGCCCCAGTAATTTTGGATCCCCCCTCCCCGAATTAATTTTTTGAATTTGCAGTTTTATTATTTCTCCTTCAAAGTCATGCATTCGACATTGAATTGGGGGGAGGGGGGGGGCTATTTTTCCAAGGAAAAAGAAAACATCAATATTCCTTGAAAAGTCTCAACTATTTTTGTCCGGGATTGTAGCTTAGGCCGGGTTTCAACCCAAGCTACCATGGCATATTCTCACAAATGTTTTCCAGTCCTTACGATTTATCACCATTAAACGAAGATTCTCAGTTCTTTCCAAGCTCTTATCATTCATAATGCCTTTTCTCTATGTTGTCTGTTTTCTCCTTCAACCTAGTCAACCTATTGATAGCTTTTGAACAACAAAATGAGATGCAAGTCTCTTGTGATGTTTCATGCAGTATCCTTATAGTTTCAGTTGCCTTGCTCAAACCTTAATCGAGGCTCTTAACCAAAAAAACCGCCTAAATACTTTTAATTTGCTAGATTGTTCTTTGCATGTATTAACTATACTTTTTATAAAGAGTAACACATGTTTCTTGTTTACTCACTCATCTTCTCCATTAAATAGGCACAAAGATACTGTCTCTCTGTGACGTATTAAGGGACGAGCAACTGATTGAGCTTGGCGTCAAACTTGAAGACGTAGAAGGTACCTTCTTGAAGAAACTACAGTTATTGTCATAAGTCCCTTAATTGCCATGTAGCTAAAGTATCAAATCAATGCACTTGTATGGCACATATGATTTATGGGAAGGCAAAGAGTTTTTCGCAAAACTTTTGAAAACTGACAGTCTGGTGACGGGTATGGAAATTTGAGAAATTACATTGAAAGTGTTCAAGAAGTATAGTTCGAAATACTTAAAAACTGAAGTTTAAAAACGATGCTCCTTGTTTTTGGGACCATTGCTTTCAATTTTCAGTGGTTGACTTTCAAGTACAATTTCTTTTATCTGCGGAAAACCATTTGTTGAGAACCACAACCTGATTAGCTGATGCACCTCATGGCATTGGTAGAGAAGTTTAGATCCCGTTTGATTTCAAGTCAAGGTTAAGATAATGTGACATACAAAGGTTATGGGTTTATATGGGTTTTTGCTGTGTTTATTTAAGAGCACATATAGCAAATGATTTTTTTTCTTGTTTTTATAACATGTGATGAAATTTCTGTGATCGGTTATTCATCAATTAAAATATTTGAAATTTTTCAAGGCAGTGAAGAATCCGTACTGAAGTTAGTTGAAAAAGAAACCCTACTCAAAGAGCGTCAACAAAAACTTGAGGTGATGGTTATCTATTTTTCACGATTTTTTAAAACGGAATGGGTTTTTGGGTTTTTCGTCTTCCTTTTGATGTTAGTTTCAACTGCTGTGCTTTTTCTGCAAACAACCGTTGTATTGAAAGATACCAGCTCAACGAATCACGGGCAAGTTTTGTAACAACTTATTAAATATTTGGAAGAGAAAGGAATGTATCTCAAAGAAAAGGTTGATTGAAAGCTGCAATCCCGGACAAAAATAGTTCGGACTTTCCAAGAAAAATTTTTATTAATTTTCCTGTCTTTGAAAAATAAGTTTCCCCTCCCACAATTAAATGTTAAATGCATGATTTTAAAGCACAAATTATAAATCCACGATTAAGGGGGAAGGGGGATCAGAATTAAATCAAAAAAAGAATTTACAGGTGCAATTGAAAGTAGAAAATTGCAAAAGTTGCATTTTGTCTCAACAATTTTGTCCAGGATTTTAGTTTCATTCTGGAAAACTGCTTCCTAAATTTATTTTATTTTAAAAGTTTTTGTTCAAAATTAAGCATTAATAAGATTCTGGAAAAAATCAGGCTCAAAAGTCTGTTAAATAACCTTCGAAGTACCATCCTGCGAATTCTTGTCACTGAAGTTATTATACGCTGGTTTTTTCTGTAAATGCGGAGTGATTAAGGAGCAAAGCATATATGCTCTGAACCTAGGAGTTTTTGATCCCCTGGCAGCGCATAATTCGCCGCTGAAAATAGGATCAGCAATGTCAAGAGATCATCAACTTTGGCTTTTAGTTCGCTGCTCAGATAAAAATGGACCGAAGTTGCCGTTAGAGTCTTTTAAGGGAAGGGGGCAGTCTTTGGTGCTTAGCTTTAAAACAAGGCCTCTGATTTCACGATAATTGTTAACGAAAGTAATTATTTAGAGCAGAACACATAAAGCTCTTTTTAAGCCAACTCTAAATTTTCTGCTGATGTTGAATTTTTATTGATAATTAAGGAAATGGAACTAAGAAGACTACAAAAAGAGGAGACAAAGAGGAAAAAAGCGGAAGAGAAGGTAGACTTTGTTGTTGCAGATAACCTTGCATAAATCGAAATTGCTTAAGTCGAGGATCGCCTATGGCGAAGTGATGTTTAAGTTCCGATTTCCGCCTATCTATTTGCAGTAGAATTTCATTGAAATTACTGTTTGCCGGTCCGTCATGAAGTGCTCGATACCGTAGAGTACGGTGGCCCACAGGTGCCACGGCAAAACTTTCTTTCTCACGGCAAAACTTACTTTCTTACGGCAAAACTTACTTCCTCACGGCAAAACTTACTTTCTCACGGCAAAACTTTCTTTTTTCACGGCAAAACTTTATTTCTCACGGCAAAACTTTATTTCTCACGGCAAAACTTTACTTCTCACGGCAAAACTTTATTTGAATTTAATTTATTACTTAAATTAAATTTATTTTGAAAATTTGATCTCATGACATTGGATTCTCGTCGTCGTTTTGCTTTGTTCCTCTTGCTTTTCTAACATAGGCGTAGTAGACAAGGGTCTGGGGAGATAAGGGGGCTGTAGCGGCAACTGTAGTTTCTCAACATTGAAAAGTTTCCAAAAAAGCGATAATCAGGCAGAAATCTACCATGATTCAGTCGGGCAAAATTTTTATAAACAATGGATGTTGTTTGTTGGGCAACCACTTTTTTCTCCCCTTATATTATGCCCATGCTTATTATTTCATTTCTTTATTCATTGTTATTACTATTATTCGAAAAATTAAGTACCTAGCCATCAACCCACCCTGTGAGTAATGCGATATGATATTATATTAAACACAATACCCAATTTATAGGTTTTTTACAAGCCACAATCGAGCGTGCCAAGTGCACGTACGTGATTTTTTTGCACGAATTTTATGTGCACGCCAATTTTCAATTAATTGATCTTTTTCACTGCTTTCAAAACAAAGGAATCAAAGACCTTGCATGCGGTACTGTTTCGTTGAGATAGGCATATAGGCCTAGCCTAGCCCAACCTAGATAAATTTTAGAACATTTCTGGGCTGTCTTTCTGCAAGAATTATCAAGAGAAGATGTAGGTATTCGCAAATCTGCGAAGTTTAAAACGTCTAAAGCATTGATTAGATCTAAGTATCACGTACACAACATCACGTAAAGAAAGTTTTGCCGTGAGAAAGTAAGTTTTGCCGTGAGAAAGAAAGTTTTGCCGTGAGAAAGTAAGTTTTGCCGTGAGAAAGTAAGTTTTGCCGTGAAAAAGAAAGTTTTGCCGTGAAAAAGAAAGTTTTGCCGTGAAAAAGAAAGTTTTGCCGTGAGAAAGTAAGTTTTGCCGTGGCACCTGTGGGCCACCGT